GGTGCCACAACTCACCATGATTTCCTCCCTTGTACTCTAATAATGGCAATGGTGTCCACCTGAGAGCCCTGGTCATTATTTACTGCCGAGGCTGCCCCAGGTGTACATCATTACTATAATCTAATTGAGAAGTTACCACAATGTGGCAACAGGATAAATGACCACTGATGAAAAGGGTTTATAATGTCATGCACACCACTTTTAAAATGTGTCTTTAATATGACTTGCAGAATAGTAGTCGCTATGCAGGTATGTACAAAATGTTACCTGCAAAGCAGCTACTTTGATGTTGAACGGAATTTAAACAGAAGCTGTAATGTTTAGAAATCCACTCCATGTTTTCCAAGCGCTTCCAGTTTGCTAGAATCTGAATCAACCCAAGTTTATGCTTTGCCTTCCCATCTCTCCCCCTCAGAGCCAGCCAGGCAGTCATCAAAGATTCTGGTAGGCCTCAATTTAAATACTTGTTTGATACTAACCTTGTTGCAATAAAACCATACTCTGTCTAGACCACTTCTCTGCATTTTTTTCTGGGTCCCTGAAGAATCTTACAAAAACAAAGTCCCCCTCAGTCTCTCAGCTTTCCTAAGAGGGACAGTCTGAGGATGTGGATTTCCTTCTAATAAAGAGGGTAAAAGTGCTTTAAGCTGCGTCTCTCACTGGTTTAGAAGCCCTTAAAGTGACAGAGATGCCTCAAAGGTATTTGCTCCATATTTCAGACATCAAACTGGTTTCCAGGCAGACAGACAGAGGTGGTATACTTTTATCCTTCTATCAACTGACTCCAAAGCCCAACAGAAGGGAATTAAGCATACTGGACGAAGCCCAGAAGCTGGAGACCAGCATGTTCAGACTTTCTCCTGTTCTGCCAAAGGTGCTTTTGGTGATGCTTCTCTGAAAGAGAGTTTGAGAACAGACAGTGGAGCTGCAAAAAATGAGCTGGAAAAGTATATGCAGAATATACTTCAGAGAACAGTCTCAGTTATAGGAATTTTAGGATATGCAGCTGAGGCAAGATAGAGAATGAGGAAAGATGCTGAGGAAGAGGGAGTGAGACATTTGAACATAGGATGCTGCCGTAAACCACATCAGACCACTGCTCAATCTAAGTGCAATATTATCTACAGGCTTCCAACATTTTTTTGGCATGACATCCCACAATTTAATTGGTATTGTGGCCTATCAATTTATTGTCACATGAATTTTGGACCTTGCATTTTTGGCAGCGATCGATTTTACCTTCAGATTTGCCTGTTTTATGGTGATAATGATGACTTTAGTAAAGCACAGGAAAATGTGAGGTACGACATGTGAATCAGATAAAGCTGTACTTCAGGCTCCTTCAGATCAGCCCACAGAAAGTGGAGGATGTGAGAATTGGGAGCAGGCCTTGTCTCTCTTTGTGTACACACACACATGCATTCTGCTTTTTTCCCCAAGAAATGCAGCCACAACAAGCTGTGAAGTAGGTTAGACTGAGAACTAGCGACTTGTCCAAGGCCACCCAGCTAGAGAATGCTTTTCTGGAGTGGTTATGAAACATATGCTATGGCTGGAGTGGTGTGGTTTACCACACAAACAAGCAATCTGGTATGTGGCACAAAATTTGGCATCCTGCGATGCTCAGCTTTATTTTTTTAAATATATTGTTGTCTTTTGCAGACTAGATCAGATCTGCATAGGGTCCGGTGACGCATCACAATCAGATGAAGCTGAAGCGCCCACATGTTTATTAGCACATTTCCATATTGTTCCCAATTTTTCCACATGCTGTTCTGGGGATTCTCCAGATACTAAATCTCTGAATACTGCATTGGATGCTCCTGACCCTCCACCGGAGATTTTGGGAGGATGTAGGGGTGTGCAGGGGTAGGAGGGGGACCCCCCTGTGCTAGCTAGCAGGAATCATTGTGCTGGCTTCCACTAGCGCAACCAGAACCATCGAATCTCCTTGTTAATAGAAGTACTGTAGTAAACAAGAAGATTTATGCAGGATCATATTTCATTTCACTTTTTACCAATTGTGAAGTCTTCGTTGATTGTATCTTGTGAGAATCGATACAGACAAGAAGTAAACGCTTAGCTCAGGAAACAATGTTCATCAAATATTTGTTTTCCATATGAATGTTCAGGAACTGCCATATATCTTATTTGTTAAAAGGACATAATAAAAATATGTTTTGCAACTAGTAGTGAGTAAAGATGCTGGTTTGACTGATTACGGGAAGCTTGCTGGTCCTTTTTTCCAGAAGGTTCTTGCATTGAGCCAAGAACAAGGAGTTGCGAGTTCAGTAACTACAATTCCAATGTCCACACAGTAGCAAAGCGCTCCCATATGCTACAGGATGTTACTGTTCTCTGGGGCATTCTTTCTAAATCTAGCAGCTTCCAAGTCATCCTGATGTCTGCAGATTTATTGGGCTACTGCAAACAGGACTTGAATAAACAGAAGCATAAGATGAGACCTCACAAGCTGGAAAGGAAGATGGACACATAGTTCAAATGTGTACGAGTCCCAGACAAACAGCAGCTCAACATGACCTGGCTGAAATATTGTGAGGTGTGTCTGAAACAAATGGAAATACTTTAAGGGACTCAAGGATAGACTCAAGACCACTCCACATGGGTTATGCTTAATTACATTGATACAGTTTCAGCACTTGATGAAAACTCATTTATTATCAGAGGATTTTTGCTTGCTGCTAATACACATTATTTTAAAATATATATATTTTTTAAAAATTGCTGTTGTTGTAGTGGCCATTTCCTGCCCCCCGCCCAACTGTAATATTATGGTCCTGATGCCTACTGCCATGTTACTGCATATAAAGGATTCCTAAATGCTTGGGATGGTTTTGCAGCTAGCATGTCTTAATTCTTTGGTTCCTTAAGCAAGGTGGTACTTTCTGTCAGTTACCCAACCTTATAACAATCACACTTCTGAGGTACTCCTAGTGGTATAATATACCTCTAAGATCAGAGACTCCTTTCTCAAGCTGTAGATATTTTCTTCAGAGTGAATGTTAACACAGAGAGACTGAAACCAACTAACCCTCCCAAAACCAACCAACCTCTCTCCTAACTATCTGAACTCCCTCTCAGAAACTGCTCCTTTTATTCTCCCTCACAAAGTGCTAGTTGTTGTGGCAGCCAATCAGAGAGAGGCTCTAGCACTCTGGTGGAAATCTGAGACTGGGGACTCAGCTATACAGCTGCAAATAAAATGTTTTAAGTGTGTTTTAAAGTTCATTATACAAATTTGACACTAGAGGGCAATGGTGAGCAATGGCAAATTCAATATATATATTTTCAAAAGTAAGTTTTTGGGGTTTTTTTAAAAGGATTTTCACAGCGTTTTTTATATGTGTCCAGATTCCACCTCTGCATCACCAGACTCTAGTCTGGCTCTGCTGTCTGCCACCCCTCACCCCTGTTTTATCCTCACAACACATGATCAGCTTTTATACATGGAACTGGGGAAGTGTGCCAGATTGTCCTTTACCTCAGGCAGCAAAATGTCTTGGGCAGCCCCTGACTCCTTCCTTGTATTCCTCTTAATATTCACCTTGAAAAAGGGTTTTGATTAACTTGAACTTGACTGTTTCTTTGTGATCTTTTACTTGGCCTCAACAAAGGCATTACTTGCACAACTACTTTTCCTTTTCTCTAATGGGCCAAGACAAGCTGCCTGCAATTTTTGCTCAGATAATTAATCCTCATGTTAACTGCTTAGCTGCTGTTAATTATGCAAATATGAAGATAAAGCTGACTGTTCAGGAATGGGAATAAAACCAAAGAAGCTAATTAAAACAAAACCTCAGGTTCTATGCAGGAAGAGCTAAGACAATAGTATAAAATTATAGAGTTGAGTAGTTTGGAAAATGAACAAATAGCTCAGGAGGGAAGCCAGCAGAGAGGCAAACCCCAAAGCAAGGATGCAGTGGAAAGATCAAAGTGGAGACTTACTTAGTGATAGATGGATATTTTGTTGAGAGTCTGAATGATTTCCTCATGTCAGAACACACAAAAGGAAAGAAGATAAGAGGCCTGGTAACTCTGGCTTGTTTTCCTAAGCTTTGGGGAGTGAATTGTTGAAAGGCTTTCCCTTCATGCTGCAGCAGATAAGGAGGCAATTAGAACTACTGAAAGCTAACAAAGTACTAGAGCCAGAAGATTTAAATCACCAAATCATGAGAGCAGGCAAGCTACAAAGTGCATCTTGCCCCAAATATTTGTGACAACTTATTCATGAAACATGGCTGGAGAGATACTGTTGCTGCTTTTGATCTTTAATAAAAACAAAATGAAGGAGCCACAGAATATATCTCCAAGGTGTGTGTGTGTGTGTGTGTGTGTGTGTGTGTGTATATATATATATATATGATGAACAAGGGGCACTGCATGTTTGAGATGATGCAAGGAATAAACAGTTGAAGATTTTGTAAAAGGAAAAAGATTAGGTACATCTGGGAATACATGCACATCAAGAGACCCATTTCAAAAAAGGAAATAATGGGGGGCGGGTAGAATTTGAGGTGTGTTTTTTTAAAGCATTTCCTAAGTTTTAATGTGAACACCCACTAGATATCTTGAGTACCATCTACACTGACTTTACCACATTTGCTGCTCAGCCACTCGTAATAGTTTGTACTAGTAAGTTTTACATTTTACTTTATAATAATTTACACAGATTCTAACATTTGCTGATTCTAACATTTAATAAGTCTGTAAGGCATGATTTGAGGGGCACATTTGCAGAGAGAAGAGAGAAGCCTCCCTTTTCACACGTTACACTCATGAAAAAAATGGGGGGCTCACAGCTATAGTTCATTAAGGAAAAGCAGAAGTTGAGGTTAATTTTTAAACATGTATTTTCATTTCTTACTTGGGCAACTCTTCCACTGACATTTATAAATTGGGTACTAATACAATTCAAGCTTGTTTTGTAGACCAGCTTCCAGGTGTAAGCAGCACTTCGGCATAACTGTTGGGACAGGTATTCATTTAGATCCTATCTTGAGATTCATTTTGCTAATGCTCTTGTTTTGATCTGTTCTCTCCTCACTGTTTCCTGACTTCTCACATTCTTCAAGGTCAGGCCATGCCATCTTGGAGTCATCTGAGCCTAGGGGTAGAGTGTGGGGTGCATGATACAACTTCAAAACAATCAGCTGTATTTAAGAGAAAGGGTATCTTGAGTAGTCTCAGGTGCAAAGGGCTATATATAGGTGATGTCGTATCTAAACCTATAATCATGTTTTGCTTGGGGCTTCTTGAGCAAGGAGGCCTGCATATTATAAATCAAGGGGCAACTGCGAAAGAAGACTTTTCTTCTGCTAATTTTTTTTTAATAAATGAATTGATTTGTGTAAAGGCATTGAGGATAATTTCAGACTCTTAGCTGAAGAGCAAAAGAAAGGGGGGCAGGAAATAGGCCTTGAAAGGCTAAGCCAGCCTTTGCCAACATGGTGCCTCTCCTGATGTTTCACCATGAAGCTCCCATTAGTCCCAAACAGCATGGTGTGTTCGCTGGGGGGGGGGTAGGTAAACCCACAAATGCAGAGAAACAGCTAGAAGCATTAGAATTACAATTGTTCCATTCAGTACCTTTTCAATTTTGAGCCATTTGCAAGTCCCACTGGAATAGTTTTACTGAGTTAACACCACTGGGGCTAAGACTTAGATATTATATTGGTGGGGAGGTTTTTTGTTTGTTTTTAAAGACAACACTAGTTTTGACCCGCTCCCCCCCCATTCTCATTTTACAAATATTTTACATTTTACAAAAACATTTACATTTTACAAAAAAAACATGAAATCTTTACATAATCAATCTGCATTTCCTGCGATTTCTCTCCTTTCTGTGGTTGCTTATTTTATATCTTTTATTACTGCATATCCAGTTCAAACCTGTTTACCTGTATTCTCTTTTAGTTATTTATTACTGTGCATGTTTATGTCAGTCCTGCTAATGTTTTAAGTTGTTTACAATACATCTTCAAATAGTCAATAAATTTTCCCCATGCTGTTTTTAAAAGTCTCTTTTCTTGGTTTCTTATTCTTCCAATAACTTCCACCATTTCTGCATATTCCAGCAATTCTAATTGCCAGTCCACCATCGTTGGAACTGATTCTTTTTGGTTGTCACTTTTCATCAGAAACTACAATACTTTGGGAATTTATGGCAGGTATAAGGTGGCATATGATGGAAGCACATTAGGTATAATTAAATTGGGTTATCTTTTACAGTGAAAAGCTCATAGTTTTACTGAGAAAATGTTTATTTGCACAAACCCAAACTGATACATGAATATATGCAAATATTATGCAAATAGCTCTTATGGTGTACAGAAGTTTATTTGATTTTCATGTACCTTCTTCAGACTTCTGTTTGCTGATCATAATCAGGAAGTCAAGGTTTAACTTGTGCAGCCCAGTTTGATGAACGTACCCCGAGGTTGCAGTTCCACAGGTGATTAATGCTCATGAAACAACTGTCTGCCTGTCTGCCAGTGCCTGTCCAAAATATCACCATAGGATTTAAATAAACACTGGTTACTAAAAGGAAGGATCAAGGAGCAGCCCTCTGGGCTGTATAACTCAAACTTCTAGGAGCAATCTGTTTCCCTTTAGAGTTTAAGTCTGATCTGTTAAAATAGTTAAGCAAGAACTTTAATTTGACACAGCACTGTCCAGTCATTAACTTCAATGAGAGTGAGCTGTCCTCTCATATGAGCTGTTTTTGTAAAAGAATAACGGCATAAAAATGCATTAGACACTTGGATTGGTCTTGCCCTCCACTTATGGCACAGTATATTCACGATGATGCTCTCCAGTACATAAGCCAGCTGGTTGATGGTGTTGAAATGGTTCAGTGCTTAGACTTAAAGTATACTTTCTTAACAGAGGTGCTTGAAATAGCTGGTCATCAGGTCCCTCCTAATCATTTAATTCCACCATACTATTGTTCTGCAGACTGAATATTTATTAAGACAATATAGTAAATACTAAGTAAGATGTACAGATTGTATGTGGGAAGCTGTAGTCAACCATAACTTTCTAGAGCATTGACACACAGGAAAATCACATCGGCTGGTCATGTGTGTTCTTTGGTATGGGAATCCTCTTCACCCTCAGTGACCTTTCTATTCTGCACCATACCACATGCATCTTATGAATAAAAAGCTTGTTAATTCTAGAGAAGTCTCCTTCCTCAACTGTTCTGCTGCTGGTTTTTGTAGAGACACATTTACTGCATGAAGCATTTTAAATATTTTATGAGGAGCAGACTTCCAGATATCACAATATCCATTTTCCCCTACCATTCACTGAGAAAGAAAAAAATTCAATCCAGCCTAACTCAAACACTGTTGATCTAGTTCAGATTTTGTTTATTTGCTTCATTCTATTTCTTAATTCTATATGTTCTGCTAAGCCAGCTACTCTTAAAAGAACAAGCAAAACCCAAGGAATTTGTAGGCGGTTGTTACGGTACCTGCTGCTTCCAGTTTCCCTTTCTCCTATTGTTCGTTCAGGTTTTCTTCCCCTTCAGATGGTTTCCACTGTCAACTTTCATTTCACTTGGAAGGTCAGAGTTCCTGAAAGAAAGCTTTGGCCTCTGCCAACATAGTATCTTAACTCTTGGCCATGTAATATTTCCTAAGAATAAACTAAACCTTCAAATAGACAACAGGCCGAAAATTGCTGTCAAAAATCTTAAGCTGCAGTTGGTTTCTTTTCAGTGAGTGATAACACATCTTGAAACAGGATATTTATAATTTGTTAAGTTTTGCATTTATCCTCACAATCCTAAACCATAATGGCTGTCAGCTAAGAAAACACTGGGGTAACTAGAAGGATAGAGGAGAGATAAAGAAATAATTGGAAACAGAGGAGAAGACTTCTTCTTGTGCCTCCTAAACATCCTTATTCAGTCCTGGTTTGCCAAACAGCTTCATAGTGCCTGCAGAGGCCTCTAATCCAGAGCATTTGAAAGATTCTGCTGCTTTTCCAAAGTTTTCTTATGAAGCTTAGCTTAATTTTCTACACAGATGCTCTGCCTGGTAGAATGCCATTAAGGAAGTGCTGCCTTTGGAAGGAAGTGCTTATCTTGGAAATAGGCGGATGCTCAGATCCAGCTGAGAACTGCAAAACATGTATATGTCCATTTGGATGGGCAATTGTATGTACTTTGCACTTTTGTAGGAATGGGGCGGAAATTTGATTCAGGTCACATTTAAAGGCAAATCTACCTAATTCACACTTTATATGAGCCAAAACACAGCCATCCCTCGAAATCATCTGCATGCACATGGTCCCAGACATCTCCAACTGGGACTTCGGAAAGAGTCCTTGTCTAAAATTCGGGAAAGCCACTGCTAGTCAGGGTAGACACTACTGAGTAAGATGGACCAATGTCTGGCTCCGTATTATAGTCTGGCCGCGGTATTGTAAGGTTATAGGGAACCAGGCAGAGGGCCTTCACAGTAGTTGTGCCCATCAAGTGGAATGCCCTCCCGTCAGATGTCAAGGAAATAAACACCTATCTGACTGTATAGGGAAGTTTTTAATGTGTGATGTGTTACTGTAGTTTTATAATCATTGGAAGCTGCCCAGAGTGACTGGGGCAACCCACTCAGATGGACTGCATATTATTATTATTATTATTATTATTATTATTATTATTATTATTATTTCAGTTCCTATCTAAGTTGTTCCTTATAAAGGACAAGCATGAGACTCCTTTGAAATGCTGCAAAGTTTCCTCCAGTTTTTATAACGCTGCCGAGAGGCAATCTAATCCATACAGCACTAGGACATTTCGAATATAATGCTCTCTGCAGTGACATTGTCTAATAATAATAAAAAAGCTGGTTTTTAAACGATTGTTCTTGATTACATGTTAACAAGGCCACAGTTAGTTTCCAAGCTACCTTTTAACTGGTTTGTTCTGTCACAGTTTTGCTTTGTTTTTTAAATCGTGGCGGGAGGGGGAAGAATAAAATACAACAATTTTGTGAAAACTGAGAAAGCACAAGGAAATATGTGTTTTGGATGGAGCTGAGCAGTTGGAAAGTGGCCATGGCCAAGTAAGCACACAGTAGCCTGAACCAGCAGGCTGACCCCCAACATTGGTACTGATGCTGCTGGCCAGACAATAGTTGGTGTTGGAGCAGCATCAGTTTCCAAGCTGCTTCCTGAGGATGTTGCTCTCTTTTTATTGGTAGGGCTCCAAACGCATGAGATGTACTTCTGTCATGTTGCATATGATTCTGCAGTATGACTCTCCGGATGTAGATCATAGGATCTTCTGTGGCCTGAGCATATTCTGTTGCTGGTGTACCACACAATACAATCTCTTCAAGTAACTATTTGGATTATTTATGCATTTGGGGCTAACTAACTCAACGTAACAAAGAGCTCCTGCAGATGACCTGTGGTGCTGGGGCTTGTATTAGTCCTATTTTATCATAGGTTTTGGTGAATGGTGGTTATCCTTTTTTAAACCGATCAAATGTTATTCAGTTATTGGTTGCTGTCTTAAAAAACTTCCCACAGTAGTAGTGGAGTTTGAGTTTTTCTACAGCTCTGGGCTTTTTTAAAAAGCGTCTTGCATCTTTTTGGATGCTTCTGCATCACCCTCTCCGATCTATGCATTTGGAGAGTTTCCAGATATACTTGTGCACAAAAATGAATCAGTGTACCAATCCAGAGAAATCCTGGGTTTATTTGTATGTTTGTCTTAGCATTGTTTTGTACATATAAGGAATTGTTAAGCTGATTGCATTTTTGCCAACTTGGCCACAGCATAAGTCACCTATTACTGACCAACTACAGACAAAAATTAAACAAACTTTTTTTTTTGTTTTTACTTTTTGCTGCTGTTAAACTCTTTTCCTATGGGTTTTGAGCTTCTGAAGCCAGGAGGTCACTTGGATCATGTATACAAAATTGGTAATTGCATTCCTGACTTTGCTAAATGCCACGATGCTTGCTATTTTCCAAAATAGCTTTGCAAACAATGACAATTACTGCCCAGACATTTTCAAACACAGCAGGATACTGGCTGAGGGGATGATGGAAACCCTGAAAAAAATATAAATATTTTGAAATCTGCTGTAAATCAAATTTGTGCACTGGAGTAGGAGTGGATTATCTGGTCAGCCAAAGATGCTTTAAATTCTGGAAGCCTTTTAGTGCTTATTTACTAGAGTATTAATCAAAGTATAGGGTTTGCATTTTCTTTGACTGTGTAAGGTTACTCTAATAATTATTCTTTAAATGTTATGTCAGTTATGTATATTCACAAACACCAATATAGAAAAGCAGCTACTGAATGTTTGAAATGTTACTCATTAAAAACCACCAATTATAATGTAATTAATATATTAAGAAACAAAATGATTTTTGTTTACAATAAGGCACAGAAAATTTCAAGTTCTACTACTGCAGGATTTGCTGAAGCAACTGAAAGAGCCTACCTTGAGAAGTCTAATTTTGTTACCGTTTTGAGTACTGCCCTGTGGCCTTGAGGAAGGGGAATATATAAATTTATTCAACAGAAGAAAAGAAATGAAAGTGTCCTCAGTGTGTTCATTGAGGCTTGCTCCCATGAGTTGGCAGATGTAAGACAAAGAAAACGTAGAGACTTTCCTGAGGTGGAGTCTTAGATATTACGATTGGCTAACTGTAAAATGTAAGAGTGTTTCTGATTGGCTAACTGTAAAATGTAAGAGTTTCTGAGTGGAAAGAGAGAACCAGAAGTGAGGAAGTCACTGGTATGAGCAGAAAACATTCATTAATTTTCATTTTCTTACATCTAAGACTCCCCCCCCCCCAGCCAGAACTTGCTGGAACTCAGTTCTGGCACCTCTCAGGTGGGCGCCATTGCCTTTATAAAAGAACAAGGTGAGTTCTGCCACCTTTTTATAGAAAAATAACACTAGTTATATCTGCACCCCACCTTCCTTCTGTCAACGTGGCATACATGTATTTCTCATACATGTATATATATGTATGTAAAGGTAAAGGGACCCCTGACCGTTAGGTCCAGTCGCGAACAACTCTGGGGTTGCGGCGCTCATCTCGCTTTATTGGCCGAGGGAGCCGGCGTACAGCTTCCGGGTCATGTGGCCAGCATGACTAAGCCGCTTCTGGAGAACCAGGGCAGTGCACGTAAACGCCGTTTACCTTCCCGCCTATTTATCTACAGTGGTACCTCAGATTACACACACTTCAGGTTACATACGCTTCAGGTTACAGACTCTGCTAACGCAGAAATAGTACCTCGGGTTAAGAACTTTGCTTCAGAATGAGAACAGAAATCATGCTCCGGCGGCGTGGCAGCAGCAGGAGGCCCCATTAGCTAAAGTGGTGCTTCAGGTTAAGAACAGTTTCAGGTTAAGAACGGACCTCCGGAACAAATTATGTACTTAACCCAAGGTACCACTGTACTTGCAATTTGACGTGCTTTCGAACTGCTAGGTTGGCAGGGATGTATGACTCAGGGAGTTACCCATCCAGACACTGAATCAGACCTTTGTTTCAGTTAAGTGGTAGCCTCAACTGCCTTCAGACCAGACTCTGGGACACAGTATATGTGACATTGTACCTTATCAATTTTGCGTCATTTTTTAAATCAGTAATAATATGAAGCAAGAGCAGCTATAGGGTTGCCATATTACAAAATATCAAAAATTCGCCAAAAAATCAACACTTCCAAAAATGGATTGCCATACACCTGGCTTTTCCCAGACATTTTTACTGATTTTTGGAAATTCCGCCCGGACGCTATTTCCAACAGATGAATCCCAGATATGTCTGGGAAATCCCAAATGTATGACAGCCCTACACTAGCAGAAAACAAATACATGCAGAGATAGAGGTAGGCATAAAGAGATATTAATGGGAAAATGTTGCTGAAATCCACAAGAAATGTTTGAGAAGATGACATGATTACGTCTGTTTTTTCTTGACCTGAAAAGCTCACATATTTCCTCTAGCATTACAGATATCAGAATGAACAGAGCTGGGATAGGAGTAGTATACAGTTGCTTTTACTACTTTCCCATCTAGCAGGCTCCTACCCCACCATTCTTCTCTTCCACCAGTGGGGTGAAACTGCTATTGAAAAGAACACCCACTCACCCTCAAGCACCCCCCCAAGGGCTGCAGTCACAAGCCAGCAATTGCTCAACATTTTTTTAGTCTGCGCAGGAACCTTACTGAAATGAATAAATGTTCCACAGCAACAGTGCTTAGTGAATTGTACCCCATAGTCTTTGTACATGCCCAAATGAAGCTATAGCCAGGGACAAGGCTGAGACAACATTGAGGCATTACTTGATGTGTTATCTTTACTTTCAAAAGTGCTTTCAACAATGTAAATATTTGTGCTTGCAAAATTCTTGCACGGGGATGTCAGTGAACAGACTGTTACCATTAGGCTTATTCTTTAAAGCTGCATTTTTATTTTTACTAAATTATCTATGTTAAAAACAAATCTGTGCCTGGTGTGGAATTTTACTGCATCAAGTGTTACAAGCAGCAGAATGCATGACATGTAAGAACAAGTGTTAGGAAACATGGAAATAAATTAGCATATAATTTACAAAAGCAAATAAAAATAACAATGTAACAGTGTACCACATTAATACTGCGTATAAAATAATAAGCAACTAGTCACAATAATAGAAAGGGTCTTTTTTCATTCTGTACTGTCAAGGAAATTTATGTGATATCCATACCATTAATAAAGATCTCCTAAGATGGACTATTTCTAGGAGTGTATATTTTGATGTGTTGAACAGGCATTTTGTTTCAGTATGAGAGCCTTAGTGTCACTGACATTGCTCAATGGAAATACCAGCAACACGTTGTGAGTTTAATACCCTAGTACTGAATTCCAAGGTTTCCCATCTTTGTGTAGCCTATACAAATGGTCCTATTGTTATTATTTAGGAATATAATACTTTTAATATTTTAGCTTAGATTATATATATGGCTATAGTGTAGCAGCAGCAATGTCCTGTGCTGTGGAAACCAATGATTTACCTCTTTATTTCAGGCTTTTAATTCAGATCTAGAGCGATATATCGGTCCATTTGTAACACAATACATTCTGTATTTCATTCACTTTAGCAATGAAACTCAACATTGCTCCAGGGAGTTTCTTAAATTCAAAACTTGGTGCTCTTCTAAACTGCAGAGTAAACACTGGACCCCCTGGTCTTCTAGCACCAATGAAAGAGCAAAATGTGTCTTTGCAATGTCAATGTCCTAAAGTGAGGTAAAAAGGACTTTGTTTGAATAAATCCCATCATTTCTTGCTAGCTGAAAAGACACACATTAACTAATAAATACATTTATGCCTCAGAGCAAATCAGAGTATGATAGACTGTAATCTTTTGCCTGGAAAATGCCATGCAACATCTATCCCTTTTATTATTTTTTACTTAGCCAAGGCATGTTAGCACCATGGTATTTCCTTATTGGACTGATGTACAAAGGTACCGTAATTGACACATTGGCTACACTACCCTCAGGCCTACACGTTACTCCCAGATGTGTATAGTTTTCCTTTCTAAGCTTCGGTGTCAATGAGAGTGTAGTACGTTGCAGCTGAGCAGTAAATAGCTCCAAGTAAACAGATTTGCCACAAATGAACGTACTGCTTCCTAGATATATGGAAGTGAAACATACTGTCAAGAGGTAGAATATGACAAAAAATTGATGGTTATGAATAAATGAACTACAGAAAACCCCACTGATGGATTGTCAAGGTTTTCCCTCCCACATAGTACAACTCTCTTTTTCTCTATCCCCCCACCCATTAATTCACATTAGTAAATATTGCTCAACACATTTGGCTTACTGCAATTTGTTAAATATACTGACACATTTAGATATCTTATACATGTTATAAAAACTTGTCTCATTAAGAGTATTTTTTTTAATAAAAGTGCTGTTTGACTTCTAGTGTTAATACAAGGTGGTGGTGTTCACATCATCTCAATTGCACTACAACAAAGGAGGCAAGTTGGACACAAAGCACATTCATCAAGTACCTGCTACAAATTGCAAGTGTTCAAGTACAATATAATAATATAAACAAGTACCCACTTTCCTTATCTCTTTGTTGTGTCACTGACAAAAGCAGGGAATGGGGGAGAAGTATGGCCATTACTATTAGCTCCCACTGGATTCTGGAATCAATTTTACCCCAGGAGCTTGGCTTCACATTTAAATACAATTCAGAATATTCATAAATCGATATGGTGAATATAAAAGCTGTGGTACTTTGATTTGAAAGTTCCCATAAGTTAAGTACTCTTTGGTTGTTTATTCTGCAATAGTCTCCAAAAAACTGGGCATATGCATGTTTTCTCTTCTCCATGGTCTCTCATAAATCTGTGTTCTCCTATTATATAAATGGAAGAAAAACTGGAAAGCCACTGTAGTTTTCAGCATGATCAGCAGAAGAGACTCTACCTCACTAGTCAGTTTATCATTAGTAATTACAGAGTAACAAAGCCAGTTAGAAGTCTGCAGAATTGATGCCTCTCTGTAACTAAAGTTAACAGTGAATTTGTAGATACCAACCTTAAGCAGTGAAATAGTAGGAAAAATGCTATTCACAACTGGAGTATGACCCCTCTATTGTATGGATATATTCCCTTTTAGTGGAAATCCTGATTTAATTGTGAGATGGCAAGATGGCTATAAACCTGCAGCACATATTTCTTTAAAGTTGGATGCATTCAGGCAATGACGGTTGCATCTCTTAACTCTATGTTCCTCATCATTCTAGTTTAGTTTAGCTTTAGATATGGCTCACAGCAGTCTTCAGGAAATATGGATTATTCTCTAGAGAATGAAACAAAGGAAAATACATTTCTTTTACTTCTGATTTATAATTGTTCCTAATATAATATTCCCAAGCCCACTTCTTTAACTTAAACTGTGGTGCTTATGTAGTAAGATAAAATAGTTATTAATTATAAGCTATGACAACATTTTAAAAATTCTTCTTTGCATCTGTAGTTGACCAAACCACAACAGCTACATTTTAAACAATATTAAATACAAATGGATTCAGTGTCATTTCTAAGTCCATAATAAAAATTATCTTAATGGTCCAAGGAGGTAAACAGACTAGTGGATTTCATTGAAAGTACACGTGTTCCACCATAAGTTACTCTGTATGCACTGTGTGTATTTTTTTCCATTTTGGCATGCCCTCCTTATACTGTGTCCAGCACTTTGGATGAATAAATCCCACTTCATAGAAGTTAAAATAATATTGAAATTCTGTCAGCTGAGGCTGACCAGTGGTTACATTTTCCACAGGGTGATGCATTTACAAGGACATCTGTCTGGTTGCATTGTGCAGCAATCTTTGATAGACGCATTTCCACAATGAAATAGCAAGGCACTTTCAATTTCTGTGGGTCAATGTCCTTGGCAGGTCTTGCAGCACATCTGTCTGAAGTATGCTCGACTGCAGAACTTGAACTTCAGCACCAGTGGGCAATAAGCCACTTTGTTCACATCTTTGCATTCTGATGGAGACATACAAAGGCAAAATGATTACATAAATTTAAAAAGCAGAGAGAAAAACAAATTAAATTTAATAAGTTGCTTTTGTATCTGTCCTCTGCATGAACTTAGCATTTTGGTACAGCCTACTGCATACAAAATAATTGTAAAATTCAGACACTGTACAGAAGTCTTCAAGCACACCCACTTGTTATTTAGGGATCTAATCACATGAGATAGTTAAAAAATAAGAGATTTTCTCTTATTTCCCACCCCCACCCCAGGATCTATTTTGTTCCTCAATAAGAAGTTATCCAAAATCTAACTGAAGTTGTTGTTTAGTATCATGTTTGGGAATGATTGGTTTCTGAACTAAACTATGTATTGCAGCTGTTGCTGACTCTGAAAATGATCAGAATTACTAAGCACAGTTATAGTGTAAGTTCAATGACTTGATGTTCTAGTTGCTTCTACTGCAGCAGAGATATCGAAATGTCAACAAGTGGGAAGAAAAGGTATTTTACATCTGGGCTTTGGCAGCCCGTATAAGTAGGCATCAAAGGTCTCCGTAGAACAGATATAATAGACAAAGATTATTCTACTACCCATTACACATCATCCATTGCAATCAGACTGCCAATGATAAATTAATCTGAGGACATAGGTGGGTGACTGTTGAAATCAAAGTTTTGGGAAGATCATGTTGGGAGATAGGGGTGGGGAATGAAGAACACAGATCCCCCGTTCATTCTCCAAAACAGTTCATACTTGAAACAGTAGCCTTCAACATCTACTCCATCAGCTGAAACTATCCTTAATGTGAAAATATCCCTCCATGTGTGTCCAATTAATACTGATTCCAGATTCTCACAACGACAAGTGTATCAAATTTTCAAAGCCAGTAATGCTGGAGCAAGGCTGAGAGCCTACCCATGCTCACTGGAATTGGGAGTAAGTCCCACTGAACTGTAAATACTTGTTTCCAAATATGCAAAAGGTCATGTCATGAATGTGTGGCCCAAATCCAACTTTCCTGTTTAATTGCACTGTGGTTCATGGAGTGATAATTTTCCTAAATATGGAAGGGACAATCACAATTTACTTCTCCCACTCCCCAACAATACATGAAGGTCTGTTCAGGCAGAATTTTAACTGAATTTTAACATTCAAGTTTGCATTGATTTAGGCTACATTCCTTAACAAGATGCAAATGTGGTCATTTTATACAACCGGTGTGTTTGCACACATACACACACATATAAAGTGGGGAGCTGGGTCTTAAAAAGTTGTGGTGTCCCTTGCGGTACCCCTAAGGCTCTGCACGCAGTGTGACCGAACCGGTTGTGCTCCCCTAAATACGCCTCTGCTCCCAGAACAAACTTTTCCATGAAGTTCAATACCTATAACTGTACTTAACTATTTTTATGCGTGTAATTGTTTCATATATATCTTTATTGTACTGTATTGTAAATTGATTTGAGATGCCTTATAGGAAGCGGTTTACAGTCATACCTCATGTTATGTTTGCTTCAGGTTACGCGTTCTCAGGTTGCGTTTCGCAGCGACCTGAAAGTACCGGAAAGGGTTACTTCCAGGTTTCGCCGCTAGCACGTGCGCAGACATGCAAAACGACGTCACGTGCGTGCGCAGAAGCAGCGAATCACAACCCGCGTGTGCGCAGACGTGGGTTGCATTCTCTTCAGGTTGTGAACGGGCCTCCGGAACAGATCCCGTTCGCAACCAGAGGTACCACTATATAAATGAAATAAACATAACTGCATTTGCTGATATACACCCCATTAGACTGGCATCTCCTTTCCTTCGCTTGTTGTTTCCCCTACTATTAAAATTTGTACTGTTACGTTCCTCTGGGCGAGGATCAGTCAGTCAGTTTGTCTGTCTGTTTCTCTCCCTCATATAACTTTGAAAAGTGCTACGCGCACTGATTGTGCTGTATAAATAAATACTCTGGCTTAGATCCAAAGAACCACACCACGAGTAATGCATACCCAAAGGTGGTTTGGACTCATGCCGCATGACAAACCTGTTTTGAAATGAAGCTGTTTGAAATATGGCACAGGGGCTTGCCATTCAAAGGGAAGAAAATAAAAAGTTCCAGTGGGCACACTGAAGACTGAGCATGCCAGAAGTAGCTCTTTGGATCCCAGCCAAAATATATAAAACGCAGTTCCTACAGTTCCATCACACCAAGAAATGGAACCCATGGCTATTGCAAATAAATGGGTAGGCCTATGGCAAAACAAGGCAGCTCCTCCTAAGTAAACAAGCTCCAACTCAGGGAGATGAGGACTCTGTGGTGCTGATGTTGTCCTTAGCCTCGGTTAAAGCCAGTGGTGGAAATTCATACGCAGAAGGAAAGTGTCTGAGGCCCCTTGGCCTGTCCTGGTTAGTGGTGGAGTGTTATGAATGCACCTATTGGTAAAGCAGGCTGCTCTGGAAGAAGGACATTTACCTATAGAAGATGTTTTTAGACAAATAAATCTTGTTCCAACAAAGTTAAAACATTAGCTAATCTCTTTCTGACACTTGGGATCAGGTCAAAATGTACTTTTAATGCAATGCCACTGAAGAGCATGTAAATTTCAAACCACCACACTCATTTCAGCTACTGAAATGCTTTAAAAATACAATATAAAGGAAACTGAAGCCTGCATAAGAACAGGTGAAAGCACATCAGATATTCTGTTTTAGGTGACCTTGTAAAACCTGGATTCAGCTACCACATATACTTTTAAAGTTGAGATGTGCTATATCAAATACATACTGTCAGTATCTCACTCTGAATAACAAATGTAAAGTTAACATCAGTGGCAGTTTGCCAATACCTAGCCTATAATGCTCTCATTCTCCAGTTAAATACCTAAAGCAGATGTTAATTGTGACAAGATGTCACCACTTTATTTCATCCAGATCATTGCTTCTGCTCATTTACGGACTGTGCATAATGTTATCAGATGCAAACAGCTGGCACGTAATACTATTTAAAACTGCTTAACAGAAAGTAGAACAATCAGATTGAATGTTTTGATTAATTTCTTTTATGGAACTGACAAACAGAAAATCGGAAGTCCTTTTAATTTTTGTCTTTCATCTTTTTTCCTCTTTCTCTGTTTTTATCTTAAGAAAAAGCTTTAATGAAATCTTATGAATGAATGAATGAGGAAACCAAACTCACCTTCCGTGTTGGAAATGGGAGTACTGTCACATTTGCTTTCACACTGCTGCATTGAAGGAGGCCGAACAGTATCTGGACAGTCACTAGATGCTTGCCCAGTATATGAGAGGCATTGCACAGTTCTCATCTGTTGTCCAAGACCACACTGTGCGGAACACTATGTGAGAAATGGGGCATGATAGGAAGGGAAGAGAGAAAATAAAGGATGTCATATTATGAGTAATGAACAGAACTGCAACATGGTGAATGGAATAGTGTCAGAAACACTATCTGGGGCAGCTGTGGAGGGAATCCTTATCATTGCCATAGTAATAAATTCAGCTAGGCAGTGTGTTTCCCTTCCCTAATTAATAAGGATCCTCTGACTACTATGCTTCTTTCTGAGAAGCCTTTTTTTAAGTGCATGGATCACTTATTTCTTTTCTTTCACAAAGTATACTGATTTGGCAGCCCCGATATGCTGTCATAAGAAAGGTGCAATTTGCTATATGGAAAAGGGGACATAGCTGGAGAATAAAAGACCATGAAAGGGTAATAATGTCAGCATTTCTGGACTGTAAAGAAGCAGCCATTTAAATTTCAGCATTTTAAATTATTAGTTTTATTTCCATAGCATATTGGCTAACATTTGTCATATTCATGTAATACATTTTTCCAGAATTTTTTTCAGAGTGGGACTATTTCATTCTACCTCGTATATGAATTTTTACTTCTGCCAAATGTGTGCAAATGTAAGACCCAATTTCACTTTTGACAAACACACACAACTGGGGGTGGACATTGTGCCATTGTCAGCAGACACATCACAGGCTGAAGTGGTTACCTGTGATATTTCCAAATCTTACATTACAAGCCATGTTAGGTAACTGACAACTGCATGTGACACTTGCGTATTTATTACACTACTGTATGGCTGTCAACTAGGACAGATGCAAAATGTGACAGTTCAATATGTAGCTTAATCCCTTTAGCTTTTTGCTGGGACTGCCAGCTAACATAAGTGAAAAGGTTTTCCCCCAGTTGTTTTTTCTACTAATTTTAGATGTCTTATCTACCGTACATTTTTCTATCCTATGGAATCTACTCTACTCTAGTTTAGTATGTGGTCTCTACCTTGGGAACTAACAATAAGCTGTCCTTATTTCAGTAGAATGCCTTAACACTAAGAAATGAACTAACACCATTATGTCCACGACATCAATTTACTATTATGTGGCAAGATGTGATCACTCAAGTTACTTTTCATCTAATACTCTGTCAAATGATATTCAGTATATTTAATCAAATTATTCTTTTGGTACCAAACAAGCCTGCCTGTATTACCTGTCCCCAGTCTCCAGTAACCCATCGTGGTGGAGGACATCTGCCCAAGCTGCAACGCATGCGAACTGGTGGCTTGTTTTCTTCTTGGCAATGTGCAACTGGAAATGTTTTTGAAAGGTCACTGCTTTTGCAGAGAACAATACGATGCTTGAAACCAGGACCACATTTTGGAGTACACTGGAAACAAGATACACAGTTTATATATTAAGAAAAAATAAAATATGAAAAATTAAAGACACACATTGTTGCAGTCTTGTAGCCCCTAGGAGGCTGTTCCAAGGGCCATGGAATATACTGGAACTCTGACTGTGGAGATGGAGCTCTGATGTTAAATCAGAGCTTCTTGCTGTTATGGTAATGTCTGCAGTCCTGGCCCAACTGACACTGGTAGGGCTGGAAAGGTGGGGGTGGTGTTGAGGGAGGACCAGGGACAGAGGAGGCTGGATCCAAATGATCTAATGTTTTCTAGTCCTCTGAAACAACTCCAGGCTCAGAGGAATTGTACAGTTCAGGAACTGGTGTGAACCTCTCACTTTCTTCCAAAATAAAAACAGGAAAAGGTTGGAAGACTGTAAGATTGCTTCTCTGTCTTCCCTTCAGCTCCGTAGGTGACTGCCTGGAAGATAAGGTAGTCAGTTGCCTTGTATCATCTCTCCTATTTTCTGACTGCACAATAAATCTATTGTCCTTCTGAATAAAGTACACATTACATCTACAAGTGAGGATCTAGTATTGTACTAGCAGTTTTAATATAAGTAGTTATAACTTATGTATGTATTTGAAACCATTGAGTGAAGTTATTGTAAAGGCTTTGCAAAAAGTGGTTACTTCCCTTTCTTATCACATCGAATAGATTATTTTCTGTCTGGCCCTGTGATCTAAACCACTGAGCTTCTTGGGCTTGTCGATCGGAAAGTTGGCAGTTCAAATCCCCGCGACAGGGTGAGCTCCTGTTGTTCTGTCCCAGCTTCTGCCAGCCTAGCAGTTTGAAAGCATACCAGTGCAAGTAGATAAATAGGTACCGCTGCGGCGGGAAGGTAAATGGTGTTTCTGTGTGCTCTGGCACTAGTCACGGTGTCCTGATGCGCCAGAAGTGGTTTAGTCATGCTGGCCACATGATCCAGAAAGCTGTCTCTGGACAAACGCTGGCTCCCTCAGCCTGAAGCAAGATGAGCACCGTACCCCATAGTAACCTTTAACTAGACTTAACTGTCCAGGGGTCCTTTAGCTTTACCTTTTTTAACCAGCTGTGACACTGAAAGAAAGATTTTGATGTGCATGAAATTTATTATTTAATGCATGTGAGTTTACTCACTTCTGACCAATCCAAAGGAACCCACTGTGGGGGGCAAGACTGGTTGTTACAGGATTCTTTTTCAATTGGTTGATGTGTTAAACAATGACTACTATCCAAGGTCTCCTCTTCAGAGGGTCCAATCTTCCTGATACATAAAACGGTTCGCGATCGCATTCCACCATCACAGGTCTTACTGCATTCTGACCAATCTCCTATAAACCATCTTCAAGAACAATATCGGGGGTATTACTTTTTCAATAAATTAAACAAATATTCATATAGTTGACAAGTACACTTGAATGTATGGGAATTTTATGCATCTAATGCTCCCTTAAGCCCCATTGAAAGTATACTGATATAATTCTCAGGAATGATACTATAAGAAGAAACATAGGTGTAAACACAAAATATGACAGATTATCAATTGGATGCTATTCTTTAGTTAGCTCTGCACTGACTCTCTAATTTCTGGAAGCATAGTTTGTCACTATTTTTTCTATATGGAAATATAAATAAACACATGGACAAAGAATAGAATACCTTATGTACTAAGTACTTACTCGGGTGGGCAAGGCTCAGTGTTGCAGGCTCTTTGATTTTCTGGTGGTTTACTATCAGGATCACAGTAATTGTTCTGTACTATGGAACCATCATCCAGCCTTTTGCACACTATTTCTTGCTTCTGCACACCTTGGGAAGAATAATTACAGTGTTTCTCATTAAGCAGTGCCTCCATTTTGACATTCTTTATTTCAGGCCAACTTAATTTGTGACCTACCATGCCAAGTGACACCCAACAATCAAATAAATAAAGTCATTCATCCGGGGCCCAATACACCTCCTCATTTTGTTGCCTACTTGGAGCTGCAAAAGTAGGAAGATTGCTAATCACCTGACAGGAGTTGGATGGACTGCATTCAACATGGCAGGTCACAAGTTGTAGAGTCCTGCCTTAGCAGTTCACCTGTGCTCTCCAAATATCAGAAAGAACAACTGATTTGAAGCTCCTGCACCACAAAAATGTTTAATTTGTAGCTGTTTTAAGCAACCGTGTTTGTGTGTACTGTTTTCTAATGCAATAAATATTTTTAGTATACAATTGTTCTTACTGTTCTTATTGTAATTCTCAACTGCATATTTTCTTCATTTACAATACAAATAGATACTACTGTACATGACTGCATTTCAGGTCAGAAAAATTTAAATATAACAACAGGGTAGAATTCAGTACTTTCTATTTGTAAATAACACCCCAGGAGTATTTTCTTTATTATAATGAAACAGCTAGTATAGGGGCTAGTATAGTGAATTGAACTGAATGGAAAATCTCATCTCACAGATTCTTAGTGATTCAGAATGCTGGTGGAACTCTTGATCAGCATTATTGTTTTTTCCAGTGTACACAATTGGTCTTTTCAGATGTAGCAATCACATATTTGGAAAGAAAGAACAAGCACTGGTCCATGTGCTCCTTGAGCACTGGCCTCTTTTATATTCAAAATAGGGAGCTTTGGTTTAATACAGGTTTACTAACCAAGTGCTTAAACCACAGCCTAATCACAGTTTAAGATTCTGGTTGGTAAACCAGCAAACCACGGTTTCCCATTTTGGATGTAACAGGGAACTATAGCTTAAAGAGACCAGGATTGAAGCACTTAAATGAGCATGTGAGGGGAGGGGAAGTAGCAAATGAGGGGAAATCCTCCATTTCCTTTCAACCTGTTAAACTTCCTAATATTCAGGCATACCACAGAGCTCCACAAGGATGTCACAACATGCTCAAAATACCCACACTATAAAGAGTCATAACATATTTCAACTGCATCATGTTGAAGCTTCTTATTGATTCTCTCATTCTAGTAAACATCAGTAGATAAATAATAAAAGGATGAACCAGTAAAAATGTTCATAATAACAACAAGATGAAATTCTTCAGCATGTCTATTAAGAGAATAAATGATCATAAGACACTGCACTCAAACTAATTAGACCAGACAATCCTATTCTCTCCACCCACATACTCTGTGCTTTTCTTTGTTAAAGCTGACCATTAAAGACATGAGGATTTGATCAACAGCCATAAGAAAAATGACTCATTTGGAGTCCTGCTGTTCCACAAGGTGTTGAATCACCAGCGTACAGACACCCAGCCTATAATAACTTGGGCAAAGTCTTCTGTTTCCTACCTGATTATTCTTACACACCCACATTTCTTAAATCCAAGGCAAGCACTAAACCAATGTTTTCTTTGTTAACCTGCTATTGCTAGGAAACTGTGCTCCATCATACTTGAGTGTCTTGGTTATCCATTAGTTAAGAATCTTTTGTGGTTGAAAATGTAGCGGATTGTTTCTGTGGCAAGTGAGATGTTATTCACAAATAATCACAAGTCTTACCATCTCAGTTGGTGGTTTCTAACTGAAAGTGCCTGGATATGGATGTGTCAACAAACTATTCAGATATGACTAAAGAAATGATGTTGAGTCAGTGATAAATTAAAGCCACTGGACTAAATTGTAGATTTCTTCACCAATCCTGCCTGGTCTTGTAGCTCATAGGGACTTGACCCAACTTCTTACATTTCTCTGCTAAATTCCTGCAGCTTTGGTAGCTAGGAATGACATGATGGTGTCCTGGTTCCATACCATACTATTCATATTTTCAGTAGGGTATTATTCCTGGATTCCTGTAGCACCTCACACCTACTCATCCTTAATGGGCAAACCTCCTCCATTTTGTCTATTGACTGACTTCACCTCCCTTCCTATAGCACACTACTTTCCTTTGTTTTCTATTAAGCAACAGAAACATCTGTCCTAAGCTGCAGAGCACAAACTCTGAAAACATTGTAGTTACAATAAAGCAAGACAAGAAGGATTTGGGGGAGAAACTTCCAAAAGATATTAAAACTAATACTAAAATATATTTACATACATAAAAAGCAGGAAACCAGCCACAGAGCTGTGGCAAAGGTGTAAAAAAAAAATATATGAAAGAAGATTAAAAGAACCGAGAAGCTGATAAATTAATTATACCAGTTGTCAATGCAAAGATGGTGGAAATATATGGATATGGTTCACAACTGGTATAAGAACTATGTAAACTTGAGGTAATAAAGGATTAAATTTTAGAATCAGTAAAAAAACCAAAATGTAGAAATTCAGTTGTGAACAGTGCCTGAGGAGAGGAGAGCAGGGAAGTCTTTATTTATTTATAATGCTTTTCATCAGGATAAGCTTCCAGGGCAGTTCACAAAAATCAAACTACAGCAGACTAATTAAAATACAAAAATAATTGAATGAATACAAACTAGTAGATCAGCAGCAATAGATCAGAGGAAGGAATAGTATTATCTCTGGAAATAATTAAGGAAAAAGTAATGACTTTTTAAGCCCAAACTACTCGGTAGCAGATCAGTGTCTTCAAATGTGACTCTGTCCATGTCTAAAGTGAGGGTGCAATTAAAAGAGGTTTCCTTCCCACAATCCTTAACCATGCAGTCTATCTCCTTAAATCTTTCTTTCATCTTGCAAGATTCCAATACTGCAAAAATAAAATCTCAAATGGGAGAAAAAGCAACAGGAGAAAAGGTAGTTGGTGGGGTGGCAATTTAAATCTTCAAAGCTTAGCCCCAGAGTCAGTTTGTTTGCAAATGTACAAATCTGTAAAATGTACAAAGTATATTATATTGTCAATACTAATCCTTCATCCTGTCTAAGGGAGCTCTTTCACTATATAAATCCCCAGCTAGCAAATTGCCTAGCTAAAATTTATTTTTGAAAAGCTGTGCAGAAGGGAAGATGTTTAAAATTTAAAACCAAGATCTGTTGTGTTAGGAGCTCTGTTACTTGCTCCAAAATGGGATATTTTTAATAAAGCTAGTGGGAGTGTTGGCTCACAGTGGGAAGAATCCTGAAGCCAAGCAAGACAGACAACCCAGATGTTAACTGGCTAGCCAAAGCACATGTTGATCCAGTTAAAAATAAGCTATTTTGTAAAGCCATGTATTATTGGATTTACTTTATGGTACAATAATGGTAGAGGCCTAAATATATTTCAAAACCACTACTACCTCACTGAAATGCTATTGTCAAGTTTCCATTAAACATTACATTATTAATATAAACTGCAAAATAAAGTTAGGGACTGTATTTTTAGGTAAAAGCCATTGACCCCTATCTGTGGACACATGAGAATAGCACACCAATATTTCAATTTTGAAATAATCCTGCATGTCTAAGTGTACCTGCATGTACTGATGATGCTCAGCCTAGAAACTGCTGAGGAGGGAATTATCTAGGATCTTCCAAGTAAACAAAACAAGAGCTAAATAGGAAGAGCAGCCTTTGGGCTTAGCTTAACAGGGGGGATCAAATTACAGATACACAAGGATGTAGCTCTTCCATCTCTGAAAATAAATTTCAACTAATTTCAACTGGTTACTTTAAAAGTTTAAATTATTTATTCATAATTTCACACAGCATACCAGTAAAATCCATTTCTTAGCTAACTCATCCAAGTACAAAATAGTCCTGAAGAAGTAAAGTTTGCTCAGGTTTTGCTCAGGAATATTGTAAGTTTATTTTTACAGGATGCAGAAAACGTATACTATTATCAGTTCATCAGCTGAGGGAAAAATGTTTACTGAACATTTAATATGGAACACAAATGAAAAAGAACTTTACAACCCCATATAAAATTTTGAGATAAATGCCCATTGTTTGGCACTTATTTCACACTCTAGGTCCTAAACAACCACAACAGTGTTAACCTTATCTGTTAAAGGTTTTGTACAAGGGGGGAAAGCACAAGCCAGGTTTTTCTTCTTCCCTAAGAGCATGAAGGTGTGACTATAATTCCAGATTATTATTTTTTAAAAAACTTAATAAAGTTAAATTACAAACACATACAGTATTTTCTTCTGTCTTAGGCCCTATTCACATACACATCTCACAGAATGAGAGTCAAATGCTGATGCAGTATAGATTAAAATAGTGTGGCTCTGCCGATTTGACTCTTAATTTTCATCTGTATCTTGTTGGGGATTACACAATTTAGAAGTGACTTTCAGCACTGCTAGCTGTATGTGTGAATGACATTTTTGGCTGTGTTCGAAGGGTAAGAATGTTAAATCCTTCTGAAAGGTTATTCAGAAGCATTACTTCTACTGTTCAGAAATTGTATGTACCATAGTACATTGCCCAAATAAATGTTGAGTGTCATCTGATGCCATAGTTCTCTTGGCCCAGTAAGCAGATGTACCGACTTTAGTTTCTGCATAATTCAATAGTATATTTATTTTCTTCTTTCTCAAAATGGAAATCCTGCTATGGACCAATAGACAAGGTCTGAAGAACCACCGAAGTATTTCTACATGCTCAAAGGAACTTTGAACTTATGCTTCTTGAACTGCGACCCTCGGGGGAGATTTAAAAGCAGTTTTGTGATATGACATGGAGGTGTTCTATTTTTAAGCAAAGGAGGTAAAAAAACAACACTGGAGATAGGTACACTTTTGAATACAACAAATATAGGCCTCTGGATCCTGATCTTTGTCAGTTAAGCCTTTGCAAACTCGATACTAAACACAATGTAAAGGACACTTACAGTACAATCCCATACATATCTTCCCGAGGTAAGCTCTAATGAGTTCAGTGATATTTACTTCCAGATAAATGTGAATATGGCTGCTATCCAAATTGGCTGCTGGTCCTTGCTGCTGGATATGGTTAGGGTAGTGTGCATGCCCCTGACTGCCACAGGAAGTATGGTGGATAGAACACGACAGCCTGTGGTGTTCTCACTCGTGGTAGCACTAGAGGCGCACCCACTGGGCTACTGGGGCACAACCCTCCCAGTAAAAATGTCAAGCATTTTTTCTTAAATCTCCTCTTCAAAATTTCCAAACCACACACACTTTCTGGTCCCACACACATTTTATACTTCCTTGAATTTATGGAAGCATTTCTGTCAGTCTCCTGTTCTCTGGCCAATCACCTACCTGCAGCATTCGGCCAACCCTAATCCAAAAGTATAGCTATGGCAAAGAGGTCCCTCCTATGTGTCTAAGTAGAAAAACCAGGTGACTCATTGAGCTACTGGAAACTCAGCCTTACTTGGAATGTTCCACATTCCACATGTTGTTATGAGACCTATCCAGAGCACAGTCACTATAGCAGATATGAAAGGAACCAGGACTGCTTATGGCTCCACTTCCTTTCCCAAACCTGGAAGATATTCTTCTTAATCTCAGGCATAACAGAGGCGGATTGATTAGTCTGGTGTGATGCACTCAGCATGTGAACATAGATTATGGCTTCACATTTTAAGGACTAAGCCATGCATTGCAATATATTCTGCTGTGCTCCGATGTACCCTGGCTCAAATGAAACAATTGGGTTTTCTGGCCAATTGATTGGAATATTCTGTTCTTTTAATTTAGAGGGGGGAAGTATTTTGGATAGTGAAAAGGTAAATAGATTTTAGCAGGGAACTGTATGCAACTGGAAGCAAGTTTTCCTCACATCTTCTGGCTGGCTGGTGTGAGCCAGCAGGCCTTTGAATATGGTAGTAGGTTTGGCTACTCCACTTGATTCTGCTGCTCCAGGCAAGGGATTGAGCTCTGCCTGATACCTATTTAGATAACTGGTGCCTATCTTACATTTTTTCGGCATACATATAAAAGAAAATTTCAGAACATCCTAAGTGGCACCATGAACAAAATTATATATGTAAAGATATCTGCATCAGTAAAGGGAGCAAAATACCAACCTCTGAATATATATAGTCCTTAAAAAGCTATTTATAATGTTAAAAATGATATTTTAATAAACAATTAGTCTATTTTGATATCCCTAAATGACACAAGCCAGATTAAAACCAATAAGTGTGGATGTTTATGCAGCCAATATGACATTTTTCATGGAAATCACAGAAAGATGCTGATTGCAAAACACTTCTCTCTATCAGATAATATATCAGCAATGGTGCTAAGCTTTGATGGAAGCACGTGTGACAGACAGGCCCTGAGTCTGCCTCAATTATCAGGAACTACATATGCATACTCCAATTCCTGTTTATTGTATTAGTTAAAATTCTACAGCATTCTCCATAAAAGTAACAGTCTACTTCTGGGACAGTTGAAAAGATAAATACTCTGCCAAAATGAAACATATGTATTTGATGTCTGGAATTATATAAAAATTGTAGAAAACCGAATACAAACAAAAATCTACTCACTGCACCATTAAGTTTCAACAACATTTGAAAGAAAAATTCTTAATTATATTCAGCCTCAACAAAAATAAGTTTTCTATCTAGCTTTCAGCTTTGATGGGAGAGTTCTTACCTCCAGCACAAGTAGCAGAACATTCTGACCAAGGTAGGTGATTCCACGTAAAGCCAACTTCATTGTCGCCACTGCCAGTACGAGAGATGGGAACATTGAATTTATACCTTATCCCCAGGTTTTGCTCCTGTAGTAAAATCTGCAGTTGAAAATAACTGGTTATACCATTAAAACACTTGGAAAAGAGTGCACTGATATTTAAACAATGGCTGCATTTGTACTAGATATTTACTTCCAGAGAACAGTTCTGAAAATCCTTGCAACATTCCTAGAATTTAGAATAATTACTTATATCTATCTTTCCAAACTGAAATAGTTGAAAGCTGAAAGTGTGTGCCCCCGGTCAAATGCAGCATGATCCCTCAAGGAGAAATAAAAAAGCAAGAATATAATAAAATGTTCCTGTCAGCTATGTAGCAAAAGAGAAGTGGCATGCTAACAATGCAAGCCTTAACAGGCTTACTTGGAAGTAAGTCCCAGTGGGTTCAATAGAACATGCTCCCAAAAGAGCACACATCAGATTGCAGTCTAAATTCTGCTGAGCTCAAAGGTATGGAATAAGCTTGCCATGCTCCCTATGTTAGAGGCCATAAAAGTTGGTGAAGTAAATATGATTGCCTTGTTTGGAATATCTACAAGTTTTCATAATTGTAAAATAATCTGAATTAAACCCATCAAAGCTCTTGATTTCTTGAGAGTGAGGCAATGCCTCATACAAAGCAGACTGGGCCAATGCAGAAAATCTACAATGTGGTTTTTAAAGGCAGCAGAGATGCTGTTGCAAGTATCCATGAAAAATACATTTGCTTTTAAATTCCTGCTGATAAGACTGTTCTATACCTAATGTTTAAATTGCCTATCTAACACATTCTCTCACTTTTACATATAACTATAATGGAACAACAGATGGAACTACAGAAGGAATTAATCCCAGAGGGAAACTGGCCTTAACGTAAAAAGCAATAAGCATTAAAAAACGCAATTACAAGAATCAGAAGCGTTTGAGCATGTGCAGTGATTTATTTATTAACTTTGCACACTCTCATGCAAGATTACAAAACGCTTAATAGAATCTCCTCGTTTTTGAAGTAGTTTGCTATGCTGCAGGAGGGCACAGACCAATTGTCTGAGAAACATCACTCCAAAGCCTCTGTGGGTAAATGAAACTAACTGAGGGCACGTGAAAATAATTTGGATTCTGGTTGAAGAATGGTCATGAATGACCAAGAATTCATGCCTTCATGTGGATAATGGAGATGTCTAGTGGAGGACAAAGCTCAAAATAATCTGATCCTTTTCCCTGGGTACAGCTTCACTTATCAATTCCAGTCTGCTAGACATGAACTCACATATTTTAAAAAGGTAATTGAACTACTTTACCATGACTATGAGATTTTCTGAGATAGGGCCTAAGGCTTCCAAAGATTCTGGTTCATCTGCTGGCCTTTTATAATGGAAAGCTGTCCCAGCAACATCGAATTTTCTAGGCCAGTCGATAGTCCAGGCACCATTAATATAATAGTCATCGTCCTCAGATTTTAAAGCTTAAAAAAATGCACAAAGTGATTAAACAGTCAGGGATTCAAAGTGTAGCATCAAATGATGTCATAGTGATTGAAAGGTGGGCACCTGTCAGATTTGGCTTTTCAGTGGTGAAGAGATAAAGATCTGACCCCCACCCCGCACCGCCAGCAAGAAAAGATTCTATGGATCGTGAGTATTCTACAGTTCTCTTAAACTTGCAAAGGGTTGTTGAACAGCTTTTAATATCCTAGTTCAGCTTCAGAAATTCTAGTTCAGCTCCAGAAATTTGCATAAATCAATGTTATGCTTGCTTTGTAGCATGTCTTCCACAGTATGATCTATTTTTAAAATGATGACAACGTTACTTTCCAAAGAAATTTTGTTTGTTTCTAATTATTCTTTTGTGGCAGTCACAGTATAACTCTAGCTCTCTAATTAGAACAATTTTTCTAATATTTTGTTTGTTTTAGTTTTCATTCTATAACTAGGTAACTATAGGTATTAAAATATCCAATCGGTATCTTTGTTCTCTAGGGTGTTACAGGGTAATATTTAACAAACATTTTTGTAACTGTGGCTGTAACATGGATCCTGTGGCTTGGGACCACAAGTTGGCAAGAATCACTTGTGGTGGCTACATTCAGGCACAAAGCCAATGTACAACTGTTCCAGGTTTTGCAGACAAAACCTAAAGTATACTATTTCGTGGAGAAAGAGGGAGGGCATGGGCAAGACAACTTAGCAATGCATTTTTCTACTTCTCCCCCTTTTGTTGATTTTTTGATTCCACCTTACACACTAGCATTTGCCACTACCACTTTTGCGCTGATACTAAACCATTTTAATTATTCCCACACTGTCATTTAATTATTCCCGCACTTACAAAAGTAGTAATCAGTATATAATGTCACATTAAATCTACCTATATTGTTTGGTGCCCAATACTGGAAAGAGCTTAATAAGTTGCAGTGGGGCTGTATCTTATGTCAGTCTGCTTCTGAGATTTCTGGAGTTAAGAAACCAATGGAAACTACTCCAATTCTAAACATGACTAGCTCTTAATTCAAAATAAAAAATGACAGAATGCTTCAGAGATACCTTAAACTCATGCAGTTTGTAGTAGAAGAATGGCACAGGGGAAAGACCCCAAAAAAGGAAAGGACTGAATTAATCTATGTGAATCTGCATCGCATAACTGACATTTTCTGTGTGGTCAGGTCTCATTGTTGTAATAATAATGGCTTTAATCAGAAACCATGAGGATTAGACAGATTCAATTTACTTCTTATGCTGCTGCCTCACTTTCTGGGAGCCAGTGGTGATGGCACAGGAAGTAACCATGGCATTCATTCAATCTTCATTATTACTGGTTTTAAAAATTACCACTGAGGAATGGATATCTGACTTATGTGAAAGTGGTTATCCAAGACAGCAGCTCACTTTTTTTTAATATTATTTTTTATATTGTAAGCTGCCTTTATATATTTTATGAAAAGGGCAGCTTATAAATAGACAAACAAACAAACAAAATATTAATCAGACATCAGAATGAACTAACACAAGCTGGTCTTCTTTTACCGTTAGCCTGAAACACTCTCTGCTTCCCATATATAAGGGATTAACTTACTTGAGGCCCCACCCGCTTTCCTCAGAGCCCCAATTTTCATAACCCCCACAACTCTGCTCTTAGCAAATGCCTGTCCTACTTCTGTGTCTTAGAGCAAAGCAAGCAGGCCCTGAACAGCTGAGATTTGCACCAGCAGTACTCCCTCCCATGGGAGCTAAGCCACCCAAGGGGTAAAATAACGGAACACGACAACAATTTGGGGTTAAAATGGACACAACTTTATTGATTTCAGGTGTAGGTAAGCCTTGGCATAGGCATTAGGCATATATCACTCTCAGCCCCCTGCTGGGGGTCTGAGGCATGACAGGGTCAGTTAGGGGGGAGATGGGACCATCCCCAAACATAGGTTTACACAGATGGTTTCTCCCAAGTCGCTGAGGGAAGCTCTATGGCCCTTCAGCCACACGGTTCTGACTTGACAGAGTCTTCCCTCAAGACCCCGCTAACGGGGTACCCTGTTAAAGCCACTGCAAGAAGCAGGTGAGTCACCACTTCACCCCTTCATCAGATGCTGGTCTAAAGGATTCCACCCAAGGCCTAAACCGCCAAAGTTGTGACTATTGCTACGGGGAAGGCAAAACCTGGTACAGTGGTACCTCGGGTTACATACGCTTCAGGTTACATATGCTTCAGGTTACAGACTCCACTAATCCAGAAATAGTACCTTGGGTTAAGAACTTTGCTTCAGGATGAGAACAGAAATTGCGCAGCAGTGGCGCAGCGGCAACGGGGGGCCCCATTAGCTAAAGTGGTGCTTCAGGTTAAGAACGGACCTCTGGAACGAATTAAATACTTAACCCGAGGTTCCACTGTACACAGGAAAAATTCATTCCCAGCTCTGAAAACAACAACCATTATAAACCACAGCAAAGCCTACAGACCTGTAGAAAAAAGTGAGGCTGCAAATGTAAAGAGAGATTAGAGGGTGGGCTGAGTGGGTGATGCTCTGGGCCAAATGTGCTGTGGTGAACAGCGCCAACCTGCTTAAATGAGCAGGGAGCGGACCAGAGTGAAGACTACCACCTTGTAGTCCACTCTCAGGGCCTGCCCCCGGGCTGTCGCAGATTGGTTGAATTCTAACTGGGTCTGGTGGGGACCCAGGAGACACCGTGCTGGCCAGGGGGAAGAGCCAATGGCTGCAGAAGCATGGCGTGGCTCCAGGAGGATGGGGGTTATGCCACACCAGGTCATAACCACCACCCACCTGCCAACTGGGTAAGCAGCCATTTTTGAATTAATCAGTGCAATAAATGTACATTTAGCCCAACATGTGCCTCTCGAGGCAACCTAGATGTGGCATTAAAGGCATGATTACATTCAAAATGGCACTTTTTTGTTACAGAGCAGCTGAGGGTAGAAATAAGCAACAGGACTGTGGTTTTTGAGATAGAAAAGTTAACTCTTTTCACCTGATTAAATTAGACACCCTGAAGCTGCTGCTAGCTTCAGAAGACAGCTTCCACTTGTACCAACATAAGTTTTCCTTTCAAGGCTTACCCACAGCTTTAGGGTGGGCTGGAAATTTTTATGTGGTTCATAGAAGGGGAAGAATTAACACCCCTCTCCTCACACCACAGCCCTGATAAGGTCATTGTGGCTGTTACTTAAAATAAATTAAAAACAGACATGTTAAATGCAATGACAGATACATATGCTCATAAATTAAATGGGGTTAGGTAAAGAGGCAGTCTTAATGTTATTTGTAGACCTATGCAATTGTATGTAATCTGGTGCATGCCATAATTTTGTTATTTGAATCCAACCCTAATTGAGTTTTTACAAGCAATATAAGAGCATCCTCTTACCAATGTAGTTCTTTGACACAGCCACTTCTTTGATTTCAATGTGAACAGAACCTTTTGGAATCTGTACCACTTCCATGTAGCCTACAAGACGAAGGTGAAACTTATTTTATGTTATCGTTTATAGCTGAACCCATGCTTGTAAATTTTCTAGGAATTACAATATAATATTGAAAGGATTAAAAAGGACCATTGGCTTCTATCTGAATGGTAGTTCTATATTGCTGGTAAAAGCTTATCAATGCACGTTTAAATGCCACTTTGTGGTATAGGGCAGGTACGCAAACTTGAAGGAACTGGGTAGCTCCCAGAATCCAGTTCGCATCCTTGTCAAGCTCAAACAGGCCATTGAAGAAAAATCATTTAAACCAGACACCTTGACTGGGTATGGAATTTCCAAGTCTATATTGGGATTGAAAGCCTCAAAATAACTGATTGGATTGGTAAGGGAAAACACCTATCATCTCAACGAGAGGAAAGGAAGCTCTTCCGTTTATTGTGGGCCATATTCTTGAAAGCTTTCTGTCCAGTATTAACAGCAGCAGATAATTATAATATTATTATTATGTTTATTACATTTGTTAGTCATTTTATCTTGCCCAAAGCAACTTTCAACCCCAAACAACTTACAGTATTAACTCTAGCAGTGGTGTCAGTTGGCCACAGACATAGACTTGTTATATTGTAGGGGAGCATCCCACTCTGCCTTAGTTATAATTTTAAAAGCAGCAAACACTGAGAGTGACTTCACTGCTGCACAGGTGAGCTCTGCAGGGTGGGTAGTTAAGCCCAAGAGCTATTGTCACTCTTCTATATATATTATAGATTAAATGCTGGGAGAGCTCCTCCTCAACTTCAGAGCCATCACTCCACTTCTGGATATGAGCTTAACCACTTCAACAAAGGCAGGGAAGTGAATTGGATTCTGGGAGCAGCCTACTTATTTTAAGTTTCCTGGCTTCAACTATAAGGTGGTACTGCAACTTGCACTGATTAGCTTCAGCAGCAACGGGAAAATGGTCTGGACCATTCTTATGACAAGGACACCGACAAATGACTCTGGCGTAAGTCTGAAAGAAACAGAAAAGTTGAAACTCCTACATTATTTCTGGATCCTTCTTGGATTCTCCTTTTCATAAATTCATGTCCTAAATGAGTCACACTTCAATCCCAGAATTATGAAGAAATAATAATATCTATATTTGCTTCTCTTACATGATAACTAGACATTTCTAAGGCAGCCTTACAACATGCAAGTAGCAGGAAATGATGGAAGGAAGGAGAAGTAAGTAACAGGGCTGGGTCAAAAGTAGGCAACAATTTTATATTAACCAGCACCAGAATAGTTTTGTGACAAATGGACAGGGACTCAAGTAAGTCATGCCCAATCCAACAGCTGGATAGACTGTAGTGGGGGGTGGAATGGCATCAGCAAGAGATATTGCTATATTTAGTTACTTTCTAAACTGTAGTCCTTTTATAGTTAAGAACATTTTGGCAAATGCCTTCACACTTACCTCCTCTAGGCAATGTGTCATTGAAAAAACCTTCGATAGCTTCACATGTACTCCCATCTCCTCCACATACTCGACATCTGTCTTCTTTAGCATCTGATCCCAAAATATTGTCACACCCAACATGCTGAAAATAGGTACAATCAGAATAATTATGCAATAAGATAATTGCATCCTCAGTTAAAAACACTGGGGACAGTAGTTTTAGAAATTTATGGCCAAATTAATGGCATTCTTAAATTATTCTCAAACAAAATTGTTGTGAAATCTCTTTTGCTTTTCTGTTTTATGGTGATGACAATGAGAAACTGCAAATAATAATAAGCTATTATTTCTTTACATGAACACCTGAACATTTGTACCACATATTTTGCATTGCACATTATAAATTACAGTGGTACCTCTGTTACCAGCCCAGTTAATGAATTATTCAGTGTACGAACTCCACAAAACCGGAAGTAGGTGTTCTGGTTAGCGTACTTTACTTCAGAAGACAAATGGAAGCTGAACAGTGGAAGGGCACCGGCGGCGGGAAGCTTCAGTAGGGAAAGCTTGCCTTGGTTTAAGAACGGACTTCCGGAACGAATTAAGTTCGTAAACCGAGGTACCACTGTACACCATTCCACTGTTTTGTGACATTGCACTGCTGTACCTGCTATTCCCCCATCCTAAGCTCTTGGATGCTGATGCACCTTAGGATCAGATTGCTAATTTTGTTGGTAATCAAAAAACAAACCAACAAGTAGCAGTTATAGTGTTTTCTTCATGCACTTGAAAGAATGTTTTTAGTTATTTGTTTTGTTTGCTTGTATCTGGAATGTAATTAAGAAACATGTCTATGCAACAATTCAGAGAAGTTCAGAATATTCTACTCTCAGCAGCTCCTTTAATTTAGAGCCACCATTCAAAGCAGATCACTGAAACTGGCACAAGTGGTGTTAGTCTGGAAACTTCTCTGAAACCCATGAAAAAAAGGATGGGTACCCCAAATAGTTTATTATTGGCAGCTCTTACACTAGATGAAAACGGACGCGGGTGGCGCTGTGGGTAAAACCTCAGTGCCTAGGACTTGCCGATCGCATGGTCGGCGGTTCGAATCCCCGCGGCGGGGTGCGCTCCCGTCGTTCGGTCCCAGCGCCTGCCAACCTAGCAGTTCGAAAGCACCTCCGGGTGCAAGTAGATAAATAGGGACCGCTTACCAGCGGGAAGGTAAACGGCGTTCCGTGTGCTGCGCTGGCTCGCCAGATGCAGCTTGTCACGCTGGCCACGTGACCCGGAAGTGTCTGCGGACAGCGCTGGCTCCCGGCCTATAGAGTGAGATGAGCGCACAACCCTAGAGTCTGGCAAGACTGGCCCGTACGGGCAGGGGTACCTTTACCTTTACACTAGATGAGGTGCTGATAGGGAAACGTTTTCTAGTTGATTTGGTGTAAATTAATAAGAAGCATGGTACCTTGCATTCTCCATTGATACAAATATCTAGCGAATCTGCATTGCATTGCGTTCCGTCGATCACTGCAGGGGCACGTTCAGTATAAAAGTTGTAACCTTCTGCTAAGCAGTTTAATGCACATGGCTTAACACCACCTAGGCAAATAAAAACAATATTATATTATATTGAACCATGGCCCACCATTTCTTGCCACTGCAACTGCTGCGGCCATTTTTTGACACCAGCTGCTACCCCTGCAGACAGCTTTGTGGTCGTCACTGACACTACCAATACTGTGCAGCCAATGCCTGTGGGCACAGTATTTCTATCATTTCATATTTATTTCATAAAATTTATATACCACTTGATTGTAAGAAGGAACTCAAAGCAGTTAAACAACCTCAAAGTGTTTGCTGAAAGGTTGAGCAGCTACAGATCACCTTTGCTACAACCAAGGCACCCCACGAACAGTGTGCAGGGAGAAGAGCAGTGGTGGGCAAGCAGGCAAGGCAAGCAAGCAGGGTTCGGAATTGTGCTAATTTGCCACCTCTGCCCCTGGCCAACTAAGGCAATTGCCTCATTTCGTGGGTCAGCCTGGTTCTGTACTCTCCATGTCTTCTTCACACTTACAATTTCGTCTTCAGCCTCTAGCCTCTCTGCCTGACCCACTTATACTGATGCCATTGGCTTAGCTGCTCTGATGTTAAAAAGGAACTGGGTAGCCTTGGACTAGTCCAGTAATGGCCAAACTTGGCCCTCCAGCTGTTTTGGGACTACAATTCCCATCATCCCTGGCTAACAGGACCAGTGGTCAGGGATGATGGGACTTGTAGTCCCAAAACAGTTGGAGGGCCAAGTCTGACTATCACTGGACTAGGCATATGCTAAGAGGGAGAGCTTGGAATTCAGTTCCAGCAGCAGTGAGTATTTTTGGGTTGAACAATCCAGATAGTCCTCCAGAATAGCCTTCTCAGCAAAAGCCTCCTTTCTGACAAACTTGCTCAGCCACAATCCAGTTCTAGTTTGAGCCTCCCTACACTTGAAGAAGGAATAACTTGTAGGGAAGTTCAAAGGACGGGCTATTGACCTGCTTAAGATAATGATATGTCATTGCCTGTTATATAGCCTAAGATGCTGTAGTATTGAGGGCTTGGATATGAATATCAGCAGTAGTGCTTATGCCATTCCCCCCCCCCAAAGTCCATTGGGACAGGTAAAGGCCTCCGCACCATGTCTTCTTCAAGCAGTATGATTACAAAACAATGTATTACCTCCTGTATATGGTTTCCAGTTGTAATATTTTCCTCGGAAAGGCATATTGTCAAAGTCTGCACACTGTTTTTCTCGAAAATCGCGGGCCCCAAAAGGACATGGCTAATAAAATAATAAAATAAGTTAGTATTTGCTAAACTTAAATATTAAAAGGCACACATTAATGGCTCAGCATGAGACCACTGATTTTCACAATAAAAGTTGTTTCAAATAAAGTTGCTAAACAATATATCATAATTGCTTGCTTTTTTTATTCTGCTTCTTTGATTTTAAAACTGGATGTCAGTTACAAAGTTATTTTAAGAACGTAAAATGAATCTTTTAATTCAAATGCATGTCATTATTCACTTTGTTTATGTAAAGACTAGGCACAAATTCTTCATTAGTATCACAATTTTAAAACTGCAGGTTACAATCCTAATTAAAATGCAGTTATTATTACTTATATACCACCCTTCATCACAAGATCTCAGGGCAGTTCACAGAATATGTTCGCAATCCTATGCAGGTCTAGTCAGATAAATGTGAATACAATTGCCACATCAGTTAAGTATACTGAACTATTTTGATTTCAATTGGTTGTGTCCAGAATTAAACCTTCCTATCTAATGCCCTAGGCTGCTTTGCTGGAGCTCAATCTCACAGGACTCAACCTCAAAGACTTATTATTGTCAATAGTTGTGCCACATGAAGAATGCTAAGATGAGAGCAAGGCTTTGCTAAATCAAAGATTCTGCTATATAAGTTTAATAGAATCAGGTAATAGCAGTCAATGTAGGTTGCTGCATCATGTTTCTCCAGTCAGTTTGTAAAATGTGACTAAAATGTCTTATACATGTGGGGAATATGAAACATGAATGATGTTTAGCTCTTGTATTACTACTTGAACAGATATAGGCTTTTGCATTAATTACAGGGCAATCTTCTTCACATCCACCAACATTCAAGTGGCCAGAGGATTGGAGAAGATCAGTCTACATCCCAATTCCAAAGAAGGGCAGTGCCAAAGAATGCTCCAACTACCGCACAATTGCACTCATTTCACACGCTAGCAAGGTTATGCTTAAAATTCTACAAGGCAGGCTTAAGCAGTATATGGACCGAGAACTCCCAGAAGTGCAAGCTGGATTTCGAAGGGGCAGAGGAACCAGGGACCAAATTGCAAACATGCGCTGGATTATGGAGAAAGCTAGAGAGTTCCAGAAAGACATCTACTTCTGCTTCATTGACTATGCAAAAGCCTTTGACTGTGTCAACCGCAGCAAACTATGGCAAGTTCTTAAAGAAATGGGAGTGCCTGATCACCTCATCTGTCTCCTGAGAAATCTCTATGTGGGACAAGAAGCTACAGTTAGAACTGGATATGGAACAACTGATTGGTTCAAAATTGGGAAAGGAGTACGACAAGGCTGTATATTGTCTCCCTGCTTATTTAACTTATATGCAGAATTCATCATGCGAAAGGCTGGGCTGGATGAATCCCAAGACAGAATTAAGATTGCTGGAAGAAATATCAACAACCTCAGATGTGCAGATGACACAACCTTGATGGCAGAAAGTGAAGAGGAACTAAAGAACCTTTTAATGAGGGTGAAAGAGGAGAGCGCAAAATATGCTCTGAAGCTCAACATCAAAAAAACGAAGATCATGGCCACTGGGCCCATCACCTCCTGGCAAATAGAAGGGGAAGAAATGGAGACAGTGAGAGATTTTACTTTCTTGGGCTCCATGATCATTGCAGATGTTGACAGCAGTCATGAAATCAAAAGATGCCTACTTCTTGGGAAAATAGCAATGACAAACCTAGACAGCATCTTAAAAAGCAGAGACATCACCTTGCCAACAAAGGCCCGTATAGTTAAACCTATGGTTTTCCCAGTAGTGATGTATGGAAGTGAGAGCTGGACCATAAAGAAGGCTGATCGCCGAAGAATTGATGCTTTTGAATTATGGTGTTGGAGGAGACTCTTGAGAGTCCCATGGACTGCAAGAAGATCAAACCTCTCCATTCTGAAGGAAATTAGCCCTGAGTGCTCACTGGAAGGACAGATCGTGAAGCTGAGGCTCCAATACTTTGGCCACCTCATGAGAAGAGAAGACTCCCTGGAAAAGACCCTGATGTTGGGAAAGATTAAGGGCACAAGGAGAAGGGGACGACAGAGGACGAGATGGTTGGACAATGTTCTCGAAGCTACCAGCATGAGTTTAACCCAACTGCGGGAGGCAGTGGAAGACAGGAGTGCCTGGCGTGCTCTGGTCCATGGGGTCATGAAGAGTCAGACACAACTAAACGACTAAACAACAACAACAGGCTTTTGTATTAATTACAGGACAATCTTCACATCCACCAACATTTATGTATCCTGATCAACTTTACTTGGGCAAGCTGAAGCACTGAAAACGACTCAAGGCCCACTGTCTGAGAAACACTGCCTCAGGCAAATGTCTTTTTCTTTGACTGTGGTTTCAACTGCAAGACATGACATTTTCTCTGTGGTTTGGTCAAGGCCAAAATGAGGGATGGTGCTAAATGTGTGTGGTTAAATGAGGCATTCTTTTTTCACTTCTGATTGGGAGATTTGCTTATTGTTGAAATGTGCAAGCCTTTCTAGTCATTTGGAGAAAGAGCACCTTTCTCTAGGTCATGGCTCTGCAGGTCACCCAGTTAACAGTAAGCACTGTACTTGGATTTTGTTTTGCTCAATGTGGGCATCAAAGTCTCTGGTTTGGTAGGGAAAGAAACTCCTGCCAAAAGTCAAGCCAACCATGAGAAAAATGTTTTCACATAAACAATAGAATTTTGTAGCTCAATTTTTCACTCTATTGGCAAGTGCTTTGCCAAGGGAAAGGGAGAATCTTGCTCTGTATTTTGCAACAGAATGTTTAATGGATTACCTTATTAAATTGTCAGATGTGACCTTAAAGGATGCAATCCACGGCACAATTGCCAGTGCAAGCTCTCTCCCTCTGGCAAGAAAATGGGAAAGTTTTTATTATGGATTTCTTCAATTCAAGTGGCAGTTGCTACTTAAGGCATGTACTTTCACCCTTTTTCTAACTCTTCCAGCTAAAAGAGATACAAAGAATAGCCAGTGATGGTGGAGTCTTGCTATTTAAAGTAAGTACACCTATTGAAGCTTACTGGCTGAAGGTCATCAAAGGCAGATATAGGGGAGTGTGACCAGTTCAGCTGCCCAGCAGTCTCCCTGTCTGAGCTGATCTCATTGGAGGCGGTGTTGAGGACCAAGACTGCTGGTTTGGGGAGACTTCAACATCCATGCGGAGGTGTCTGACTCTGAGGTGGCTCTGGACTTCATGACTGCCATGACGGCCATGGGGATGTCCCAACATGTCACCAACACATGTGGCAGGCCATACTCTGGACCTTGTTTTCTCAGCTGGGAGATCTGAAAGTGGGGGATATTAACATCAATCCCTTGTCATGGTCATATCACTTCCTGTTGAGATTTAGGCTTCCAGCACCTTTCCCCCTCTGCAGAGGGTGGTCTGCACTCAGAGGCAGATGGATCCAATGGGTTTCCAGATGGCTTGGAGGGATTTTCTGGCTGATATGACTGGTGCTCTTGCTGAAGCCCTGGCCAACCCCTGGAACATCCAAATGGCTCAAGCAGTTGACACAATCACTCTGGAGTGCCGTCTTCTGCTTCATGGAGTCTGCTTGGTTCCCTGGTATACTCCAGAGCTTAGGTTGAGGAAACAGGCTGGGAGGTGGCTTGAATGAGAGTCAAATGCAATCGAACACTGGTGGGGGCTCATCACTGAGTCCACCTAGCGACAGCGAAGGCAGCAAAGAAGGCATACTTTGCTGCCTCCATTGCATTGTTCTGTCTGGCAAAGCTTTTCTGGATAGTGTGGGGCCGCTTACAGTCTGGCCAAAGGAGGTGGCAGAACCGGCAGTAGCTCATTGTGACTTGTTTGCAAAGCATTTTGAGGATAAAATCGCTTGCATCCACTGAAATCTTGACCCCGCTATTACAGTAGATGAATCTCAATGGGTGTCCAGATTAGAAACTGACCAGCATTTCTATTAAGCCAAAAAATTCTGCTTAATACATATCAAGCCTGGATTATATGTAACAGAAAGTAAATGCTAGCTAAACCCTTCTCTCAGATGTGCATGAGGAGAGTGAAAGGAGGAGAGTGTGAGCTTGCAGGCACAGTGCTGAACTATGGTTTAGAGCAGAGCTTTTCATGTTGGTGACATGCTTTTTTAGGCACGCGACACAGTAATTGTTTTACTAGCAAACCAAAGGTTAAACCAGGGGTCAGCAAGGCCACAAGCGGCCCACGGGGGTCATTTTACTGGCCCATGAGCCGCTCCCGAACTGAGCTGCCCACTCAGTGAGTCCCCGCGCACTGCGCTAAACTGGCACAGCACGGCGCAGGGACTCACCGAGCAGTGCCAGAAATCACCTCTGCACAGACACAGACGTCGGAAATCGCGAGCGCACACACTCACAGGATCTGGCCCACAGAGGGGGCTCCGCAGCAGTGAACCAGCCCAGGCAAAGTAAGCCTTGCCGACCCCTAGGTTAAACTAACCCCTTTCCAGCCTTGGGAGGAGTGTGGGGAGCATTCGTGTGACACACCTACACACTGCAGCCGACACACTAACATGTCACGACATACAGTTTGGAGAGCTCTGGTTAAGAGTTACAGTATAAGCAAACCAGCTTACAATATGAGATAACTGGTAAAGCTGGAAGTTGCTGCTACTTCTTGTTTCCAGGTTTTACAGATTAGGTTTAATCTTATTCCCTCAGTTTTAATATTAGGAAACATGTTATCCATCGAAGGCCAAACAATGTCTGAAGGATTTTGTTGAAGAATGTGTTGGAGTTGTCTATGCTTTTTTTAAAGGATTAAAAGGGTCAAAGGGAAGAGAAGGAAAATTAGCTGTTGTTTGAAGTAAAAATGCTGAGATTTTTGTTTAGGAATAATAAGAACTTTAGGGAGTAATACTTTTTAAATTACAAAAGGAATAGTGAATGCTGACACAAGAAACCCCTACAAATGTCAGTGGGTGTAAGCATCACATTCTTCATTAAAATAATGACAAGCACACAAAACTTGTGGCCTTTTAATTCACACATTAATCAAATGTCTCTCCCTTCCAATGTCTTTTGCTTCAAAGAGTGATGAGTAATAAGGTCTGTCATAAATCCTGAAAATGGGTCTATCTCAGCAACTTTGTGTTTCATTAAAGCCATGTTAATAAATTTATAATCAATGACTACAGTTTTTAATCACCACTTATGTTACAGTAGAACTTAAACTGCTGAATGTCAGAACATTTGTGCATCCCCTCATGACATTACACTAATTCAAAACATGTGTACATATTAAAAATGAAATACAGACGAGGCACTGTTAAGAAGATACTTATTAATATATTTTGATATGATAAAATGTTAACTATATTAAGATCTAAAAGGAGTGTTCATTAAAAATATTATTTTTCCTCCCTTCACATTTTCTCATAATAGTAAATGGAATTTAGCCTTTACTCCAAAGGTAATAATAATAATAATAAATTTTATTTATATCCCGCCCTCCCCAGCCGAAGCCGGGCTCAGGGTGGCTAACAACAATCAAATAATCCAACAATCAAATAATCCAACATTCTAAAAACATTTCATTATAAAATGAAAATTAATTAAAATCAAATTGATGGCAACCGTTAAGCAAAATTCTGTGCAGGTTGCCAGAGGAGGGAGTCAGGCTGCGCCCTGACCAAAGGCCTGGTGGAACAACTCTTGTCTTGCAGGCCCTGCGGAAAGATGTCAGGTCCCGCAGAGCCCTAGTCTCTTGTGACAGAGCGTTCCACCAGATTGGAGCCGCAGCCGAGAAAGCCCTGGCTCTAGTTGAGGCCAGCCTAACCTCTCTGTGGCCTGGGACCTTCAGGATGTTTTTATTTGCAGACCGTAGGTTCCTCTGTGGGGCATACCAGGAGATGCGGTCCCGTAGGTACGAGGGTCCTAGGCCGTATAGGGCTTTAAAGGTTAAAACCAGCACCTTAAACCTGATCCTGTACTCCACCGGGAGCCAGTGCAGCTGGTATAGTACCGGATGAATGTGATCTCACAGCGAAAACCCCATAAGGAGTCTCGCCGCGGCATTCTGCACCCGCTGGAGTTTCTAGGTCAGTCTCAAGGGCAGCCCCACGTAGAGCGAGTTACAATAATCCAGTCTGGAGGTGACCGTCGCGTGGATCATAGTGGCTAGGTCAGGGCGAGAGAGATAAGGGGCCAACTTTGTTATAGCTGTAATCTGCGCCTCCATAGAGAGGGAGGTATCGAAGATTACACCCAAACTCTTAACGGATGGTGCTGGCACTAATTGCACCCCCGCAAGAGATGGGAGTTGCCCCCTCAATCCCATATCGCCCCGTCCCAGCCAGAGGACCTCTGTCTTCGAAGGATTTAACTTCAACCGGCTTCCACGTAACCATTCAGCCACAGCTTCCCGACATCTGGTCAGTGTGTCTGGGGCCGAGTCAGGATGGCCATCCATCAACAGATAGAGTTGGGTGTCATCGGCATACTGATGGCAACCCAGCCCAAAACTCCGGACAAGCTGGGCGAGGGGGCGCATAAAGATGTTAAAAAGCATCGGGGAGAGAATCGCACCCTGAGGCACTCCACCCACCAAGGACTGGCGCAATGACAATTCCCCCCCAAGCGCCACCCTCTGTCCCCGACCAGAGAGAAACGAGCGCAGCCATTGAAGGACTGTGCCCTGAATCCCCACGTCGGCAAGGCGGTGGTCCAGGAGTTCGTGATCGACCATGTCGAAGGCTGCTGACAGGTCTAGAAGAATCAGCAGCCCCAGCCCGCCTCGATCCAGCTGCCTGCGGAGATCATCTATTAGGGTGACCAGAGCCGTCTCGGTCCCATGACCAGTGCGGAAGCCGGACTGGAATGGATCCAGAGCCGATGTTTCATCCAGAAACCTGCCAAGCTGTTCAGCAACCGCTCTCTCAATCACCTTACCCAGGAATGAAAGATTTGAAACCGGGCGGTAATTGGATAGATCTAAGGGATCTAATGATGTTTTCTTTAAGAGCGGGCGCACCACTGCCTCCTTCAGTTCCCCTGGGAATATCCCGGTGCCAAGGGACAAATTGATATCCCCCAGGGTGGCCCGCACCTTGTCTGGACACGCTCTAATCAGCCAAGACGGGCACGGGTCAAGAGGACAAGTGGTGGGCTTTCCAGCTCGGAGGAGTCTTTCCACATCGGCTGGGGATATCCGGTCAAAGTGGTCCAATACTGGACCCGAGGACAGTCGAGGGGCCTCCAGTTCCTTTATTGTATCCAAACTGGCTGGGAGGTCATGGCGGAGCAACAGGACCTTCTCCGCAAAAAAGCTCGCAAATGCCTCACAGCTGTGTGTCAGATTGTTATTTAAATTTGGCTGTCCTTCAAGGGACATTAAAGACCTAATTATACTCAATAATTGTGCCGGGCGAGAGCTAGCGGATGCAATGGAGGCCGAGAAGTAAGACTTCTTAGCGGCCTTCACTGCCATCTCATAGGTTTTCATAAAAACCCTGTAAGATGTTCTTGAGGCTCCGTCACGGGCACCCCGCCATACTCGCTCTAGCCGTCCCGCTTCATTTTCCAAAGCTCCTCGGTAAACCAGGGAGCCCGGTTTCTGCGGGGTCGCAGAGGGCGCTTAGGTGCGATCTCATCGATGGCTGCCAGGAGCTGGGTATTCCAGCCCTCAACAAGCTAACAATGGGTAACAATGGGTAACAAGGTAACAATGGGAATGCAATCTCTGAAGGGAACTGTTGATAATCAAAACTTTATGGATAGCTTCATGTATACTACCTTTAAAATGCAGCAAAAAGCACAATGGAGAAAAATTGTTACACAGTTTTCTGCCTTTCCTAATTTAAATAATTAACCTTGCTCTCAGTATTTCAGTATTAGATATGACTGCAGCTTTTAACTGTTTATCTGAATGTACTTTGTCTTCTTAACTGATTGATCCTGCTTTCCTTCAAGGAACTGAAGGTGGTGTACATAGTTCTCCTCAATCTTTATTTTCTCATCACAACAACTCAGTGACAACAACAAGCTTCATGGCCGAGTGGGAATTTGAACCCTGGTCTCCCAGTCCTTCATGCTTAAAAGTGGAAGATAGAAATATCAAGCAGCACTAAGAGTAAAATTCTACCCTTGAGGTACATCATGTGAAGAACTATAGTGGAAGCTCCACTACAACAGTGAAATTACACCAGTGTAGCAGTGAGGATATGTCAGTTCATTCCTGTACCAGCATATGTGCACCACCAGCATAAGGTTGAAAACAAGGAGATGAACCATTGGTCTTATCTGAAACGTGTTTCTGATTGGACATGAGGATGCCACCTATTGCTCAAAGGCAAGATACATTACTCCTAATGAACCCAGACCCTCCGATCATCATTGGAGGCTCTTCTCTGTAAGTCTCCTCCACAAGAGGCCCAGAGGGTGGCAATATGAGAATGGACCTTTTCTGTGGTGGCTCCCCATTTGTCGAATGTTCATCCCAGGGAGGCTTACCTGGTACCTTCATTATACACTTTTAAGGACCAGGCAGAAACATTCGTCTTCAACCCAACCATTAGTTGATTAATACACTATATCCTTTTAAATGTGCTTGTAGGAGGGGGGTTATTGTTTTGTTTTGGTGTTTTGTGTTTGTATCTTGTGTACCACCCTGAGATCTTCAGATGAGGGGTTGTATACAAATTTAATAAATAAATTCTCCTCCTCCTCCTCATCTAAGATTGTTGGATTCTAGCTTAACTTTGGATTACTCACATCAGTATTACAGGAGCGATATCTTTTCCTTTCTCCAAGGCAATATTTTCCTCCACCTGACGGTCTGGAAAAAATTGTATGCAGTTTACGCATATGTAACATATGAAGTAAGCAATGATAAAAAAACTACACACTACAGGACATTTGCCCCCACAATTCTTTTCTAATACAAATTGATGATACTGTATATTTTTTAAAACTTCACATTTCATTAATACAAACTCAGCTGGCAAATATATTTGTAAAATTACACTTCAGAAAAGGAAGGTAAAACACAATTTCTTCTATTTTTGTATCATTCCCACCAAAAGCAGAAAAAATGTGGCAAAGTTATATATTCTACTAATGTTTTAAATTAATACTCAAGTTCTAAACATTTATTTTGCCACCAGTAGGCAGTACCAGTAAAAACCCACCATGACACAGCATTTGTAACACTCTGTTAGTGGAAGTCATTACTTCTAGATCTGAGCACTTATTTGCTGGTGCAGAAGTTTTAGCATTATACTAAGATGAATCAAAATTAAGGAAACACTGCTTTTCATTACTAGGGTCAAGCTGATATTCTCTAATACCAGAGTTCCTGATTATTATTTCAATTTGACAACAATAAGTGTTCAAAAACCTCACTAGACTAGTGCTAATCTTTGTATGTGTTTAAGGTAGTGTTCTTCATCTTGGCTATTATCCTAAGCACACACACACACATTATAAGCAAATGTTACTTGAATAATTCACAGTACAATCCTATATATGTTCGCTCAGAAATAAATCCCACTAAGTTCAATGGGACTTGCTCTCTGGTATGTGTATATAGGATTGCAGCCTTAGAAGACTTCAGAGGACATATAAACAAAATTAAAGATAAGTTTATATGATTAACTATAAGAGAGTTTGTAAAATTCTATTCTTTTCCGTTGCTACTAATATTTGAAAATAATCAGGGCGTTATTACATGACTAGATGGGGAGTAGTTATCTAGGATTTAATAGGACTCAAGTATTATCCAGACTGGTCTTTTGTCATCCATTTATTACTTAAAGTGTTATATAGTATGTTATGAAATAATATGGCATTTCTGGTCACACAAGCAAGGTATCACATGGTTGCAATATCTGCTGATAAACATGATTCTCAAAACCATGTAACATGCAATTTTAGTGAGTTTTTGTTACTTAAAATAAAATGTGATTTTATTTTAATATTTTAAAATGCTGAATATAATGGACAGGATCCAGGCAATTTGCACTTTTATGCCCTATTCACTACAATGGAGAAGTTAAGCATATGGGATTCAAAAGTGCTCCCCTGCATTTAAATGTATCCATTGTTGTTAAATGAAATTAGTTGAGACCCAAAGGGTCAGAAAATATGCACAGCACTTAACTATGCAAAAGAGCTTTCTTGTTTTCTTCTGTGCAAAGTTAAAAATTGGTAAAGACCATGTTCCTGCTCACCTAGAGTGGTTTTCTTTGCACAGAGGAGAAAATGAAGTACTCTAGCTGGACTGAAGTATAATTCTTTTGACCATTGTGTTTTTAAATGTATAAATGTTATATATGAATTAAAACATTTGAGATATGCCTTAACACATATATTCCAGTACCTACGAATGCTGGTGTTTCGTAGAAAAGTCTATTATTATGTAAGCAGCTGATGTGGAATAGATCCTGAAAAAAATTACACCAGTGTGTATTCACTGAAATCAGTCAGACTACTCTAAAAGCCAAATATCCAGGGGCTCTGCAGTGGTGAAGATTAGAAAGGAATGTCCAGTCCTATAAAGTTCAGCAATGAGATAAAGACCAGACTGCCTTGCAAAGCCATGCCATATAAAGCATAGAGGTCTAAGTTCTTCAAAGCATAGAGGAAGATGCAGTGCCCAATCTCCCATTAAAGGATTTGTGTAACAGCTTGAACACAGACAATATTGCATTTTAGAAGACAAATGTAAGGAATCCTAAAGCAGGGTTGTGAAAGTGTAATTGCTTATTACTGGACATTAATAAAACAAAAGTAATGGATAAATATAAATGTCCCAGCACATAGTTGGTATTACAAAGTTAGAGTGGAGAACATGAATTTAAACAGAACTGCTATATTCCAAAAAGCCTGATGAATTGCCATTTGCTACTGTATTTTCAAGGGTTTGTAATAGTCAAATAGTCTGTTGCCAAACTGCGCAAGCAGAATGCCTCTGATTTGTAAAAGACAGTTTGTTTCATTTCAAGATTTAAAAAAATCACCGAGGTACTGTCAAGTATTGCAGCCCTTGGTGCTATAGATGTTCAGAATGCACACCCTTTGGTTTGCCCAATTTTTCCATATATGGACAAATCTAGTGGAAGGGATTATTAGGGAACTGGGGGAAAAAAGCAGGTTGTTGGGTAGAATAGACACTGGGATATGAAGATTCAGAGAATATCAAGCAAGTTTAACTGGTACTTTACAATAGTGAGGAAGCATAGCAGAAGGAGGAATGAGCTCCTAGGGAGAAGCTAACAGTCTTGAATTAAATTTCAGACTGTGGCTATCCAGGATTTACTCAGTATTGTATTTTTGTTCAATTTACTCCTGACCTCTTTAAGCTTATTTGTCTGAATTTAAACATATTTTTTCTATTTTATTTAAAAAGATTTATAAACCACTCACATTATAATATATCAGAGTGGTGTACAGAAAACCAAAAATATGTATAAAATATACAGCAGAAGTAATACAATTTAAAAAAGCCATACAACATTAGAAAATGATCAGCAGAATTTGATTCTTAATTTGTTGCTGATTTATAGTGTTTTCCATTTGTTACCCATCAATCCTCCCAGAAACACAGTAGCAAAGGTTGGCTCCAGCCAAGAAGTCGCTCAATATAGAACTAACTTGTGCTTCTGCAGAACATAAAACTTGGGGAATGACTGCTGTTGCAGTCATTTGGAAAATTTGCCAAGGTTCTATCCTGAATTACCTCAGGTCTCTTTGCCCCGACTTCTTGTCATATTTGGTGCTAGCACAATGACATGTTTACTTGTCTGGACTGCAAAACCTGGATCCCAGAAAGCTCTAGGCTGTGTCCACACCTTCTATTGCAACCACTCAAAGCAGGAATAATGGTTGCACAACAAACCAGCAATAGTATAAAAGCTATATATGCAATCAAGTCATGGCTCATATAATATGGGTCAGCATGCAAGAGCTTTGTGGGCTGGACAAAACGCAAAGATTGTCACATAGGGTAATGTTCCACCCAGATACAGTGCTTCATTTCCTCTTTAATAGGAAGGTTATTTCTCTGAAGAGTCCATCATTGTTTTTCCTGGTTGGCTATCAACATCAGGAGATTTCTACTTTCTCCATGTCCCCATTCATCCTTTCCTTTTTGCTGTTCCATCTTCCCAATTTCTCTTTTTTGAGCTGTATTGCTTCTTCACCTGGGGCAAGTAACTATATGGCTGTTGTTGCTGCACAAGCATGGGCATGTATGCATATGGAGAAACATATTGTTAAAGTTTTCTAGTCATGGATATGGATATTCCACTATTGCAGCAATTTTTCCATTTAGTGCAATCAGATGAATTAATGCTGGCCGTGTCTGCAATCAGTCAGTTCACGTGAGTTCTCCATGTGAGTGTGAGCTTGGGAATGACTGGAGGAGGATGGAGTAGGTAGTGTTATGTGAGTCAAGCTGTTTCATGCTGCTCTTTTGTGTGTGCGTGTGTGTGGGGGGTGTTATGAGCAAAAAGGCACAAAGCAGCAGCGAGTAGATGCAAACACAGGTTATCTAGGAACAGTGAAGGAGTGGAAGGAAATGAGCAGCAAGGAAATACAAACACAGCCATTATGGGAAGAAGATACAATGTAAAAGATTGCAGGGCAGTTATGAATCCAGAAGGGCCTCTGGCTGCACGGAGACAGACCCCCTTGAGGTCCACTGCTGAGCTTCCACAGGTCCAACTTATGCCAATGAGAGGAGACAGGCTCAGTCAGTCCTATGGTTTAGTTTTTGACAGTCATATGTATAACAATATACATATTACTTTCCTACATAAAATGATAGCCAGTTGTGACGATATCTTTCTTAAACCTGACTGCAAGAGTGAGTCATCCTGTATTTATGATTTTTACTACAAAAGGCTTTGTGAAGAAAGCAACTGCCAAAGTGAGCATGAAGTCCCACTGAAAGACAAAGAAGAATAGACTATTACTAATAAAGATGTTGGGGCATGTTTCAAGTTAGACTCATGTAAAGTCCCCCCCCCCAATAATTATATGTTCAGAATCTGTGAACCCCATCTATCATATGGTCTTTCTGACAACCACATAAAAATGTTGCAGGCTTTTTTTTTACAGTGATGTTCAATTTTCTAATGCATGTGCCTATTTGTGATTAGTATACCTTCATGATTTTCCTACACAAAAGTGTTTATATGTAATATAATATGTTTATAATATCTGAAAGGGCCTCAAAGGCAGTTCAGTGTCCAGCAGCTACTTTGAAACACCTGTCATCTGATGTTTGGTAGAGGGGAGTAAAGGGTCCTCTTGCAGTGTTCTCTTAATTTAATTCCCTTATGGAATGTAGCTGAGCCATCAACAATCTTTTAATATACTTCTGTCATTAGACAAAAAAGGAAGGAAGAGGTTAGATAAATTGATTTCAGTGGGCAGTGCTGAATGCTGGAGAGGGGATGGTAGTAGAGCTGTGACTGTAAAGTTAAGATCTCTTGTCCTTGTCTATAATTGCCTGTGAAACACAGGCTAGTAAAAAGAGTGTTAAAATGTTATGTTTGGAGAAGAGCAGCAACCTTTACTATGGTTTTGCTTTTATCAGTTTTTCAGCATACTTTGCAGTTCTCAGAAATCAACCAATTGTGCATGTGTGCATATATATGGAGCTCTGAGCCAAAAAATGTCTCTTTTAAAAGCTTTGCTTGCAACTGACAAAGCTATGAATAGAGAGGACACAAATGACCTAATAGTTTGGAGATGTGACACCAGAATACAGGCAACAATGTTCTCTGAACAACTCTTAAGAGTTTGGAGGAAACAAACTGCAAGTCTGGGTTCGGAGAATCCAAAGGGTACAAGCCAGGCTCTGGTTTGTTTGGTCCATGGTGCAGAAGGAGCAGCGGATGAGCACTGTGGAAATTGTTGTGTACTTTGCATTAAATCAGTTGGCTTTAAAGTGATGTGAGAATCCAAAGGGTACTTTGTATAGATTACTTTCACATCCAGCAGCTAAAACGTTCTCAAATAGCCTGTTCCTGTGGTGTGCAAACTAGGCCATTGTCTTGTAGGGACAAATATTCAAAACCTTAAGTTTGAAAAACTAATGAACACCTGAAACAACTTTTAATTACCATAAGTAGAATTTACTGACTGTTTGTTTTCCATAAATGGAAGCTGTGAGAAGCAAAAATTACCTGCTAAATATTAAATATAGAATCTATTTGTATAGCGTGTGCTTAATGCATATATTTAAAAATGTGAAAGTATGTCTGCAAAGCTTCTCCAGGATAGCTGATCCTGTCTGCTATTTTAAAGACAAGTATTGGCACAGTACTGAAACGTTTTTACAGATAACATGTGAAACCACACTTTTGAAACATTTCCAAATATGCCTTTTTTGCTGGCTCTGGCTTACTTTAGCTACTTACGCTGGACTGTCACAGTGTCTTACGGATGATGAGACTCCTCCCCCGCAGGTCCTGCTGCACTCTCCCCATATTGACCAGGGACCCCAACCCCCATCTATGCTCTGGGGCCAAGTGCCAAAAGGTACGCACTCTCCCTGATAACACCACTGAAAAGATTTCATAGAAAACACAGAATTAGCTTTGAACTGATAGGATTATCAGGACAGCAAAATATATGGGTCAGGAACTGACCAATTATAGGCAACAGCATTTCTTGTATAGATAACATACAGAGGTTTAAATTTCTTTAGCCATGTTTAGTCATTGGTGAAGGCAAGTGCTATTTGTTATTTATCTTTAGGCTTAGCCCGAATAATAAATCCCTACCATACATAAAAGTTTAACAAGACAGCATTTTTCTTTTCATACACAAGCTTACCATTTCTCATTTAAATAAACTGCAAGTTACTGAAACATTTCTTTAGACATTACGTATACTTTTAAGAGTGTTTAAGAAACAAACTCACACCTATATTTCAACTAATGGTTTAATAGCACAACATGGAAAATTCTCCAGTTAGGAATTTTTATGAGGGTTATTGCTTTTCCTTTAAAAAAACACTGAAGTATAGATGATGTTACAATAGAAGAGGAATTTGAAGCAGTATTTCATCTACACTTACACTGCAGACATAATAAAAGTAATGCCAAGACACTAGAAACAAAGAAAAAAGTATTTAAACTTACTGACTAGCCAGTTGTTCAGAGACTGAATGAACATATGAACTGAAATTTTAAGACAGATACCAGCAAAGCATTTAACCTGGATTATTATTATTCTTTTACAATAGGGCATTGAGTTAATTTGAGACAAATTGTGCTTTAACTTGAGTGGAATATTTTTTTCATATCAAATTAGACCAAGTCCTACAGTCCTGATTTAAGCCCAAATTTGGATGTCTTGTTTCACTGTAGAAAATAAGAGAAGAATATTACAGAAAATGAAACCATTTGTCCTATCAAAATAATGAGACATTTGCCCATATCCAGTAAAATTTGAACATGAATTTTACCTTATCACAGATATGGTACAAAACAGTATCACATTATCTTTTAATAAATAATCTGGGTTGGATTTGGGCTGTGTGTGTGTGTGTGTGTGTAAAAATACCCAACTTGATACAATAATCTTGATCTAAACTTGGAGTAGACAAAGTGGCACCTTCCAGATATTGTTGGACTATAACCTCCATAATCCCTGACCACTGGCCATCCTGGCTGAGCTACTGGAAGTTGTAGTCCAACAACATCTGGAGCAAACCACAGTGTCTACCAGTACTGTCAAGCAATACTGACCATGGGCTGGATCTACACTAGGTTAAACGAACAAAATTGTATATGAATTTCAATGAGAACTAGGCTGTAATACTAAACACACTTATTAGGAAGTAAGTGTCATTGGTAATTACTTCTGAGTAACTATGCGGGTGGCGCTGTGGGTAAAACCTCAGCGCCTAGGACTTGCCGATCACATGGTCGGCGGTTCAAATCCCCGCGGCGGGGTGCGCTCCCGTCGTTCGGTCCCAGCGCCTGCCAACCTAGCAGTTTGAAAGCACCTCCGGGTGCAAGTAGATAAATAGGGACCGCTTACCAGCGGGAAGGTAAACAGCGTTCCGTGTGCTGCGCTGGCTCGCCAGATGCAGCTTGTCACGCTGGCCACGTGACCCAGAAGTGTCTGCGGACAGCGCTGGCTCCCGGCCTATAGAGTGAGATGAGCGCACAACCCTAGAGTCTGGCAAGACTGGCCCGTACGGGCAGGGGTACCTTTACCTTTACCTACGCATAGAACTGCATCGCTAGCCTAGATCCAACCGTTATTAATGGCACTGAAAAAGGATGTTTCTTACCCATGTTCTGAGCACAATTTACAAAAGAAAAAAGAACACAGCAGCAGTCAGGTTAGAGCTATTAATGTGTGCTGAAGTGGAAGCTATATAATGCAGAACCTTCTTTATTTTACTCTCCAACCTGTGCAAGTCCAGAAACTTTTAAGGGCTCAAGGAAAAATGGGAATGATGTTGAGATGAATTAGTGAAGCTTGAGCCTTCATTTTCAACCACATTACCTGAAACTACTTACAATACCCACTTTTCTGGCATGTTGTAATTACTTTTAGTTTGGGTACTATAAAGTATTTGGATACAAGAGCACTAGCAGGGCTGAACTGGACATGGTATCAGTTAGCTGGATATGGTTAAGTATTCATTCAGGTTGGCTATGAATATGGTAACATTTCGATAGGGGAAGCCACTTGTTTAAATTCAAATAGAGGTAATAATAACACAATAAGAAAACAGAAACAATGGCTTCCATTTAGTGAGAGGCCAGCATGTCTAGTGCATTATTTATACAGCACTGAAGGGATATTACAATGACATGTTGACTTCCTGATCATTTGACTCAAATATACCTTCAAGAATCATTTTCATGTTTTATGAAGCTGCACAGCTGTGGATCAGATCAGCAATCTGCATGGGAGACCACTGGAAGCTACATGTAAGAGTAAGGTAAAGGGACCCCTGACCATTAGGTCCAGTCGTGGCCGACTCTGGGGTTGCGGCGCTCATTTCGCTTTATTGGCCGAGGGAGCCGGCGTACAGCTTCCAGGTCATGTGGCCAGCATGACTAAGCTGCTTCTGGCGAACCAGAGCAGCACACGGAAACGCCGTTTACCTTCCCACTGAAGTGGTACCTATTTATCTACTTGCACTTTGACGTGCTTTCGAACTGCTAGGTTGGCAGGAGCAGGGACCGAGCAACGGGAGCTCACCCCGTCGTGGGGATTCGAACCGCTGACCTTCTGATCGGCAAGTCCTAGGCTCTGTGGTTTAACCCACAGCGCCACCCATGTAAGAGTAGGGCAGACATAATACTTAATTTTTAAAAATGCCTTGATTTTACAATCAAAATTAATCATCACATCTTAATTAAATGAAGGACAAATAAATAAAAATATCCTAAATGGTTCACAGCCCTAGGTTCCAGGTGATGCTACCAAAGAAATTTCCTGTGTTCTTTTCAAGAGAGAATGAAGGTTTCTAAGCTACATGCCTCTCCACTCCAGTGGTTCCAAAACATATTTTTAAAAACCATAGTCAGAGCTCAAGGTCATTGCTAGTGGATCATCCAGTTGTAAAAGCATATTTAAGCTTAACTGTGATTGAATATATTTGTTATTGACATGCACTTTCTCTATGACAGCATTAAAGTACAGTACTAAAGAACAGTTCCCTGGGGGAGGGGAGAACAATAGTTGCTGGGAAAGCACATCAACTGGGCCTTTGGTCTCTGGTAGCAGCAACGATGTATGTATCTCTTGCCTCTTGGAAGCAGGGTTGGCAATAAAACTACGGCCTGCTCAACCAAGTAGTAATTGTATGCTTATCCTCTTGCTATGCCCATAACTCTCCTCCTCACTGCAGCACAAAATATTCACAATTTTATTCACAAAATAAAAGTACACTGATTGCTATTATTTTACAAGAATACAAAATGTATTTATTGAGTCTTATTAATAAAAGACTAGATGCCAGTGCCTTATCAAGCACTGGTTAAAAAGCAATTAAATAGCTAAGATGCTGTGTTCTTCCAACAGTCTTCCTTCATTTATTGACATTTGTACTAGAAAGAGAGGCTGGATGGCCTACAGCAGAATTGCTATTTCAAATTGCCACTTTCTAATGGTGGCTATCAACATTAGAACATCATTAATTAAATTTACATAAACACCCACAACTATATTCTGCTCTTCCTCCTAGGGTCTCAAGAGGTTTCCTCATTTTATCATCACAACAGCTCTGATGAGGTAGTTTTGAGACCAGCCCAACTGTTGACTGGGGACTTTAATGTTAGTCTCTGTTCTAGTCTGACATTTTATCCATGGTATAACACTGGTTCTTGATTGAGATACATAACATATGTGTAAAAAGGCCTGCAGGCATGATAGTCTTTTGTTCTTCATGAAGAATAAGCGAGAAAAAGAAAGATTAATTTAGGAATTTCCTAACACAATGCACTTAATGAGGCAACACAACTAATAAAGCAAATCTCTGAAGACAGTTGAATATATTTCAATAGCTTAGTTTTCTCTGAGATTCTGTGGCTTGAAAAGCTTTTGGATCATTTCCTATTGGAATAGTCAGTGCTTGGGAATTTCAAAATACAGTACAAGGCATTGGCTGAGAGTGGGGATGTGTGGTGCTGCCCAAGAGTGAGAACATAGGACTGTGGTTGGAGCCTAACCACTTCTCAGGTGGGTGCAAGAAATTGGAGGCTACAGTACAGTCTTTTGGTATGTACCCAGTGGATTGTTGGGACTGTTAATTGTTGAGTGTAAGGGATTTGTGTGTATGTGTGGGTAAAAGTGTCCAGGTGTAGACTGACTGAGATACCGGGGTGTGTTTGTGGGCTTCGAATTTGTGTGGGTACTAAATGAGTGGAACCTTACTTTATGATGTTTCATCTGTTGTATTTAATTTAGTTGTTTGATTTCCTTGTAAATCGCCTTTTTATGAAAAGCAATGCACAAATACTTGAAAGAAATAATAAATAATAATGCAATCTAAGCTGCATTCCTAACCCCACTTATATAGGAGTGAGTCCATAGAAATAAATAGAACTTACTTCTGAGTAGACATGGTTAGGATTACACTGCTAAGTAATACATGAAACTGTCTGAAACTATGAAGCCATAGAAAGAATATATTTTTATTCTTTTTTTTTGTCTAGGGAACAAAAATGGAGAAAACATAAGATGTATGCAGTACTTGCTTTTCAAATTAAACTTTATTTACTATTTGGATAATGTGAAATGTATTATTTATAAGTTTCTTATAAGCCATCCTCAGACATGAAGCTTCTGTTACTGATAAAGGTAGAAACTGAAACATTTAATAAGAATGTTTTAGCATATATAATAATGGTCAGTTACAGTTGGATTGTACCTATTTTAGTTCATCAACAACTGTCATCAAATGCTAACTCAGATTAATAGGCTACAATTTACTCTACTGATCTTGAGAAAGAGACCACAACTACAGTCTCATACTCAGGAGAAAAGTCAGATTGGCAGAGCTAAATGGATATATCCACATATATTAAATAATATTTGGATGGCATTAAATGGTTGGACAGACTGAGAATATCAGGTTTTGTCTGACAATGCAGATAAACTACTCATTTAACAACAGTTGTCAAAGATGAAACAAGAGTGTAAGACTAGCCTGCTGGATCAAGCCAATGGCCCGTCTTGTCCAGCATCCTGTTCTCACAGTGGTCAACCAGATGCCTGAGGGAAACCAGGGAGCAGAACATGAGTACAAGAGCACTCTCCTGTCCTGTGGTTTCCAGCAAATGCTATTCAGAAGCATTGCTACATCCAACTGTGGAGGTAGAGCATAACCATTGTGGCTAGTAGCTACCGCTATTTACAGGAATTCCAAACACCTGAATGGGATAATCTAACATTTTGCCCTGCCTAAGCAATACAGCAAGAAGCTAACAATTGAACCAGCCTATCAAGAGAGCGGACGCGGGTGGCGCTGTGGGTTAAACTACAGAGCCTAGGACTTGCTGATCAGAAGGTCGGCAGTTCGAATCCCCGTGACGGGGTGAGCTCCCGTTGCTCAGTCCCTGCATAGGTACTGGCGGGAAGGTAAACGGCATTTCTGTGCACTGCTCTGGTTCACCAGAAGCGGCTTAGTCATGCTGGCCACATGACCCAGAAGCTGTACGCCGGCTCCCTCGGCCAATAAAGTGAGATGAGAGCTGCAACCCCAGAGTCGGCCACAACTGGAGCTAATGGTCAGGGGTCCCTTTACCTTTACTTATCAAGAGAGCTGCTGCCAAGGTCAGCCTTAACATCTCTAAAGTAAGTACTAGAGTTCTATTGACTCCAAATTGCTCTACAAATAGAATTAATTAATAAAAAATATTGGGCTCCTAAAGATGATCCTTATTTAGAGTTGATTCACAAAAATCAGCTCACACTGTAATTATCATGCAATAAGTTTATTGCATATGACACCTCTCTCAATACTGATTGATAAATTTTTCTAACTAGCTTATGCCAACGTCACCTAGTATGTTTTAGTGGTTTGAAAAGAAGCAGTCTATTAACCAATAGTTGCAAATCACGTGAAAAATATAGTTGGGTGAATCTATTCTCAGTTACTTCTTTCAGTGACAGTTTCAATTGTCTTTATGCATTGCATGCTAGTGCATTTACATTTTCCATTATTTAATGGGCCATCAGCCAGGAGGTGAGGGGAGAATTAGCAGAAAGCAAAATATGTGGGATACAGAGAAGAAAATACCAAAGGCTGTCAGAAAAGACCAGAAAGCAAATAGGAGAGCAGATGGCTAATGCAAGCTAGGAGAAAAATTGGCTGCCAGGAAATCATGAGCTTTAGACGACCTGAAACTCTTAAGTGATCACTTAGGGTAAGACAGACAGTTTTGTGCTCACAAAAACTTCAACAATTAAGACACTTTAGCTTTAGCAGATGGCATTCAAGGAGTGTATAGTCTTTCTGGGCAGGATATATCAAAGAAAGTGTCTCTCCTCTCATTGAAGAAAGAAAATAATAAATTTATTTCAGCAGGTCATCTAAGAGTCTAAAAGCTAGTCTAAAAAATGCAATGTCATACAACTTGAAACTAGACTGTATTTTTAAAATGATAATAATAGGAAATGCATGTTTTGTGTTTCAAACTGCTTATTAAAAAAAGCTACTTACCTGTGACAATTGTTCTGCAAGCGGCTTTCTGTGCTGCCACATGTCTGGGATGGCCCTGGCCAGACCACAGGTAGAACTTGGCAGAAAGCATCAGGCATGAGGAAGCACTAGTATTTTATCATCTCCCTTGCACAGTAGATGTCATGTAAGAAAGTAAGGCATAGAGCCAACATCTTCCCTCTCAGAGAGGATGTTGCTCCAAGCTGAGACAAGAAACAGACTAAGTCTTAACATGAAAAGAGGAGCAAAGGCAATTTCTTAGAGACTCCTGACATCCATAACCCTCTAGAGCAGATTTAAGGACAACACAGGTAACTGCATGGGGAAGGGGAAGATGGGTAAGTCCTACTTCCGCAAGTGAGATACCACAATTGAGACTCATCAGTAGAGAACAGATTGAATAATAATTATGGGAAAGCAACAATTTTCTTCTTTAACGACTCCAGTGATTCTAAGTTTAACAGACTCACAAACTAAAAGTTAACTGTAGCAGACTGTCAGGTGATGGTGAGCATACAAGAGATTGCTTCCCTAAGTCTTTTAACTGCTTTCACTTGGACACCCAAAGTAACACTCCAGGTCTCTACAGAAGACCCAAATGAGCTTGCATATGTTGCAGACTCAGAGGGACTCAAAAATTTGCTTCGGATATCAAAGCAATTCTCAGTTGTTCTCAACAGTCACTTGGATACTCTCTATGTTGGTGCTGGATCACTGGAACTTCCACAGGGTAAAAATGATTGTTCACCATGCAAGTGTACATGCCACACAAATGAAGTACAAGATACACAGAAAGGTAAAACTCATTAAAGGAAGAGAGTGCATTGCCCACTTGAATGAGAGTCTGGGCTAGGCAAAAGGACTGGCAAGGTATGGAATTGAAAGACTCCATTTAGTTAGAACTTTTGTTCTATAGTAAGGAACATATTTCTCTTGAAAAACTGTAGATCAGACAGAAATCCTACTCCTTTTCCAGCCAATGTGAGTGCTACAAGAAAGATAACCTAGTACAAAAACCAACATAAGTGGCAAGTAGAAAGTTGTTTGAAGGGTTTGCTAATGAGAGATGCTTAGTACAAGAAGGCAGTTCCATTGAAAAGTCCAGAAATGAGGCACAGGAATCAGGTTTGGCAGTTCTTTTAGAAAAATATTCCACCATTGGTATATGTGTACTGTGGTACAGAATGCTGAAATAACCCCTCTAGCTGTCTTTGTAGAAGTCCAACATTCTGCTCTTCTTGAATGAGAGGTGGTATAATGATATACCTTGGAGAGGATTAAGTGCATAAATAACCAGATGGAAATAACCTGTACCTCTTTAAGTAGCTGGGATGAAAAGATCAAGTCATGGTTCTGGTATTCTCAGTATTTTCCCTCTTATTTGGAAATGAACAGTACACCTTTGCAAGGGAGAATTAAAGTTGAAGAGCTAAGTCATGCACACCTCTAAGCATGTTGTAGACTAACCAATACGCTACACAATCTAGCTATTTAGCCAGATAAGAAGTTTCAATGTAGAAATATTAGTTTTAGCTTTTTCTCATTCTCAAAAAGATTTTAAGGAAGATATCAATCTTTCCCCAAATCAAAACTGGTGGTAGCAGGCTATAAGTATATGGTGTAAGCTACCATTACAGTCATGGATGCAGATAAATAGGTTTGAAGCAGAGTAAGGCAAGATACTCACCATACAGAATCTGTTCTATAGTGATGAATGCAGTGCAGATCTCTGATGTTTTTGAGCAGTATCTACTCCCAAGGCAGGTGGAACAACAAATTTGTATTAGTAGCCAAAGTCTTACACATGTTCTCCACTCACTAAGAACAGTAAGTAACACCAAAGAAAGCTTGAGCAAGAATTCCTTCAGGAATTGGAGAGTTCTGTAGAATTATGGGAGCCAATCTAATCTTAACAGCTGGACAACGGCATATTGTGCTTGTACTGAATATATACAGTAAGTATATGAAAGCAGAGAAGTATGTTAATACTGCAATATTCCAATGTAGAGTCTCTGAGGACTCTACATGCAATAGTAATAGGAACCACAATGTGGCCAGTAATCTCTGAGGTTCAAAGAGTCAGTTTCACTGAGGTGCTTTAAAACCCACTTCCCTTCTGAGGTTTTGGGCTAGATAGATCTGGATCTTCTTCACTAAATTCAGAAGGAATGCCTAAGCCCTGCAGAATATCCTCTCCAACAATTCAATGTTCACAACCAGCTGTAGAGGAATATGAAATTATTATTTTGGCTAACACAAATGTGGGAAAAGAGGATGAGCAACTCTGGATTATGATAATTATCCTGGGCAATACGATCTGTCAGTTCTAGGAATGCATATTTATACAGGCACCTGCCCCCCACCATTGCCATTTTACTAGTTCTAATGCCGAGATAGCCTTAAGGTATTCACTAATTCCAAGTTCAAATCTGAGGCAGGATCTGTTGGCCACTGAGCTCTTCTCTCATGCTCAGTATGTCAGAAATGCTTACAAGAGTTTTATAGGAGTACAGCACAGAAGAAGAAAAAGTGAAGGGAAATAACCTGAACCAACAAAACCAAATGCAGCATAAGAAGTTAAGGAAAAAGATCTTCATAATTGTTTCCTTAATTTCTTACGTTGTGTTAGAACAATAGTGTTTCTGGAGCAAGTGCAAAGGGAGAAGGCTAGAGCTGCCCAAGAAATTTCTAGATAGTTCTACCTGTGGCTTCTACAGACACATTTCCATATATGGGGTAGCACAGCGAGACCACAACAAAGAATCCTAAGCACTACTAAAAATGCTTTTTAAAAAATAAAATCCTAAGTTTTGTTGCTTTGTTAATTATTGTATGTTCAGTTACAGAATAAATTAAGCTTTTCATTCTGGAAACTCTTATACAAACATTTAATTGTTATCTCTTTTTAGTTATCTCAGCATACATTTCTGGGTCTTGCACAACCTGGAAACAATTGCATGATAACTTGAATTAAAAGTCATTCCAACTCACCCCCTTTTCAATGCTCCCAGTCTGACAAAGGGTGCCCTCAGCTGCTGGAATACTGTTGGTAACACAGCGGTTACTTTTGCTAAGACACCAAAGCTCTCTACACACTTCCTGGGAAAGAAGGCAGAAGCAAGTTGTTCAGAATAACTGAAGAAAATTGGTTCAAATGCTCCTTAACACACAAATTGTCCTCAAAATACATTGCTCTCTCTCCATAGAAAGAAACAGGCTGAAATATATTTGAGAATATTCATTAATATGGACCATTTCACATCAGCATCCTATAAAACAGAGTTATTGTAAATTAAATCCTGATTTGATTTACCACATAATAAAACTGTCTGAATCATTTACCATAAGCCTCATTAACATTACACTCTTGTTGGGCTGTGTGCAGAAAGACAATATTGGGTAAGTGTGGTAGTACTTTTGTGATAAACTGGGCAGATAAATGGTTTACCACACACAAGTCCAAAAATGACTTGTGTGACTTGGCCTTGAATATTCTGTCATCAAAGTCTGAAACTATCAATATAAATCTGGAATTGTGTACACAGTTACTCTTTCTTCCAGGGGCACAGTTTGCATGTTCCTAATGCAGATTCTTTAGAAGAGCAGGAAACTCCCATTTTAGTGGAGTGGCAATGAGATTGTCTACTGCCTAGCTGCCTAGCTACAGCAGCTAGGCAATGAAGGGTTTTTAGCACACGAGATACAGAAACCACCCACTTTCCTCTCAACTATGCAGAGCCATTCCCACCACTAGATAAATATTTAATTCCTTTTACCTTGACAGTCTGGGCACTGTCTTCAACCTCAGCAGATGAAGACTAAACTTTCCCAGTCTCCCTATGTACAAATCCCCTTTACTCACCATACATAAATTATTAGTAATCACACTAGGGTAGAATGTCTAATATAGTGTCAGCAGCTTGGATCCCACAGCATTGTGCAAAGAAAGTGAAACATCCTCCTTTCAGAGCACAGTGCTGGGGAGGGGGAAACATTCTGCGGGATTTCCATCCTGTCAGAATCATTCTTACTGACCTTTTGCTGCAGATTTCCCCCAGGAAGCTCAGAGGTACTGCAGAATCTTCCCACACTAACAAATCAGGAAAAAAACAAAACAGAACTCCCACTGATGACATTCACTTTCCACTGTGGCTCCAGCAATAAACCTATGAAAAACCTACTGTGAAGACCTGCAAGCATGATCAGTCATCCTGGAATAACAACTCCTCAATTCACTTCAGGCTCTGATTTATTAATGCAATCAAAGAGTTGAAAGGGAATCCACACCACATGAAAATATGAGGGGCTGCTGACTATAGCTGCCATTTGTTCATCTTGCAGGCCTCCTGTGCTTTTAACATCTACATAACAGGCAGAAAATTTGACAGATGTGTCATTTCCCATATGTGAATGCAATGTTGGGGAAACATTCTTCTGCTGATTTTTTGCAATCATGCAAATGTTTAAAAGTATAGCAGCCTTTTCAGGAAAAAGGTAGCGACCTTATATTGACTCATCTCTTTCATGCCAGGATAAGTGATAATTAAAACCAAAGCAGGGTTTAAATCTATGATAGATGGAGTTCATCGTTCCACACACAAGCAAGGTAGTCAGGATATGTGTGTAGCAAAATATTGCACACATTATTATACATGTCCACTCAGCAGTAACTCCCACTAAGTGGATATTACTCCCAGGTTATAGTATTGCAGCCTTATAGTCCTTATACTTGTAGACCTGAGTCTGCAGTAACAAGAAACTAAATACACATTGTGTAACCAAGTCCTAAATTGTTTCCATCAAAGAGTTTACCAAAAAATACTACCACTGAACTTTTGAAACATAGTATGCATTGTGCCTATTAAAAGTAATATTATATTTGCTGATGTATTTACTCTTCTGTTCCCACCCAATTGAGTAACGTGAAGGAAAACTGTAGCATTCTTTTCCACACACAAAAATGAATTCAAAGCACAGTTCCTTTTTATCAGTAACCTCCCACCATTTGTCCAAGGAGCTTGGAATGGGGTATATGATTCCCAAATGGTTCTCATTTCAATCCTGACCAGGATCAAAACTGGAAATGGACCTATATCGGGGACCACCAGACTATTCCTTGGTATATTGATGACTGAAATGTCTAGCAACTGAGAATAGTTAACCCCTTTTGTAATAATATTCTAGAGAATTTATTTGATTTTAGTTCTTTGCTACAACATTGTAGGAAATCTTTGAGAAACCACTTTCTACATCCTTCGCCAAACCTTTATTAGACATTACAAGTATAGGCCGTCACATCCATATATAAAATTTTAAAATATATACAAATAAACAGCCATGTAAAATATATAATAACGGGGATTTTCATTGGGATTTCTTCCTGCTAAATAGTGCCATTCACCACTCTAAGAGATACTATTGACAAAAACTCAGCCACCCTTGCAGTTACTTCCGAGTTAATGTCAGACGGATTCTGATATTTTCGTTGTGCTGTGATGTTAGACTACCCAAAAAAAGAGGATAGCATGCATTTGCATAGCTGTTTGTACAATGGACAGTGGAAATGAATATGTTCTACATTGTCTGGCACATTCAAAGAACATCCTCAATGTCTATCATTTCTGGAGATGTTTAAACATGGACATGCCAATCTCAAGACTCGACCATGCAAGTAGGAACAACCACTGTAATGCTGTCCCTGTAGCAGCCATCTTGAACAGGTGTTCCGATATCAAAAGCCGCTGTGAGACGAAGAATAACAGGGCCACCCTACTTGCATGGTCGAGTCTTGAGAATGGCATGTTCATCCCATGACATGCTACAGGGTTTTGCAAGACACAATTTTGTCCCCAATGCTGTTTAACATCTACATGAAGCTGTTGGCAGTGGTCATTAGGAGTTTGGGGGCATGGTGTTTTCAGTATGCTGAAGACACACATCTCTATTTCTCCATAACATCTGAATCAGGAATAGCAGGGCAAGCTCTGGACCAGTGCCTGAATAGTGGACTGGGTAAAAGCTAATATACTAAGTCTGAATTCTGGGAAGATGGCGGCTTTGTGAGTAGGTGGCTCCCATTATTTATTATATTTCTACCCCAACTTTTTTTCCAAGGAGGCATACATGGTTTCCCCCCTCATTTAATTCCCACAACAACCCTGTGAAGTAGGCCAGGCTGAGAGGCAGTGACTGGTGCAAGGTCACCCAGTAAGCTTCATGGCTGAGTGTAGATCTGAACCCTGGTCTCCCCAAGACCTAGTCCAACACTAACCACTACACCACATTGGCTCTCTTCCTAGTCCAGAAGCTAGGCCAGCTGCCTGTTCTGAAGAAGTAGGTACACAGCCTGTGTTACTCCTTGATAAAACTTTGTCATCAGATGCCAAAAGTGATTTGTGTCACTAGCACACAAATGGCCTTATGTGTGACCTTTTAGTCGCTCTGTTTGGTACACCAACTATCTGGGTCAGAGCAGCCTGGCCACTGTAACCGACTCATTGATAACCTCATGATTGGGTTACTGTAATGCGCTTTATAGGGATGCGGGTGGCGCTGTGGTCTAAACCACAGAGCCTAGGGCTTGCCAGTCAGAAGGTCGGCGCTTTGAATCCCCGTGACAGGGTGAGCTCCCATTGCTCGGTCCCAGCTCCTGCCAACCTAGCAGTTCGAAAGCACATCCAAGTGCAAGTAGGTAAATAGGTACCGCTCCGGTGGGAAGGTAAACGGTGTTTCCGTGTGCTGCTCTGGTTCACCAGAAGCGGCTTAGTCATGCTGGCCACAGCCAAGCTGTACGCTGGCTCCCTCGGCCAATAAAGCAAGATGAGCGCCGCAACCCTGGAGTCATCCGCAACTGGACCTAATGGTCAGGGGTCCCTTTACCTTTTGATGCGCTTTATGTGGGGCTACCCCTGGGCAAAGACCAGAAGAATTGTGTATAGTAGATAGCAGTGTTTAGCTTTGTTTAGAGACAATAAACACTTTGTTACTTTGTGTGGGAGAGTTTTCCCCTTAACACCAGGGAAGAAGCAGTTCTGCTGGGAGCAGGAAATCTCTGAAGTCTCTACGTATGTTCCACATACTCTGCCGATACATCACACTGGTTGAAGTGTGGTGAACTGCCAAGTGACTTCCACAGGTCACCAACACAAGATATCATAAGGACCACATGAACCCTTATTTCCCACATCAATATGTGGAATATATCCTTATATCCAACGTCAGAAGAAGCATGGTTCATTGTCTCCCATATCTCAGAAGTCGAACTGGCCTCAACAATTTACTGTTGCCACTCCCACACTGTGGAAAGCTCTACCAGCAGACTCATCAAGCATCTTTGCTGTTTAGACATCTCTTACAGTGTGATATATACATTGAACTTTTATGAGTCTGTCATTCTTCCCCTGCTCCCAATTTTGTGTCTTCTAATTCAGTGTCAAACACTTGTATACTAATTTGTTTAATATCATTTGTAAGTCATTTCTCTCTCTGCTGAGTTTTTACTGTTCAGTACAGTCTTAAAAGGAATTACATTGTGCGGTGCAATAATTTGCATAAACTATTGTATTGAAAGCACAGAAGAAAGTGAAAAAGCTGCCTAGAAGTCTGGTATTTACATTTTCATTATAATTTTTAAGACTAATATTGAAATAAATACCACCTATACATCATTTTCATAAAATTATCTTTAAGTAAAGTACGTTGAAACAAAGGTGTGTCCAGGCTCCCTTGCACTCTTGGCACAGCAGTGGAGGAACAGCCCAAGGAGCATGCAGATGGGCAGGCTTGCTCCTAGCCACTCCAAGCCAGAGTGGAGAGAGATATGGTTTTTGTGCCCCCTTGGGCCTGCCCCCTTGGCAATGGCCAGTCTAGCCAACCCCTAATTACACCCCTGTGAATACAGCCATAATTTTTATTTCAATATTAGTTAAAGTTAAAAAAGTTAAAAAATTCTTTCTCTTTTCATTTTGATCTTGGAGTCTTCTGAACAGTTTTGTTTTAACCTTCTTAATTTAACTGATGGCTATGCAGAAAACTTTATTGGCAGCAAAAACTAAGTCACAATTCATTATTCTGTATAAAAAGAGTAAGTTACTTTTACATTTTAAACCAATTACCATTTGGAAGTTTTCTTTTATAAAGATATAAATAAATAATATGTGCGTTCTAATTTATAGACAAGTTCAATATTAAAACTGTAGTTTGCCCTTTCCCCCTTGACTATGCATTTTCATTCCTATTCATTCCTATTATTGTTCCATTCCTTGGAACAAATGTTTCCAATAATCTAGTGTGAAAATCACGTGAGAACACTGGCCTAGAAAGGTCATACCCAGAGTCAGTATCAGCAAGGATGCTTATGTTTTTGAATTAATATTAGTTGACCCAATAATCCCAATTCCAGGTTCTTTTGTTTTATTTTTTGGCATCCAATGAGTGTTAAGTATAAATTCGTTCCCCAACTTCAAATAGTTCTTAATATTACTTTCTGAATAACATAGTGAAAAACCTGCACTAGGTAAGAGAAGCAAGATCTGAAACCTAATAAATCAGTTCAAAATCAGCACCTGCATTTTTATTACTTAAAAGGGAACAGTTCTCTGAAAAATATGGGCAACTATAGTAAAAACATAAACTGAAGCTGTGGCCTTTCACAAGATCAAGACAAGATAGATGACAACCTGTAACGGTGTATCTTAGGGCTCCATGACTTCAGTTTGGAATTCGGATGCTTGTATTTGCAGTAAATTAAAGAAAGCTGAACCCATCTAGAGAAAAAAAACAGCAAATCAAATTATCTTCCTTTTGCCTATATGTTATATATGATGGAGCCTTTTTTCTGTATGTCATGCAGAATTAAACATATAGGCATCTTGAAAATATACATCTAAATGATCCTGAATAATAATAAAAGAACAACACACCTTAGTGTAAATTTAAATGCATGAAGATCAACATGCTGCGATGTTTCCAAAATATAATCTAATCTAAATAAAAAAATTATACAAAATAATATTTTTAATATTCACAATACTGAGAAAAATAAGATGAAAATACATTGATAAACACATTGTAATGAATTTAGAATTTTACTGTAATATAAATTCTATTTATATTGAAATATCTCAACACATAATTCCTTCAGCGTGTGATAATAGATAATATGCTGCACCTCTTGATGAGCATTTGTTAAAACAGAGCTTAGATTCTGATTTCCAATTCAGAGCTGCATAAATGTCCAGCTATAATATTTCCACCCTCATTTTGTTCATACTTTTATCATGTTTATATGAGGGTGAGTATTAGATATGTATGAACCACAGAAGGTTCAACATGTTTGATTAGGTTCAGATAAGCACCCAAAAATTACAAATCTTAATGCTCCATTTTCAGAAATGCTCATTATGAAGCGGTGCAGCATGTTATCAATTCATACATGCTGAAGAAATTATGGTAACTTAAACTCCTATTGTATAGTATATTATATTCTCATCTTATTTTCCTAAATATTGGGTGCTTATCTGAACTTTACCAAATCTATGAACCTCCCACCTATCACCTGTAAAAGATACTTTCCTTTCAAATCCACAACCCATGTCCCACTTGCCAACTAGAATCTGAACCTTCTCCTGCATTGTCAGCAACTATTCCTTCCACTTGACTCTTACTGGAATCAAAACCAGCATCAAAATTTCAAAGGCTCTGTTCCAGACTCTCATTGCAACTATGTATTACATCTGCAGACTCTGTTTGGTGCTTTTAAAGATAGCTAAGATAGAAAGAAGTGTGCATTAACAATGCCTTAGCAACAGCCTGAAAGATCAGGGTTAGAAGATGAATAGCAAAGTTGAAAAGAAAGAGACTACTAGGCATCAGAAAAGAGAACTCAACATGTGGATCTCAAGAAAACCAATCATTTAGTTGGAACATACTTCAGAAATAAACCAGATGGCCCATAATCTTCTGGCTATTTAAAGAATGAACTGGCAAACCTTTTCTCAAGAAAAGCCCAAGGCACCTCTAGATAGAGGCAACCTATGCAAAAACCTGTATTACCAAAACAGAAATAGCTCTATAAGCTTTGTTTACAAAATGCATTACTTTAAAATGTGTCCTTCTGGCCAGAGACTGGGTGATTCAGAACCATGGATCCAGTTTGTCACTCTGCACCTGACTCCTATACTCATTCCATTTTGCACTGCAATATCAGTGTTTATAGAAGCATTTAAACACTGAAGCAATTATCGACAATAGTGCAGTACCTGAAGCAGTTGCAGTATACAATTAAGATAAATGCCCCACCACTCATTGGATTTAAATTGTGCACAAGACTACAGTCGTACCTCGGAAGTCGAACGGAATCTGTTCCAGAAGTCCGTTTGACTTTCAAAACGTTTGGGAACCAAAGCACGGCTTCTGATTGGCTGCTGGAAGCTCCTGTAGCCAACTGGAAGCCGTGGAAGCCCTGTTGGATGTTCAGCTTCCAAAAATAGTTTGCAATTACTTCCGGGTTTGCAGCACTCAGGAGCCAAAACATTCAAGAACCAAGCTGATCGAAAACCAAGGTACAACTGTATAGTATTCTGCAACAGACATTACTGTACTGATGAATACTGCATTTCCCTTTCAATTTCTAAGCACAGTAAACAGAGAATTAAGACATGGAAGGACAGGAATATCTCTGTTTGTCTGTTGTATCCCACTGTTTTCAGAACATTTTCCTTATTGCTAATTATGTGAAGTACTCTTTCAGTCTTAACATGCACCTCAATTGATGGGCTTCACATGTTTTCTTCACTTCAGAAGCAATCACTTCAGAAGCAATGGCTGGCATTTAATTAAACTTTACTCAGAGTAGACTCATTGGGACTAATGAGCATGACTAAGTTAAGCCCGTTAATTTCAATAGTTAAGTCCATTAACTCTGGGTAAATCTTAGTTGAATACTACCATTTTACAATTTAAAAAAATTGTCAATTGTGCATCGAGGGACTCAAAAGACCCAGCTTTTGGCATTAGTGTACAAGCAGAATGAGAATAGATGCTATTCATGGATTTCAGAACATGTAAGCATATACAAATATACATTTGAAGCTAATATCAACTTTCTACCAGTGGTCTATAACAGGTAGACTAATAGTAATACAAAATACTAATTATCTAGGATCTAATACCAACTCAGCACTAGCAGAAAGTAGCAGAAAGTTTGAGAAAGTCTATTAGCCTATGAATTGTTAATGAATTTATTTTCTCCCAAGTACCAATTCCTATTCACTTGCTTGCTCTTGCTGCTTTACTACAGTATAAGGGTTGGATATTTTTTAAAAACACATTGCAGCAACTGAAGACACCTCCTGCAAGCTGTTTTACTCCACTGGAGAAAATATACAAATACCACCACTAGGGAAAATGTACAAAATATAAGATCATAAAAGAGCCAGTTGAATCAGGCCAGTGGCCCATCTAGTATAGCATTCTGTTCTCACCATGGTCACCCAGATGAATATGGACCTGAGGGCAACAGCACATTCCCCATCTGTGGTTTCCAGCAGCTGGTATTCAGAATCATACCACCTCTAGCAGTGGAGGTGGAACAAATACATCAGGGTTAGTAACTGTCAACAGACTCTCCCAGATCTTGCCTTGTCTCTGCAGGCCACATACTTCCCACCACGCTATTCTGCTCACCAATCCCGTTCCATGTCCAACTTGAGTGCTTTTGTATGTGCCATTGAAATGTGATAATGCCTCTTGCTTGCCTGGATGAAGAGATGTATGTGGTGTGTGTGTGTGTGTGTGTGGTTGGAATGTAGACTACTGTACAACTGACTCACAATCATTAGTCATTCATTTTTGCTTCTCGACCGGGCCACTTGTGGCTCTAGCTCTATGAGGCTTGCAGCTCTCAAAATGCTGCCCATAGGGGAATACGGCCTTCAGGCTGAAAAAGGTTCCCCACCCCTTCCATAGACTAAAGGTGGAATCCGCTGCTTTGCAACAGAACCACAGAACCACACATAATGTGTAATTCTGCCCTAAAACCTCTGCCAAAGTGGTCCACAAGGACTTGCAGGTGGGCAGAATGGCTCGGAAACTCCTATGCATCATCAAAGAACCTTAGTCCACAATTCTTTGGAGCCCACCCATTAAACAAAGCTACACAATGTTGTCAACACAACACTGAATAAATGAGAAGAGGCTAAAGAAAAGTATGATTTGCTCGCTCAACAGCAACATACACACTACCAATTCTCCAGCGCAAATCAAGCATAATATACCTTATGTTGATACATCATTTAGTAAAAAGAAATGTCTTCAAACTTTCTGATACAGAATGCACTCTAAAAATGTGACGACTATATACAGTGAAAAGAATGAAGGAGAGTACCAAAGCATGTGCACTGGATATAAAGAGATTGGGAGGGGAGAGAAGAGGGGGAGGAGGGGGAGCTTAAAGAGAAACAATAAAGGCCTTTGCTGAGAAATCAAGAATGAGAGACCTAACCAGCCAGCCAACCACACACAACTTTTAAATCCATCACGGTATGTATGAGCTGCCAAGAGTCATCCCAAAAATAATATTGTACTTATCACCCTAGGGATACTAAAATGAATTCCCTTTGTAATACTGCTTTAAAAGAACTGATTAGTGCAAGTGATTAGGTATATATTATATTATAATTATATTGTATTATAGTTTTTTTAATAGCCTTGGCTAATTCTATGTCTTAATTATTTTATTTTTAAAGTACACAAAATAATATGTAACTTGGCTCAAAAGTCTATAAAATGTACTTTTTAATAACTTTTTCATTTTTAAACCCAGCTGATGATGGGGACTATAGAATCAGTATAACTGATGCTTTAGCCTATAAAAATGTTGTTATCAGTGTTCTGAACTACAACATGTCATTTATATTATTTTAAGCTATTTTAAAGGGCACATATTATTATTACCATCATCATTATCATCATCATCACTGAATAACAATACTCTTATTAAACAGGAATATCTCCCTATAATTTTTTTCTCTGTGAAACTCATTTTTATTAACAGCAGTAGTAATATCATTTCTATTCCTTAATATTAGGATACAATAAATTAAACTGAATACTCATAAAAAGTTTAATGCTAATTATTACAGTAACATGACTAAAAACTCAGTTGAATAGTATAATGAAAGGCTTGAAAATTTTAGTATCTTATGAACCTTTTCTACCAGACATTAGCAGCAGCTTACAATTAAGCAAGGAATCAGGAATGTGTGCAATGAGTTAGCCAGGGCTTTGAGATCATCCACTTGATTTTGAAGGAATTGCTCAATTTATTTTTAGCCAAACATTTGGGAACAGAATATACACAAATGTCTCAAGCAAAAGATGCAGCATAAACACCTCTTGTTCCTTATTTAAAACAGTTTTACAGTGAAAATTATTTATTGAAAACTATGTCACTAATAATTGTATCTAACTAAACATTTATGACATGAATATATACAAATGACTAAGCAGGATACGTAAGACTTCTTACCCCATATTTACACTGACGTGACGTTGCTCCATACTGGAAGCGACATTGTTCATCGGCATCATACACCTGACCTGGTGCCACTGCAGGATAAAGAAAGTCACGCTTCGGAGGCTCATTATCAAGGCAAGTACCACGGCCAGAACTGTTCAACACAAAGAACCAAAGAAATTATGAACACTATAAAGTGTTATCACCGCTAAAATATGTATCAGGATTCTGTTGTGTAAAACAAGTGTTCCAAATAAACATATCCAGCAGTGATACAGTTACAGTTAAACTGCAGAATTTTTATTTATCTACTTGCACTGGTATGCTTTCGAACTGCTAGGTTGGCAGAAGCTGGGACAGAGTAACTGATTTGAACCACTGACCTTCTGATTGGCAAGCCCAAGAGGCTCAGTGGCTTAGACCACAGCACCACCCACATCCCTTACCACAAATGCAGAATAACTTATGAAAGAACAGAAAATAAGTGCAATGCTATCTTACAAATGTCAACCAAAAAAAAGTTCAAAGACCTCTTAAGAACATAAGAGCCTGCTGGATCTTGCCACTGGCCCATCATGTTCAGCATCTTGTTCTCACAGTGGCCAACCAGATGCCCGTGGGAACCCACAAGAAGGATTCAAGTACAACAGCACTCTCCCCTTCTGTGGTTTCCAGCAACTGGTACTCAGAAGCATTATTGCCTCCAACTGGGGAGGCAGAACAAACTCTTGGACACATAAAATGAGCTGCACAATTATTTGGACCCTAGCCTTTCATATAGAATTGTGTCCCACTAACTTCGAAAGAAATAACTTTAAAGTTAAGAGTCTTTGTCATTATTATGCATTATTACAGTCTGACATACTTAAAAAGTGCTTTATAATGGGTTGTATCCACTGCTGCACCGCTGGTGCCTTCTGCTGATGCAATCATCATCATCATCGCACTAGCAGAAGGCCAGTGGTGTAACAGTGGCTACAGCCCAATGGGACCTCCAATTCATCTTCTTCCCTCGCACCCCCTCCCCAAAACCTGCTCCTGAGGGGCAGAAAGGACAGGAAAGGAAGAAGATGTTCTGTTGTGCATTGAGTCAGTGGAAATTCAGTGTCAGATACAGCCCAATCATTTTTATTCTGTTCAGCCTTAGAACATTTTTTCTTTTCTTTTTACAGGTGAATCCTGGTGGGAATAGATTGCACAATGCCTTCAGTGAGTTGACAGCAGTTTTCAGATTTGAACCCAAATGTCTTTGGATTTGCATTCCAAAGTTCATTCTTAACATTATGAAGTACTTGGGCTTTTGTTCAGAACTTGAGGCTAGGTTGGCTTAAATCCTAGGCTTTTTCCATAAACGGGATTTAGGATGTATTTAGAGCATTCAATATTAGCTCTTCATAATATATAGTGCTAATTAGAGGGGAAATAGATAGCCTGAACGCTCACAAGATAACTAAACTTAGAATGAATTAATAGAATAATTGGAGTCACAGATCTGCTTGAATGCATTTAAAAGAAAAATAAGGCTTCTTTTGAAATTATACTTTGCACTTAATAAGGTTATAAATAAAAACATGCTGAGAAGGGGAGAAAGCTCCGCTGAACACATTAGGACTTACTTTTGAATAGACATGCAAAGGCTGAGCTATAATTATATTTACTAGTTTCTGTACAGTCAACAGTATGCACAAAACAGAACAGATGCTTTTTAAGCTTGCATTTACACATGTATTATTAGAGGGGAGGTGTCTACATGACCAATGCTCATTCTGGCTTGTTCACATAATGCTAAACTATGGTTTATGATTAGTTCTGATAATATGGGGTTGTTTTACTGATTTCAATTTTACAGAGCATTTTAAGCCAAAAAGGTCAGCCGTCAACACCAAAAGAGTAACATACATATAAAAAGAATCTAATAGTCTTTATACCTAACAGTTACTGCCTCAGGGAACTAGTCATCTCAATCGAGACCCAAACTAAAGAGGCATCATTTCAAAAAGAAACACCTTATCCAGGCACCTGTACTTGAAAATATAGTGGCCAAAGCTATGGGATGCTCTGAATAGCTACCAAACCCCAAATAATCATTTTTACAACATTATGACTGCAAATATGCATACTGTAGTTTCCAAACTATGTATCATATGCAAAATAAACCAGTCATAAATGGAAACTACTCATCAAAATTAGCCATTCAAACAATCTAACATTGGTGCCAGTGTTTTCCTAGGTTATAATTTTAGTGGGAGTTATGGAAATAGTAAATACAGGCCAACCTATGTCTCTCAAGATGTTGTCAGAATCCAACACCCATCAGCATGGCCCAGGGCCAGGGAAGATGAGCCTTTCAGTCTTCAAACATCTGGTGGGCCACAGGTTAAGCCAACACTGATCTAGAGTAACTATTTTTTTTGCAAAAATAGCCAAAAAATACTTGCAAATTAATCAAACACATCTGCATCCTAGATCAATACAGAGGAATACATACATGAAAACAGTGATTAGATAATTGAAGGCTGGCTCATTTATGAGATGTCCCCACCATATTGACTTGGGAAACATTTAGGCCCACTACTAGATTTGCAGCTAAGCCAGCTAGCAGTTTGGATTTGTGATTGCCAGTGCCTCCAAGTTGAGGTGTACACATAGTGCTCCAATTTCTGCAACAGAGGCAGCTTGAAAAAGATGGGCTCAAGCCCCACCTCTAACATGAACTCATTATGTCATCTTAGAGAAATTGCTGCCTCTCTGCCAGGGATCAGCTTCATAGGGTTACCACAAGTATTAGCACAATAAAAACTGTTAAAATGTTTCACAAATTAAAACTACTATGCAAACTGTAATTAAAAATAAAATGAGGAGCTATGAGGAGTTACATTTAATTTGACTATTCATAGAATATATTACATCTGTCAATATTATTTGGTATAGTGATAGATGTAACAAGCCTCTAAAAGATCTTATTAACTATGAGACTAATTAGTCAATTCCAGTACTTATTTGTAAATTAATATAAAATTGGAGTAGACACCAATCTCCTACATCATTATTACACCACGTCTGCAAACAGTCATTAGGATTGTTATCAATAGTGTTGTATTCTAATTATTTAGAAAGTAAGCCTAACAAGGGGCCAGGGAAATGTAGAGCAGCAAATTCTCCTCTACACTGGGAGCTCTGGGATAGAGTGGGTACTTTTATATTTTTGCCATATCAGGTTGGAATAGCTAAGGGGCCCAAGGAACAAACCCCTTAGGGAATCCCTGGTGCTTTGAACCTAGCAGCCAATGCCTCACCCTGAAACACCTTTTTGTGGAGTAAGTTCCATTGGATTCAATAAGATTTACTTGAAAGAAAACATGGTTGGGATTGTGCTGTTAGATGGCAGCACTGTTGGCTTTGACTGAGTCAATAACTTGGGTGAGGCTGGACCACTGTAGCAAAGCACCCCTTCTTTCTCCTTTGTTCCCATTTCTTCTCCCTAATCAGCACTGTCAAATATGACAATGATAACCATCCTTGTTGGAAGAGACTCCCATATACAGCAGTAAATAGTAAACTCACTGCTATTAGCCAACACTTATGGATTAGGTCTCATGGGTAAATATCTTCTTTATCATTGTACATTCACCTCAGCAGGGTATGGTGGAGTGTGAAGTTTTTCAAGAATCTTATTATCTCTCTTCAGAGACTACTTACTCTAAAAAACTGGTGATATAATCCCTGCTGCAGGCTGACCATGAGAAGGGGTTGGTGTTTGCTGTAATGTGAGCTGCCATAAGTTTTGCGGCTTCATGACCTTTGGTCCCACAAGAATTTCCAATTCCATCATGGTTCATACCAAAACTGTCCAAAAGAATAGGAAGAGGGAGGGGGAAGAGTCCATTATTTTTATATGGAACAGAACTTTAACATAAGATTTTCACATACTTAATATACTTATATATACTTAATATACTCAGTGAACAGGAATTAAACAATGGGCTATATATGTTGTCTAAAAATGGTTGGCATAGATGTTTAGGTTTGAGGCCTTACACAAACATAACACAGTATTGCTATTGCTATATTTCTTTTTTACTTTGGTTCATTCTAAGTACCGTATTTTGCTACATTTAGTAGCCTCAAAATGTGGGTACACCAAATAGGATTCAAGCAATATAAAATCGTCACTAGTAGTCACCATGATTAATAAAAGGAAAACAATAAGAAGCTTCCATGTTATTAACTCAGATAGTAATTCAGAATGACATATTAGATATATAAACTCTCAGTGTGAACTTTACAAACCACTACAGTGGTTTCAGTTCCATTCAGCAGGGCCACAACAGTTTAAGCAACAGAGGAATTTCTACTTCTAATCCTTTATATCTCATTCTAACTATTAAACCTCTTAAACATCTCATTTGATCATTGTCAATAATAATTATAATAATTATAATATTTATATGCCACCATAAGGATTAGGATTTGATTTTGAAAGTCAATGAATTGTGTTACTGCTGTGGTGGCAGCAACAGAAAAATACTGCACAGTTGTGGCTGCATTGCAGGGGGGATGTTAGGGCTTTATTTGTGGCACCATGCTAAGGACTCCCTGAAATTTGATGCTGGCTGTCAGTGGTAAAGTGGCTGTTAAGCCAGCAAGAAAATAACCAAATATTTATATCTCAAGACTTCTACAGCAGACAACTTGATAGCTTTAACATCACACCCACTTTTTCTCCCTTTCCCCAGCTCTTGTTTTAGTTAACATCTAGACCACATCTAGTTTTGAAGAACTCTAAATCTTGCTCACTATTTGAGACATTTTGGTTGGGCCCAATAAGGGTATTGGTCAATTATAGGTTTAAGGTTTTTCTTCTATGGACCACCATAGCTTCCTGTGCTCTTCGTGTGTCTTTCATATTCTTTACTGGCCCTGCTAGCATCTGCCCTGTCACTGAGTTCAGCACAACTGGATTTTAACACTTAGAATGCATTTTCCCTCAGAAAAAAATATTAAAGTTTTATTTGAGATTCTTCCTTCTCTTGGATTTTTTTTTTTTTTAGGGGATGGAATCAGTACCACAAAACCACAGAATCACAAGGATAAAATGCTCATTAGATGACTTGCTCATTTATGTGGCTGGCAAAGTTAAAAGTATAAATGTCAGGCAGGAAAACTGGAAGGGCAGACTGAGAGGAACCATATGTGGAAGGATTTGGTAAAAGCGTATATGACAGAACCATCTACTTTAGGAAAACATTAAATATGTTAAAGTCTTGATAACTGTATTGGTTCAAATGAAAAGAATCAGAGAACAGCTGAGGTAATACATTTTTTGGCGGGGATGCAACTGATGATCAAACTACAATGTGAATGTTAAATGGTCCTAATGAAAGTATTCCCTCATTTATTCTGCAGTAAGAGATTTCACTCATGTTCAGAAAGTGACCAACTGATCCAAAAAATCTATTTCCTCCTATGCGGAGCTATTAAATTCCACTAATTTATCAGAGATTCCCGATCCAAGATACTTAAAAAAAAAAAAATCTGCCCAGCATGAACAAAGCCCATCATTAATAAAATCATCAGTACTGAACTATATTAAAGGTGAAGGCTTTAAAAATGTATATATTTACTTAAGCAGTACACACCTACTGTCCATAAACACTATCAGAATTCTTAACTTATTCAGTAAAGAAGTAGAGAAAGTTGAGAAGCAACAAAAAGGGGGAAACACAACCATCCAACAGAATGTGCAGATGCCAACCTTCTGTTTGTCTGCAGCAGAAAAAGTAATGTTCCTCATTATGAGAGAAATAGTTGGCAACACAAACTACTATATGAAATACATGCTAATAAAACAACAGATACGAAGTCAAAATGGTGCTACTGAGAAACAAAGGGGAGGCATCAGCATGCTTAAGGCAATTACAAGGTTTACAAACTTAGAAAAACTTAAAGAGGTAGGTAAATAAATAAGCCAGCCAGCCAGCCCCCAGACAACCCATTGTCACTGGAAACATAATTTCCATCTCACTCACTAGGAAACTTCACCATTGTTGGGTAGGCTATACCTTACACTGGGCCAGCGGGACAGATTGGGGCTGCTGCTCCACAGCATATCTATCCAAGCTGGTGGAGGTGGTATTGAGTGCAGTGTTTGAGAATCAGAGGACACTGGTTCTGAGGAACTTCAATAAGCATGCTGAGGCTAACTTGACTGGGCCAGCTTGGGCATTTATGAGCTCCATGATAATAACTGGGCTAACTCAAGTTGTAACTGGCCCAAAACATAGGGCAGGGCATACTCTTGATTTGGTCTTCAGTTCAGAGTGAAAGGGCTGGTCTGCATATAGGGTGGAGGGTGTTGAAGAAACCCTATTGTTGTGGTCAGATCTTTATCTGCTAAGTTTGGTTTTACAGTGCCAGTTTCTCCCTACAAGGTTGGAGGATACTTCAGAATGGTCCATCCTCAGAGACTTAAAGGAGCCTGAAGGATTCCTGAATGCTTTGGGGAAATTTCCAGGAGCCAGAGCTGGCAATCCCTGTCAAGGTCTTTGTTATGCTATGGAATGGCAAGATGCATAGGACTGTTGACAAGATTGCTCCTGAGTTTTCCAGGGAACTCCGACCAATCAAATGAGCTGGACAAGGACTAGAGGAAAGGGCATTCTAGAGTGCATGAGAAATGATGGAAAATGCCTGTTTTCGGGGGCTAAAATGGAAGTGGTGTTAGACTCAATGTGAAACTGACAAGACATGTCCTAAAGTGCATAGTCATGACTACTATGTGCCAGTGAAGATGGTGCATCTTGGAGTAGCTGGTTAACAGAGCTGTTCCATGTTGTGAGAGCTGACATCTGTTCCACAGAATTGAGTTTTGGAACTATAGAGGCCTACTATGATAAGTTTGCAAGGAACTTTGAGGATAAAATTACCGTATTTTTCGCACCATAGGACGCACCGGCCCATAGGACGCATCAAGTTTTTTGGGGGGGAAATAAAGGGAAAAAAATTATTTCCCCCCCAGGCGCTTGTGGGGCCGGCAGCGGGGAGAAGCGCTCTTCTCCCCGCAGTCCGCCTTGATATCAGGTCCGGGGACAGCGGGAAGACGCGCTGCGTCTCCCAGCTGTCCCCGGAGCTTGGGGGCAGGCGGCGGGAGAAGCGCTCTTCTCCCGCCGCCCGCCTTGATATCAAGTCCGGGGACAGCGGGAAGACGCGCTGCGTCTCCCTGCTGTCCCCGGAGCTTGGGGCAGGCAGCGGGAGAAGCGCTCTTCTCCCGCCGCCCGCCTGATATCAAGTCCGGGGACAGCGGGAAGACGCGCTGCGTCTCCCAGCTGTCCCCGGAGCTTGGGGCAGGCAGTGGGGAGAAGCGCTCTTCTCCCCGCCGCCCGCCTTGATATCAAGTCCGGGGACAGCGGGAAGACGCGCTGCGTCTCCCTGCTGTCCCCGGAGCTTGGGGGCAGGCAGCGGGAGAAGCGCTCTTCTCCCCGCCGCCCGCCTTCAGAGCAGGTCCGGGAACAGCAGGAAGACGCGCTGCGTCTCCCAGCTGTCCCCGGAGCTTGCGGGGCCGGCGGCGGGGTCTCCCCCCCGTCAGCCACCAAACCACTTCGGGAGACAGCGGGATGGCGGTGTTCCGCCGCCCTCTGTCCCCCACCGTGTGGGGCTGGCGCTGGGGCTCTCCTGAAGCCTGGAGAGCGAGAGGGTCGGTGCGCACCGACCCTCTCGCTCTCCAGGCTTCAGTGAAAGCCTGCATTCGCACCATAGGACGCACACACATTTCCCCTTCATTTTTGGAGGGGAAAAAGTGCGTCCTATAGTGCGAAAAATACGGTACTTGCCTCAGTGCTGAGGTGAATGCTGCCATTATTCCAAAGAAAGGTGAAGTACCTGACAAAGCATCTTCCCTGATCTTGTGGAAATCTGTTTCAGTTGAGGTCTGAGGGTGTACACAAGGTGCCTGTGGTGGTTCAGCCCGCAATATGCTCTCTCTACTCCTGCTCACAATAGCTTATTCAAGTTATTGGGGTAAGGTCATTCCAGGAAGCAGCTGACACGTTTTGCATGAGGGAATGGTACCTAATGCCTTGAAAGAGGCAGCAGTGTATCCACTCCTTAAAAACCCACACACTTCCTTGGACCCTGAGGTACTCAACAACTATTACCTGATCACAAATTACTCTTATTTTGAGATAAGGTGCTCGGGAGAGTGACGGCATGCTGCAAGCACTGTTGGAAGAAACTGCTGCTCTTGACCCTTTCCAGTCTAGGTTCAGGTCTGAATTTTGAACAGAATTACCCTTGGTCACCCTGATGGACACCTTCCTTTGGGCATGGGACAGCAGGAGTGCAACTCTATTCCTCTTTCTTGATTTCTCAGTGACTTTCAATACTGTTGGCTTTCCTGGTATTTTCCTGGACTCTTTGTGTGAGTTGCAAATTGGTTGCACTGTGTTACTGTGATTCCATTCCTGCTTACATGGCTGGGTTCAAACATAGTGTTGGGATGCTATGTGTCTGCCCCCTAGCAGTTCCGCTGGATGGTGCTGGAGGACACAATTTTCTCCTCAATGTTGTATATTAAATCATGGGGAGCATTCATTAGATTTGGGGAATGGGGCCGTCAACACACTGACATTCAGTTCAATTTCTCTGTTACATCAGAAGAGACTGTATCTGTTCTGAACTGCCGCCTGGATGCAGTAGTGGGTTGAATCACAGCTAACAAAATGACGCTGAATGCTGATAAGACTCTGTGGGCGAGTAGTTTACAGTCTGGAAATTGGTGAATTTACCAATTCTGGACAAGGTTCCACTCCCTCTAAAGGAGTAAGTACACAGTTTGGACCATTCTTTGTTACTGGAACCTAGGTAACTTCCTTGGCAAACAGCACCTATTAACGAAGTAGGTTGGTATATCAACTACAACCCTGCCTGGACAATGACATCTTAGACACTATAATTCATGCATTAGCAACCTCACAACTAGGCTACTGTAATGCGTTCTATGTGGGACTTCCCTTCAGGCATGTTTGGAAGTTGTAGCTGGTGCAGTATGCTGCAGTCAGCTTGCTGAATGGAGCATCTGGACATGTACATATTACATCTGCGCTGAGGGAACTGAATAGGCTGCTGATTAACTACCAGGCTATGTTCAAGGTCTTGTTACTAATACACAAAGGCACAAACTCCTCAAGACCAGGTTACCTCCACAATTATGTGCCCCTGGATATAACTGTTTAAGAGCACCTAGACCATCATCATTTTTTTTAAAAAAAGATGAGCGTTATATTATTATGGTGCTGTAGCATAAACACTGTTGTACTTCTTTCATTTTAAAAAGTACAGTTGGAAAAGCCAATTAAAAGTTGGAAAAGCCAATTACAGTGGTACCTCTAGATACGAACGGGATCCGTTCCGGAGCCCCGTTTGCACCTAGAAGCAAACGTAACTAGCGACGGCATGTGTGTGTCGCTTTTTGTCGCTTCTGCGCAGGTGTGTGACGTCATTTTGAACATCTGCGCACGCGCAAGCAGCAAAACCCGGAAGTAACGCGCTCCGTTACTTCCGGGTTGCCGCAGAGCGCAACTCGAACGCGCTCAACTCGAAGCATATTCAACCCGAGGTATGACTGTAAAAGATTTATTTCAAAAACAAAATAATTAAACAGCCCACCAACAAGGTTAAATAGTGCATGAGTGCTGAGCTTCAAATGGCCCCACCCAGAGCACCTATAACACACCCACTGATGTGGATGGAACATAGCATAAGGTTACCAGACGTCCTCGTTTCCTGGGGGCAGTCCACAGATTTACAAATCAGTCCCCTGACAAAATCCATCTATTTAGTAGGAAGTGGAAAAGTGTCCCCGAATTCATTGGAAAAAAAATCTGGTAACCTTAACATAGCAGAAGCAGTATACTACCAATAGTGTGGAAAGTTGATTCCAATTCTGCTTATAGCTTATAGCAGAAGAGCAATGATTCGGCAGCACTAAGAGCTACTCACGTGGAAGCAGCCCAAATGAACCAGATACTAGCTAATACTAGGTAGGTAGATAAAATGACTGTTGTTTACTAGGACTTACTCCTAGAATAAGCTTCCAACAAATAAAATATGGAGGTTGAATTCATACATATAATAATAAATGATAGGTTTACTGTAATGAGAACCAGAAGGCAAGAGCCTCAGATTTGCATTCTTCCTCCTCTGAGTACATGGGGAGGATATTTAAAACTTCCATTGATTTCAGTGTGCCTACTCTTGAGTATGAACTGGCCAGATATAGCCTACATAGTGTAATCCCACCCATATCTACTCAAAAGTCCTTTGAACCATACTAGACATCATTCTGGTTGCCACGTTCTCCACCAGTTGCACCCTCCAAACCATATTCCAGAGCAGTCCTCATAGACAGCATTGCAATAGCCAATTGGCATATCTCAAGTATTTACGTGCTGAAGCAATAAATCTTTTAAGGTCATATTGTTAGTGAAAGACAAAAAGTAAAATAAAGTGAATCATTAGGATAATTTTATGTATGTAGCAAGCAGAACAGATGAGAGAATAAAGTCACAGATAAAGGTCATTAAATTAAGATTTATAAAGATTTAAAAATGTACTCACTTGTGACCAATTTCATGTGCAATGGTAAAAGCAGAACCTAAGCCAATATCTTCATTAATGCTACAGCTCCTTTCAGGCTCACACATTCCAGCAACAGAGGCCAAGCCTGAACAAACAAAAGGAGACACAAAGGGTCATGCCAAGGTGTTTCAATCTTAAAAGCCCTAGTTATAAATGCCTGGATTCTTTTTAATAACCTCCATGCATCGAAGCAGCAGTTGGCAAAAGGTTAACTTTCTAGTCATTGCAAAATCACTGGGGGGAATTTCACTTTGCCGGCTAGACATTAATATTTTTTGAACTGCAGTCACTGCTGGAAAATGTCTAGACTAGGGGTTAGATTTATAAATTTTACTTCTGGTAACTTGGGACCACCTAGTAATATGAGCCAGGAGAGGGAATTCAAGCAAGCATTTCTATTTTAACATTCTTGAGGTTGCAGAAAGCAAAATGTGTCCACATTATTTTTCTAAAGAGATCTGTTTAAGTTTAGTGGGTTCATAAAACATACAAGAAACATTTTTAGCTACAAAACCCCCGAGTGGTATATTTTTAGGAATTTTTATGAAAACAAAAAACTCAATGCACCAATTGCAGAGAAAGAAATGTTAGCTGTATTTACTAAACTATAAAAACTTCTGCTTATCAGTTTTCTGAAATTAAGTTCTCACCACATACATCTGCTTCTAAAACCTTTTAAAATGGAACACAGTATACAAATATTTTAAATGTTCTTCAATACTACTTGGGATGTGCACTAGTGCAGGATTAATTTGTTACCACTGCGGAGGAATTGACCTGCTGCAGCCTTAAAGGTATTCCTCCTTGAGGACTATTATCTGGGAAAAACATTAACATACTCTCCTAGGGGATTATGTACCCTGAAAAAATACTGCTACAAAACAAGGACCAAAAAGGGATACTTTTAGCACTGAAGGGAATGTATTCTATGAGCAAAGTAACCTAAATTATGATTAACATTAACTTGATAGGGATGTGTTACAAGGAACCAGATTAACACCAGCACTCCAGGGTTTACACTAGCTTTGAACTCTTTTCTGTTCAATCATTTCAATCCATAAAGCCCTGCATGGTGCAGAAATGAGTCTTACCCCATAGAAACTCTGTTCCCCACTAGCCTTCTGTGATCCCTTAATTCAACTGAGAACTCTACTGATTAGAATGGCTATGTAGCTCCTCATCTCTGGAATGTTCTCTCCAGGGAGGCCTGACTGGCGCCAACTTTGTCATCATTTCAACTCCAGGCATATATGCTTTTGTTTTCCCGGGCATTTGGACAGCACCAAAGATTGTATGTTTTTACTCTGAATGTGTTTTTAATGTGTTTGTGCATTTTTATTACTGTATTTTATTATTATTGTAAATTGCTTTGGGCCTTTTTGTTGAGGGAAGCAATGCATAAATTCAGTATGCCTAACCTATGTCTGAAGTCCATAGAGCAGTAGCATATACAGCAGTATTATCTGTGGCTGTTCCACTTACAGATTCCACACACAGAGAGAGTTTTCAAATTCACCGAGATCTAAGTTTGGAGTATTTAAGGAACATTATATGTTCATATTATTTGAATTGGCACTCAGTAGTTGAAGTCAAGGGGGATATGAGTAAGAAATGAGGAAGACAGCCTGATATTTTATCTTTGAATAAGTTTTTAATCTACATAACTGCTACTGACACTGATCTCTTACAACAGACTGGAACAGAATGAAAACAAACAAAACAAGCTCCGGTAAAGAAGGTGGAAATTACTTGACCAACTGTAATTTCTGCTAGGTGAAGGTTACAATCACGTTCTTTCCAGTCTATTCAAAGACAAAGTTAGAATACACCTAAATTGTACTTTCATTGTAACCAAATAGAATTGTTTGACTTTTTAACTCTGAATTCCAGAGTAGTATCTTTGACATTTTTAGAATGATTGAAAGTAATGCACTCAGTTATTATCAATGGATTAACATTGGAAAATATTCCTAATGGATATGGCTAATACTTATTTTACAAATTAAAAACTGTCAACAAATTAATTAATAATTGTGAAACAAAACAAAACCCACATATGACCCACCCCAAACTACTATTATTTATGTGGCACATGGTTAGTTAACTATTACTAGAGGAACATGTCCTTCAGTCTGTTGCTTTGTGTCCATTTTCCACCCTTCTGAAATCTTACAGCTATTAACTTACTTCTCTCCTTTTTCTTTTCTGAGGTCTCCCTTCAGTGTTTTTTCCTCAGCTATCCCTCTCCCTCCAACTTCCATCAACACTTTTTTCTCAGTATTTTATGCTCCTCCTCCCCCTTAGCATTACATGTCCTTGTGCATTCTATCCAAATATGTCCTTTTCCAAGAACTTCCCTGGATCAAGCTGTCTCAAGCAAGCCAGGATCAAACTGTCCCCCAAATCTGGATCTAACAGGGAAATCTAGTTAGTTTAAAAGTAGAAGCAAAAGCTTCGAATTACCTTATCCTATCTTGTGCAAAAAACTATAATGAAGGAACGGAGGGAAGGAGTTCCACAACTTAGGGACTGTTTCAGGGAATGTCCTCTCCCAGGCCAACATCACCACTTTGTGAGCCTCTGAGGGTAAAGGAAGTACCAATAGAGTCCCTTCTGCTGATTCTAGCACCTGAGAGAGTCGGTAGGGAAGGAGGTGATCTTTCAGATATTTGGAGCCTGAGTCATTTACAGCTTTGAACACTAAGATGAGCATTTTCAAGTGGGTCTGGAAATGAACTGGCAACCAGTGCATCTATTTTAAAATGAAATATGGGCTCTAAACAGAGCCCCAGCCAATTGAAGTTTCCAAGTGGTCTACAAGGTCAACCCCATGTAAAGCACATTGCAAGAGTATGGAGTACTGTGGTCAGGTAATCTCTGTCTTATGGATACAGTAGCAGCCAAAGCTGAAAAGGGCACTCCTAGCCACCAGAGCCAGACAAAATCTATGCTTGCCATGGTTGTGATTCCGTTCTAGAAGGAAGGAGTCTGTTCTCTGCCATCAGGCTGAACAGCATCAAGTCATGGGCAAACCCCCACCTTTCCAACATCAAGTTATTGAGATGAGCAATGTAACACCCATTTAACATTGCATTTGACCGACCACAGTGTGACACAGAAGATGACCTGAACTCCTACTGAGAATGAAGCTTGCAAAAGGTCCTCATGCTTACTACTCCGTCTCCCTGGTAAAGGGACCCCTGACCATTAGGTCCAGTCGTGACTGACTCTGGGGTTGCCAGCGCTCATCTCGCTTTATTAGCTGAGGGAGCCGGCGTACAACTTCCAGGTCATGTAGCCAGCATGACTAAGCCGCTTCTGGCGAACCAGAGCAGCGCATGGAAACGCCGTTTACCTCCCCGCCAGAGCGGTACCTATTTATCTACTTGCACTTTGATGTGCTTTCGAATTGTTAGGTTGGCAGGAGCAGGGACCAAGCAATGGGAGCTCACCCCGCCACGGGGATTCGAACCGCCGACCTTCTGATCGGCAAGTCCTAGCTTCTGTGGTTTAACCCACAGTGCCACCCGCGTTCCATGTCTCCCTGGTACCTGCATCATAATCATGGGAGTCCTCACCATGTGGTTCCCCTTGCCTGTATCATGGCGTCTACATACTCCAATTGACCTGGGTTAAAAAAGTTGGGTATGTAAAAGTGATGCTTACTCAGAACCTGTTGGTGCTTGAAAGGTTAAGGATGCAGTGGCAACAGGGAGCTTCTGCAGCTCACTATACATAGACAGACCCTTAGGGGATTCAATTTACCTATGCACCAGCAGGGATTTATTCTTAAAACACACTTAAGAATGTCTTAAGGCAGGCTACAGGACCAAGCTAATAATTTGAAATTCTGGACAAAGCTTTTAGGTCTGAGAAGACAACAGAGTTCAAAATCAGAGCACAGCACCTGGTTTAAGTATCTGCACCAGGTGCTAGACAGATGTGAAGCAGAAAAAAATATTTCCTGAAGCTACAAAACAGCTGTAGACATACTCCATGAAGGCAACTGAATACACATAGCTCCTTTCATGCCTCCCTGTTCAAGGACATGGGGATTAAAAAAAACAAAATATCTACCCAGCAGCAGATTCTCTTATCTCTTCCTTAGATACCCATTTTCACTTTGTGCTGAAACAAGAATGCCTGATCAACAGAAATGTAGTTTCAGGTAGTGACTAGGGGTGCATGTCTAAGCTTAAGATGCAATAACCATGTGGGATTGTGATCCAGCCATTCCATATGTCATTCTGTTGCCAGTGATACAAAATGTACACTCATAGAAATCTCCTGAAATGCCAGTGGATGCCAGCAAAGTTGCAGCTATGGGATTGCTCAATCTGCCATGTTGTGGATTTTAAAACTAGCAATGGCAGAAATTGAAAACGCTAAATGTTTTCTGTAGAAGATAAATGCTTACTGTAAAAACATTGATATTTAGACAAGGGTTTTGATACCTCAAGCACACAATTGTGCAGGTGCTATATAAGTACCTCTGGATTAAGTGGACAAAGCAAGTTAACAGAGTCCTAATGTTTCCTAGAGGAGGGATGGCAAAATTCTGGCACGATCATTAAAAAATAGTTGCCTGCTCAAAATCCTACACTTATCATTAAATACTGAGTAAAATTTTAAAGAAATGGCAGACTTTTTTCTTTCCCAATATACTTTATGGATTAAGAGCACTGTAACAGTTTAAAAAACAGAAAACAGCATCAAATTCACAATACAACCACCATTATGGAAAAGAATTCAGAGACGGATATGTGGTAAATTCAAGCTTTTGCACCAGACAGGATAATGAGTTAACTGCATGCTTTCTTAAGCACATTTTTACCATTAACATTTCTGGTTTTTCTGTGTGTCTCTTTTGTTCTCTTTGTATTTGTGAAATCTATCAGAACAATCTTTATGAGGAAGAAAGCAATGTGAGCTTCCCTTGCCCCCCCCCAATTGTTGCTTTGATTACCTTCTAGGTTTTTAAAGTGGCACAGCTGTCCAAAATAACTATTCGTTTTTTTTTAACATTACTGCTTCTTGCAAACAAAATATATTTTCAGAATCATTTTCTACATAAACATGAAATGTGAGGAAATCATCTCAAGAAATGATGTCAAATGAATAAGTAACAAAAACCAAAACATTGAAGAAAATAAATACCCATTTAGGTTACATTTTTGCAACCTTACCCAGTGTTCCACAAGGCTTGTTTTTATATGTGCAGATATCGTATCTGTAAAGAGGGGAGAGTAGATATATTTATAAAACGTTCAACCTGGTTGATACATTTTTTATATTTATCACATTTCTGTAGTGTAACTCCAGTTGTCAGACTGCAATCACTGTAATTATGAGCAGCCAGCTGGAGTGTCGGCTCTGCGTTCTGGTGTAAACCACAGGCTGCAGTATGCTCACAGCCTCTGGCCTCAGGCCAGTGGGACACCTGCCAGGAAGGAAAAAAAGGTTAAAGTGGACCTTTGTAATCTCTGGCCTTATAAAACAGCCTGCCACTCTGTTATGAAGTTGCAGCAGTACATCTGCAGAGCATCACTATTTCAACAAGAAACTAACAAAGCATTTTTCTAATCCTATTGAAATATTTTCTTCCTAAGGACACTGCATATTTTAGGATACTGAACAGTAATGTTTTGATCCTAATGTTTTGTCTCTTCCCTGCTCTCTTGATGTTGCCTGAAACCAAAATGTTAGCGAACTAAGTAATACGTAAAATAAACGATACATTATTAAACAACCTCCTTTTTTTAAACCCTCTTCCCTAAACTCTTTCTTTAAGGGAAAGGGGAAAAGAAAAAAGGAAAGACACAAATGTTATGTTATCATCCTTTTCCGGAAAGTCAAACAATGGTTCAAAAATCACAATGAAAATTCCTACCATTCATTTCAATCATTCATTTTGAGCATCAGCTTCTTTGGGTTTCTTATTATTGTCAGCATGAAATCTCCTAAAGGTGACTTGGAGAAGCATAATTAAGACTAACATCGGGAAGGAACCAGAGCTCAGTGATGGAGCACACGCTTAGCACACAAATGTCCCAGGTTCAATCTCAAACAGAAAATCCACACCTGAAACTCTGCATTCAGTAGACAGTACTGAACTAGATGGACCAATGATCTGACTCAGCATAAAGCAGCTTCCTATACACAGACACAGATACATATGTCCTCTACCTGAAGAAAGTTTTTAAAAAAGAGATGCATCTCTTAACATTTCTAGGAATACATTTTAGAAACCGAAAAACACGGGAAGTTATTACAATGACCTCTCATACCCTGGAATGGGTATGAACTAGGGCTAGGTGATACCTGTTTTTCAACATCATGATATATAACCAGCTAAACATAGTGATATACTGACATATCATGAAGTCTGAAATAAGGATGGAGCTATGTAGAGGCATTGGTTAGCTTCACGGTTTTTCCTGCACCATTATTTTTGCATAGTGCGCATGCGCACACACACATACACACCATGATTCACAGTATATTGCTTCCAGGTAAAAAACTATGAAGCCGCTATCACAATATGGACCTCAAACAAGATATGGACGATGTATCACCCAGCTCTAGTATGAACGTTCAGAAACATTCATGTTCTCACACTATTTTATTTTATTTTTAGTAGTCTTTATTGAGTTTTACATTGATTAATTATATACATTTTCCAGTTGTCTTCAATATATGTTAACTTATACATGAATGTAAACCAAAATAAATCAATACTTCTTCACAAGTGACTTCCCTCCACCTTATTTTGGCTTTTTACTTCTTCCTTATCTTTTTAACTGTGTTGTTTTCATTATTTCACTTCTCTTACATAATATATGTTATCTATCTGTTATTTACTTTGCAAACTTTAGTCAAACAAAACACATCAAATATTTTGAGAAAAATGTTTTTCCAGGTAATCTTTAAAACTTTGGTTTGGTTGATTTCTAATTACTTCTGTCATTTTTGCTAATTCCAAATATTCACACAATGTGATTTGCCATTCTTCCTTCATCTGTGTCCTATCCCCTTTCCTATTTTTAGTGATCAGCATTCTTGCTGCAGCTGTAGCATATAGGAACACCCTCCTTTTATCATTTGAGATATCAATTGTCGAAATACCTAGAAGAAAGGCTTCTGGCTTCTTCACAAATATTTGTCTAAACATTTATTTTAATTCCTCATAGACAATGTCCCACCACATATGGTACATTGTTCCTTCCATTTGCTTACACCTCCAGGATGCATTTGAGTTTTTTTATATATTTTGGGCAATTTGCTGGGGGTCATGTACAATCGATATAGCATTTTCATAAGATTTTCCATTATTGAGAAGCAAGCTGTGAACTTTAAGTTTTTTGCCATAATTTTTCCCAATCGTCCATCTGGCTGGAATAAGCAAATTCCTTTGACCATTTGATCATCACGGTCAGATGATCATGTTCTCACACAAATTGACACATATACTTAGCTGAAGACCCACCTCAGTACAACTAAGCCAATTTGGACAAGGCAAGAAAAGCAGTTTATAAATACTTTAAATATTAAATACAAATATTAAATATTAGATAACAAGACTATTACACTGCAGCACAGATTCTGAGGGCACAAACTAAGGAGGAATCAGGGAGCATCTGGAAAGCAGATCAAATTTCAGGATAAAGAGAAAACAAGTGATCAAAGCAAGTGTCTCTTGATTTATCAGAGTTCAGCCATATATTGGCTGGTTGGATAATAAAACTGCTACCCACCCTTTCAATATCAGACCCATATCTCTCACAGTGATGCTCTCAATGCATTTCTGGAGATTATATAACAAAATAGTAGGTAATAATTTGTTATTGAGAAAAAAATACTTAAAATGAAACATATACTGTATATTATCAGACAGGTTAACCATTATCTGATGGGTTAAAATGAATCTTGTTTAACAAATTGCTTGTAAAACTCTTCAATGGCATAAACTTGATTGCAGCTCTTTTGAGGTGAACCAAAGCAACTTTTTTCAAAGAAACAGTATCAATCATTAATCAATTTATGCTATAGTACTCCAAGTTGTTTTTGTTTTTTGATTAAATTAGCACCCCTTCAGGAACTTTCAGCTCTTTCCAGAGAACATGCGAAAAATCTTTCAAATGAGACTGAAATGTGAAAGAACAAAAAGTTCAAGGCACCTCTTCTCTTATTGCAATTTCCAAACTTTCTTTTAATTTGATAGCAATATGGCAGTGACTAGTTCAAAGGAACATTTCCATCCACACACTTCCATTCTGGGAATCAATGAATTCCCAAAACACAGTCTGACTAATGAAGAATGCCCCAGTGCTGCTGGATGGGAAAGCCTGCTTACAATGGAAATCCATGTTTCTACCAGCTCTCAAAGGCAGGGCTGGCCCACCCTTGAGGCGCTGTGAGGGAGTCACCTCAGGCTGCAGGCTGAGAGACAGTTGGGGAAATGGCAGGTGTGGCCCTAAAGAGTGGGCCTCTTCTTCTGCCACTGCTGCCTGCTCCTCTCCAGCCTCCTGGTGTTGGTGGGTAGCTTCAGCAGGCGGCTTTGGAGGGAGGAGCTGCTCTGGCAGGGAGCAGCAAGGGACAGTGTCACTGGGCTGCAGCGGTAGCTTCAGCAGCGGGTGCCCCTTTTGCCTCATATATCAAACATCCTGAATTGATCCTTTTAGGAAGGATGATTGGATAAGGCTAAACACCTCCAGTATTTAAGACATTAAGTAAAGGTAAAGATAAAGGGACCCCTGACCATTAGGTCCAGTCGTGGCCGACTCTGGGGTTGCGGCGCTCATCTCACTTTATTGGCCGAGGGAGCCGACGTACAGCTTCCGGGTCATGTGGCCAGCATGACTAAGCCGCTTCTGGCGAACCAGAGCAGCGCACGGAAATGCCGTTTACTTTCCCACTGGAGCGGTACCTATTTATCTACTTGCACTTTGACGTGCTTTCAAACTGCTAGGTTGGCAGGAGTAGGGACCGAGCAAGGGGAGCTCACCCCGTCGCGGGGATTCGAACCGCCAACCTTCTGATCGGCAAGTCCTAGGCTCTGTGGTTTAACCCACAGCGCCACCCGCGTCCCTTAAGGCATTAAGTAGAAATGCCAATCCATTGATAGTTTTAAAGTTGCTGTATAAAGCTGATGTTCTGGGGGGTTAAATACTACAAGCTCATCATTTTATTCAAAGTCTGGGTATAAGATTTAACGTGCATGTTTAGGAACAGCAAAACTTTATACAAGACTTGAAACTCTTGATTTCTTGTGCCACAACATCTGCTTAGTTTTACAGAATCTGGTATACCAAAGCAGCATTTTGCCTTAAACTAAAAGTAAACAATTCATTTAGTTTCATCCTTGAACACCAAAAAAGGAAGAAAAAGGATAGTGCACGTCACATTTCTCAATAGGAATAGCTTTCCTGTTATTTGTTTGACATGTCTTTTACAAGTTGCCATAAACAAAACAAACTTCTACCTCTACAATATTTCCTTTCACCATTTTACTTGGTGGAATAAATTAGTGTGGATTATACAAAAAGAAAAAATACTTTGTTGTCAGTGCAGTAATTCACTGAGAGCATGTATGACAATTTTTTTAACAGAAAGACTACTACTCTGTTGTTGTATATACTAGTCATATTACTCCCACATAGTATAAGACCCAGGGTATGGTCTGAAGGCACATGATGTCACCACCTTGCTGAAGCTAAACAGATTGGCATTCAGTCAGTGCCTGCATGAGTGACCACCTGGAAACTATTTGTTCCATCTTGAGTTCCACCACTAAAGAAAGGCAAGATATGAATGTAATAATAATAAATAAATAAAAATGAATGAATATAATAGAACATCTATGTCTTTGTCACATTTGGTTTTCCTGAAGCTGGGTAGAACTCTGCAGATTGAGATGCTGGCTATGCAAATAGCCCCCTCCATCGCAGCAAGAGCTGCAGCTGTTTGGCTGGAGAACTAATCAAATGTGATCTCACAAGATGTAGAGATTGTCATTAAATTGGATTGTTTTTTAAAACTATCCAAGTTGCTGGCCATTACTACTTCTTACGGGAGCAAAATACACAGCAAATTAGACAAATTCATGGAGGGTAAATCTATCCATCTACCTCTCCTGTTGGAGGTAGTATGATTCTGGATACTAGTTGCTGTGAGTCAAAAATGGAAGGAGTGCTGTTGTATTCCTGCTTGCAGACATCCCATAGACATCTGGTTGCTCACCATGATGTCTTTTAGACTGATCTTACCAGGGCTTTCTAATTTTCTTATCACTCAGAAATCATGATACAATTTTATATTAGAGTTCTGTTTTTGTAGTTCAAACCAGTCCCAACTCCTGAACCAGTAGGAAGGGAAAGATGCAAAAACTCTTGCTTAAAACCTGAGAAATCAGAATGAAAGTTTGCAGCTCCGGGACTATCCCAGTCAAATATGAGTTCAACCCCTACACTTGACGTCAAAAGGGAGAAGCAAAGATGCAAAATAGAGCATAATGCTGTATTTCCCTTGAAGACTGAGATTTCACAATGAAAGTTGGCCATGCATCTTCAAGACAGCGTATCTGAAGTTCAAACCAGCAGCATGACTCTCATAGGGATTTAAAATATGGAGGGTTTGGTCCAGACTTTGTTTCCAGGCTTAGCAACATGGAAACAAAATATCTACCCATGGAAGCGGAGAAAAATGGTGGGTTTCCTCAGGACTTGGCAGGCTACACATGCAGCTGAGAGCCACATGCAGCTTGGCAGCCATGGGTTGCCCACATGTGTTTATTCACAGTCACTATCTCAGTTTTGAGTGGTAACAATTCCATGTTATTAGCTGTATGGATGTGGGAATTTATAGTAAAAATGCTTTTCTGAAGAGTACTCACTGCAGTCTGCAAAGTGCATTGCTGGCACAAATAACTATTCACTGGAAGTCTGCACCACTGGAGATGTGTAAGAGCTGCATAAGCCTTTAATCATTGTTATGCTTTAACTTAAAACAAACACTAGAAGCAGCTGATATAGCAAAGCAGAATGTTCTTTATGCTAGGTCAGACTTCAGAATACGAGAATATGTTTAAGTACAAATGAGGATATATTTAGAAACTTTTAATATTTGTATAACTTTTTAGCCAACTTAGAGAAACACAATATTAATTAAAAATATTAAAAATATTACATAATCCAGCACTAACAGAGAAATCCCAACTGATTTCAGCATAATTACATAATTCAGCACTAACTGAGAAATCCCAACTGATGAGCAACCTTTAAATCGGACATTTAAACGTAACAATTACTATAAAATACCACTACTGATAATTGTCCCATTTATAGAATAGAATCATAGAATCATAGAGTTGGAAGAGACCACAAGGGCCATCGAGTCCAACCCCCTGCCAAGCAGGAAACACCATCAGATACCCAAGATTTGTTTTCCCATTTCCCATTTGCCTATGTTCCCAATGTATATTATATCTCTGTATTCCAGAACTTGCCAAACTATGTGTTGCAACACGCTAGTGTGTTGACTGCAGTGTGTAGGTGAGTCATGTGAATGCTCCCCCTGCTCCTCCCGGGGCTGGAAAGGAGTTAGTTTAACCTCTGGTTTGCTAATAAACCTGAATTACTGTGTCGCGAAATGATGTAAAACTGAATTACTGGGCCCCTAAATGATGCATGTCTAAAAAGTGTGCCATCAACATGAAAATTTTGGAAAGCTCTGCTGTATCCCTTTTGAACGGCTACAACAGCATTTCTACTCCAGCTGAAATCAGCAATAAATAGAGATACTAGGATTTGATATCTGATAATTTAACCATTTTTCTATCCCAGGCCCAAAGCCCTTTACATTGAACCCTGTGTTAAAATAAGCCAGTTTCAGCATTGGAACAAATGCATCATGTTGTGGAAAAATTAGCACAAGTCAGTTGTTATCACATAATTACCAGGGTACTGCTCCAAAGGTTTACAAATCACACAGCAACTAACACATTTCCTCACTGAAATCCAAATTACCGTATTTTTCGCACCATAGGGCGCACCGGACCATAGGGCGCACCCAGTTTTTAGGGGGGGAATTCAAGAAAAAAAATCTTTCCCCCCCCCCAGCCCCAAAGAGCAGCGTACAGGCTGCGCACAACCTCTCCCTGCCGGAGGGGTTGCGTGCAGCTATGGAACAAGCCAAGGCAGCGAGCCGGATGGATTCCACTCACTGTTTTGGCTTCCCCTTTAGCCCCGTGCAGCCTCTCCCTCCCGGTAGAGGCTGCGTGGGGCTAAAGAATCCATAGCCCCGTGCAGCCTCTCCTCGGTGGAGGGGTTGCGCGCAGCTATGGATCAAGCCAAGGCAGCGAACGGGATGGATTCCGCTCGCTGTTTTGGCTTCCCCTTTAGCCCTGTGCAGCCTCTCCCTCCCGGTAGAGGCTGCGTGGGGCTAAAGAATCCATAGCCCCATGCAGCCTCTCCTTGGTGGAGGGGTTGCGCGCAGCTATGGATCAAGCCAAGGCAGCGAACGGGATGGATTCCGCTCGCTGTTTTGGCTTCCCCTTTAGCCCTGTGCAGCCTCTCCTTGCCGGGAGACGCTGCGCAGGGCTTTCCTGGCTTTACTGGGAGGTGGGGGGATTCCCTCACCTCTCCCAAAAGCCCGCAGAAGCCGCGCAACCCCTTTAAAGAGATCGCGGCTTCTCCTGGCTTTTCTGGGAGGTGGGGGAATTCCCCCCTCCCGCAAAACCGGCAGAAGCCGCACGCACTTTAAAAGGGCTGCACGGCTTCTCCTGGCTTTCCTGGGAGGTGGGGGGATTCCCTCACCTCTCGCAAAAGCCCGCAGAAGCCGCGCAACCCCTTTAAAGAGATCGCGGCTTCTCCTGGTTTTTCTGGGAGGTGGGAGAAGGGACAGATGCGGCCAGTCAGTCCCTTCTCCCTCCTGTGGAAAAGCCCGCAAGAGCGCACGGAGCTTGTGTGCGGCTCTTGGGGGCTTTTCCCGCCTGCCTCCCCACTGCATTCGTTCCATAGGACGCACACACATTTTCCCTTGCTTTTTAGGAGGGAAAAAGTGCGTCCTATGGTGCGAAAAATACGGTAAGATCTGAAAGTGGGATAGCAAATTCAACAATCTCAGGTGTCATAATTCCACTGCTATATTAGATAAGAAATATCTGAAACTGATTTATAGAACAAAATAAAAATAAATGAATTAGTAACTTCAAATTAATTTCCATTTCGCCCAATAAAGAAGTTTGTAATTACTGCATAAAGCTTGAGGGAAATCATAAAGAATTAATTATCTATTTGAGGTTCTAATTTGCTGCTGACTCACAATCAAAGGCTTCACGATACTAAGCTGTCCCTTACTGCAGAAAGCATAGCTAAGCTCTTGGCAAGAACCCAAACCTTCAAGGCACCTTGCCACCATCTTTTCTTTAAGGTCAAATGATATTTTTAAAAGGGGAGTGGATTGGACAAAAGTACAAGAATGCTCTTCCAGCATGCAAGACAATTAGGGCAGTTACTAAACTGATGCTAATATGTTCACCCTCATTTTACTTATTCCAGTAGATCTTTAGCCACAGTTGGCTGAGAAGAGGTGCTTGTAGATGTAAAGGCTAGAGAAAAAGACAGGAAAAGGTAAAAAGTGGCATCTGAGCCAGAAGTGGCAAAACAGCTGGAGGCTCCAAAATGTTGGGGTGAGAAAGAGTGGTCAAGTTTTCAAGTATTCAGTTCAGAAAACTATTAAATAACATCTTTCAAAAAGCAAATACAGTAAAACCTCGCTTCTCAAACAGCTCCATTGATAATGATGATGATGATGATGATGATTTGTTATTTATACCCCGCCACCCTGGGCGGCCTCCAACAAAGTATTAAAATACAGTCATACCTCGGGTTGAAGTAGCTTCAAGTTAAGTATTTTCGGGTTGCGCTCCGCGGCGACCCGGAAGTAACGGAGCGCGTTACTTCGGGTTTCGCTGCTCGTACATGCACAGACACTCAAAATGATGCCGTGCGCAGTGAAACGGAACGGATCCCGTCCGTATCCAGAGGTACTGCTGTACAGTGGTACCTCAGGTTAAGTACTTAATTCATTCTGGAGGTATGTTCTTAACCTGAAACTGTTCTTAACCTGAAGCACCACTTTAGCTCATGGGCCTCCTGCTGCCGCTGCAACGCCGGAGCACAATTTCTGTTCTCATCCAGAAGCAAAGTTCTTAACCCGAGGTACTATTTCTGGGTTAGCAGAGCTGAAACTGAAGCGTATGTAACCCGAGGTACCACTGTACAGTGGTCTGTTAAACATTAAAAGCTTCCCTAAACAGGGCTGCCTTCAGATGTCTTCTAAAAGTCTGGTAGTTGTTCTTCTCTTTGACATCTGTTGGGAGGGCATTCCACAGGGCGGGTGCCACTGCTGAGAAGGCTCTCTGCCTGGTTCCCTGTAACTTGGCTTCTCGCAGTGAGGGAACTGCCAGAAGGCCCTCGTTGCTGGACCTCAGTGTCCGGGCAGAACGATGGGGGTGGAGACGTTCCTTCAGGTATACTGGGCCGAGGCCATTTAGGGCTTTAAAGTTCAGCACCAACACTTTGAATTGTGCTCGGAAATGTACTGGGAGCCAACGTAGATCTTTCAAGACCGGTGTTATGTGGTCTTGGCGGCCGCTCCCAGTCACCAGTCTATCTGCCACATTCTGGATTAGTTGTAGTTTCCGGGTCAACTTCACAGGTAGCCCCACATAGAGCACACTGCAGTAGTCCAAGCGAGAGATAACTAGAGCATGCACCACTCTGGTGAGACAGTCCGCTGGCAGACAGGGTCTCAGCCTGCGTACCAGATGGAGCTGGTAAACAGCTGCCATGGACACAGAATTGACCTGCGCCTCCATGGACAGCTGTGAGTCCAAAATGACTACCAGGCTAAACAGCTGGTCCTTCAGGGGCACAGTTACCCCATTCAGGACCAGGGAGTCCTCCACACCTGCCCACCTCCTGTCCCCCCAAAACAGTACTTCTGTCTTGTCACGGTTCAACCTCAATCTGTTAGCCGTCATCCATCCTCCAACCGCCTCCAGACAAACGTTTCAGCTCCCGAATGCCAAAAACCTGGAAGTTGTCAGGAGCTCGCCCTACACTCGAGTAGTTGTTCCAGTTTTGAACATTTTTCAGAAGCCGAACATTCAATGTAGCTTCCGCTTGAGTGCAGGAAGCTCTTGCAACCAATCAGAAGCTGCGCCTCGATTGATCCAAGTTTCAGAAGCCGAACGGGCTTCCAGAACGGATTACGTTCGACAACCAAGGTTTGACTGTAGTTAACATTAGTAAAAACAAATTAGTTTTTGTTTTAGGCTTAAAATGTGTAGTAGAATGAGTACATTGCCATACATTGAGTGTTAACACAGTATTTTCAGTTGAAAAGGAGGTTGGCTTCCATTTCAAATACTTTATATCCCACCAAAGCCTTGTGGCAACTCATTTGTTTTCAAAAAATATATAGAATCTAAAGCCAGTTATATTATACCACAGACATTAAGTTAGAACTACTCTCATAAGCTGTCAGATTTTAAAAAGTAGAGCAAAGTGAGCGCAATGTAAAATTTACGGTAGTCTCTCTCTCTCTCTCTCTCTCTCTCTCTCTCTGTGTGTGTGTGTGTGTGTGTGTGTGTGTGTAAAGGTTTCTTCAAACAATTGATAATCTATTTTGTGAAATGACATGCTAAGGAGTACAGCAAATGTATATACAGCAATGCTTTCTGAAGGATTTTTTTTAAAAATGCAGCTCTGGTATTTTATTATGGTGGAGGGAACAGGAAAAACAAACATTTCTATGGTTCCACACACACCCCTCCTCAACCTTCCTGCAATGGAATAGTTATGTCTCACTTTAACAAGTATCCATTAAATCTCATGAACCATATCCTGCAGTTAATGGGCTGTTAAGATTTTAAAGCTTTGCTAGTTCTACTGAAAATCCCAAAGCCCTCCTCTAGTAGTGACAAGACTTCTATAGCAGTTAAGAAATCAGCTACAGTTTGATTGTTTGAAATTGAACCAAAGTAAACACATTAATTTTGTTTGAATGAATGGTGATTATTTTGTCTTCAACAAACACTGATAAGCACCCAACAAAGTAAGTTAATCAATAAGAATAAGACACCATATGGCTGTATTTGAACATACAAATATTGCCTTTGCATCTAATAAGGGAATTTATTTTTTCCAATAAAGGTTCCTCCCTTTCTCACAGCTACATTTGGAATAAGCTAGTCAATGCAAGAATGGCAACTCTTCTGAACAAATGGAGTAATAAAACCCAACAAATCACGAGGGCCAGATGGCATCCACCTGAGAGTTCTCAAAGAACTCAAACGTGAAATTGTTGATCTTCTAACAAAAATATGTAGTTTGTCTTTCAGATCAGCCTCCATACCCAAGGATTGGAAAATAGCCAATGTAACACCAATTTTAAAAAATGGATCCGGGAACTCTGGGAATTTCAGGCCAGTTAGCTTAATGTATGTCCTGGGAAAACTGGACTTTCTAAACACTCTAACATTTCTGATTGGTTCCACTGGCATATTTGCACTAAACTGACCTTGTCCCTCCCATGTCTCCATCTTGGTATGGTATGAGGCAGCATCTAAGCTGTAGGGAAGCCAGATGAGCGACGTAGCTTCAACACACCATCCAGTTCTGTTAGATTGCAAGTCACCATAAAAATATGTTTAAAAGGAAAGGCAGTTTAAAAATACAATAATGTATGGAATTAACTGTTACACTATATGAAGAATGCATATTAGAATACAGTTAACAGCCTTCAATGATCAAACATGTATACATGTATACATTTGTATACATTTTTCTGCAGCTTCAGCAAATATATAACTTCTACAATTACAAACCTTCCATCTCTTCTCTGTCACAAATTTAAATATTACAACTGATTCTAACATGTTCATATCCTATAATGTTTTATATTTTACATTTTTTTAAATTTCCAAAAAAGTTTGGATTCAGGCAAACCAATTATTATTTCTAGCCTTCATAAACATTAGTATGGTTAATCTTGTTCAACTCTTTGGAAGCAGATATCACTGACACATTCTTTTATACATTTCTAAAAAAAATTTTATATTTTTTGTTGTAAACCGCCCTGAGATCTACGGATGAAGGCTGGTATATAAATTTAATAAATAGTAATAATATTTTTATGTATACAAAAATACATTTCCAAAAATATTTATAGGAAATTATTATTATTTATAGAAAAAATCAGTTGAATAATTAACTACCATTTACATTAATAGACTTCTCACAAAATAGTGTCTATGTGGCATTCTAACAATCTAAATGCCAATTCAGCCTACTTTTACTTTATTTTAATTGTGTATACATTATGTGCAAACTGTAAGCTCTTATTAACATTTACTGAGACTGAGAAATCATGACTTTAAATCTTCAAAGTTAAACAAACAAAAAAGATCATATTTATATATAAAGGAGCAATTGCTGCTGCAAGTATTCTGATCCTCCAGCTGCTCTCCTGGCACAATCCTCACTTAAAAACACAGTCTTTGGTGCTGGAGCACTTTAAGGATAACAGTTCCTTATATTTTCTTTTGTTTAATCATGTTTTGACATGAGTTTAAGCAGGTTCTTCTTATCTGATCTGATGTAAAACAGATTTCTGACACATCTTAGAAGCAACACTCCTACCAATTAGCAGGCAGCAGAGACATTTTCTTTTTAAATGGTGCACAATTTTGAAACTCACATTACTACTTTATTTAAAATGTAGCTAATTAAGTTTCCCAAGAGCTTTCTAAGTGCTTTTCTATTTAACTTGCAGTCCACTTATTCAGCTAAGTGATATCAGTTCCAAGTGGGAGAAGTAGCTTTCCGCTTTGGTTACGTTTGTATTACATTTGTGCCTGCAACAATCACACCAGTTTCCTGCATGCAGTGTACAGTGCACAAAAACCTTCACTAGTTGGTACTGAAAGTTGGTACAATCAGAATTGAGGGTACCAGTCATTTACAGAGGAGGAATCGGGAAGGGATACCATTCCTCTCGTACCAACAACTTTAAAAATCTTTCTGTGGAGTCACAATGCAGCTTTAGAGCTCAAAGGTCAACAGTTGATATGATTTTATCATTGCGCCAGCTGCAAGAGAAATGCTGAGAGCAGAGACAGTCCTTGTACATAGCCTTCATTGACCTGATGAAGGCCTCTGACCTCATCAGCCAAAAAGGACTCTTCTCACTGTTCAACAAGACAGGATGCCCATCTAAGTTTCACAAGATGATTGTGCCCTTCCACAAAAACATGAATGGCACTGTCCAGTATGATGGCTTGTCCTCAGACACCTTCCTTATAGAGCAGTGTGAAACAGACCTGTGTTCTATTCACAACTCTCTTTGACATATTCTTCTCGGTGCTATCATATGCTTTCAGCTCAACTGAAGACAGTGTGTACTTTCATTTGAGGAGCAATGGGGGTCTGTTCAACCTGGTATGTCTCCATACCAAGGCAAAAGTGTGGTGGGTCCTTATTCGAGAGATGTTGTTTGCAGGTGACATAGACTTGACAGTGCACTTCAAGGAAGCTCTAGGGAGATTCATCAAATCATTTTGCTCAAGCCTGCAGGAAGTTCAGCTTTACCACCAGCCTGACAAAGACCAAAATCCTGGGTCAGGACGCTACCAACACTCCACACATCAGCATTGGTGGCCACACCCTTGAGGTGGCAGATGATTTTGTCTTCCTGGGTTCCACCATAACTAGCAACCTCTCCACTGATGTTGAACTGGACAAGTGTATTAGTAAGGCAACTATGGCAGTATCTGGCCTCTCCAAAAGTACATGGGAGAATGTGATGCTAACATCCAAGACCAAGATGAAGGTCTATCAGGCTTGCACGCTGAGTGCGCTGCTTTATGGAAGTGAGTTGTAGGCAACTTACAACTGCCAGGAATGACGCTTCAATGTCTTCCACATGTGCTGCATAAGGACGATTTCGGGCATCATATCTCAGGACAGAGTCTCAATCAAAGATGTGCCCTCCCAAGCCCACATTCCCAGCATGTTCAGACTCCTAACCCAGAAGTGTCTACAATGGCTTGGTCATGTCCAAGGGACATGGGAAGGGAAGATGGCAGTATCCCCAAGGGTGTGTTCTACAGGGAACTGGCTTCAGGCACCAGGCCCATTGGCAGACCAACTCTGCAAGATGTCTGCATATGTGACATGAAGGCCAGCAACATCAATCCTGCCATGAGGGAATCACTTGCAGACAATTGTAGTACCTGGAGACAAACAGTTAGGTCATGCATCCATAGCGGTGACCAAAAGAGGAATGACTGGGAGAAGCACAGAGAGAAGAAATGCCATAGTGCAGGAGCAGCTGCACAACCAACTGCTTACATCTGCCCCAGCTGCAACAAAATATCTCTCTCCTGGATCGGTCTCCATAGCCCAGCAGATGCTGTACCCTTCCAGCAGTCTGACTTCACCCCCAAAAGATACACTACTCCATTGTCTCATGGATGCCATGTTGATGGATACCAACAACCAACAATAATATTCAGTGTTAATTGATTTTGTCATTCTTTGTGAAGCAGAGCAGAATACTCACAAAAAACTAAAAATCATTTAATAAGATATAAATATCACCTGAGATACATATTGCCTGAGAAAACAAAAGCTTATCAAGGATAGCAATGTATAATCCTTGGGCGGCATCCCATAGCTGGGATGCTACAAAAACTTAGAAAATACTCTTTCCCTGATTGTCACTCACTTAATTTCTGATTGTAAGGACACCTAGAGAAGGGTGTCAGCAGATCTTAACAACCAAGCAGGTTGATCGGTGAGAAGGAAATCCTTATGGTACGTAAGTCCAAACCTGTATAGGGCTTAAAACTAAAACAAACAAATTGGCATCTTAAAGCGGCTTGGGAATGAACTGGTAGCCAGGGAAGATATTTCAAAATTGGCAAGTGGTGGTAGTTGGCATTTCAGTCTAATAGGAAACACTCCATGCCACTGTTAAGATGACAGTGCACATGCTTAAGGACAGTTAACATTAGCTATAAACAAATATCACTATCTTTTCCACTCTTTATCGACAAATACAACAATCAGTGAATATTGCAAGTTAAGGAACAGTTAGTAATATTGTCAAAGTTTGTAAAAGCCAAATTTAGAATACCAATTTATCTAGGAACAAAGAAAGTTGTCTTATACCGAGTCAATCTAGCTGGTCCATCTATCCCAGTACTGTCTATAGTGACAGGCAGCAGCTCTCCAGGGTTTCAGAGAGAGGACACTCCCAGCCCCACCCGGAGATGCCAGGGATTGAACCTGCGGCCTTCTGTATGCAGAGCGGATGCTCTACCACTGAGCTACTGGAATATTAAAATATATTATGAAAGAAATATGATTTCCCTAAAAGGTCTATTACAAGATGCAACAATGGAAGGAGGGAAGAAAAAGCCCCCTGGCAAGCAATCAGTTCAGACCTCTAGCAAGGATGAGGAACGACTGAATGGTGAGGGGAAGTCATCTGGTAAGAGTGATCTATTTCTTTTTCAGCAGCTCACTGGGCGGGAAGGTAGGAAACAAAGTAGGGTGTATTAGAGGGAAAGTGGTGGCCCTGTCCATTTTTGGCTTAAACCCAATCCATGGTAACTCCTATGGTAGCTGCTGACTGAAAAATGTTTTTGATCCCTATACTATACTGTGAAATCCCTGAGCTTGTGTGAACTATAGTTTGCTATAGTTTATGCAACAACATTTAATGCATTTGCTTTTGTCTTCCCCAGCATCTATTTTCTTAACCTTTTTGGCTTCTGAGGAGGCAAAATGTTTTCTTCCCACAAGATTCTGTGTTAACTAGTGATGCTTGTAAGTAGTGACCCTGTTTCAAATCAAGCTGAAATGGTCTTGCCCATCACCAGGAATTACAATTCCATCCAGTCATCTGTCCCCAATAAAATGCATTTATTTCTGTAAGAATTCTTAACAAACACATAACCAGAGCACACAGGAAGACCTGAGTTTGAATTCCTGCTTGGCTATAAAAGTCACCAAGATATCTAGGTAAATCATTCTTCCTCAACCCAATCTAACAGTTGTGATAACAAGATCACTCTCTCTCATTTATGCAACTGAGTTCCTTGGTGAAAGGGTGAGATATAAATATAATGGGGGAAGGGAAAAGGAATATAAGGGGAACTCTGCTGGCTCACACCAAAGGTCCATATGATCCACCCTATTTCCAGCAATAGTTAGCTAGACTCTCGAGGAAGCACCAGAGAGAGCATGAATGCAAACATTCACCTGCATCATTAAACACAAAAGCACACCATTGTGCCATGAGGCCTCTGGACCCAGAACTATTTAGCAATCATAGCTAACAGATACTGATGCACCTGCTCACCATGAATTTATCTAATCCCTTTTAAGGCTTACAGGCCATCACCAAATCTTGTGACAGCAAATTCTATAATTATGCATTATATGAAGATGCAATTTTCTGTATCTGCAATATCCTTTTTAAGATGAGGTGACTAGCACCACACAGAGTAGAGTGGTACCTCGGGTTACATATGCTTCAGGTTAAAGACTCCGCTAACCCAGAAATAGTACCTCGGGTTAAGAACTTTGCTTCAGGATGAGAACAGAAATCGTGCTCCGGCAGCGAGGCGGCAGCAGGAGGCCCCATTAGCTAAAGTGGTGCTTCAGGTTAAGAACAGACCTCCGGAATGAATTAAGTACTTAACCCGAGGTACCACTGTATTCCAAATGCAGCCACACTATAGACTTCTATCAATTCACTATAGTGGCTGCTTCATTTTCAGTCCCTCTCATAATAATCTCTGCTGCACATTGAGTTGATGACTAAATTGTGCTAATCCCCTCCCCATGGTCTTACTATCTCTTGTGTTCAGATACTTCATTATACATGTGAACTGCACTGGCTCCCGGTGGAGTACAGAGTCAGGTTTAAGGTGTTGGTTTTGACCTTTAAAGCCCTATGCTGCCTAGGACCCACATACCTACGGGACTGCCTCTCCTGGTATGCCCCATGGAGGACCTTAAGGTCCACAAATGACAACATTTTGGACGTCCCAAGTCGCAAGGTGGTTCGATTGGTCTCAACTAGGGCCAGGGCCTTTTCAGTACTGGCCCCGACTTGGTGGAACGCTCTGTCACAAGAGACTAGGGCCCTGCGGAACTTGACATCTTTCCACAGGGCCTGCAAGACAGAGCTGTTCCACCTGGCCTTTGGCTTAGATTCAGTCTGACCCTTATGTTTTTCCCTCCCCTTACAGTTTTGATCTATGGGCTACTTTTAAAATGAGGGTGCATTTTAAATTGCATTTTAAACTGTATTTTAAATTGGTTACCCCCCCCCAATTATGTTTTTATTGTAATTTTACTGGTGTTGGCTGCCCTGAGCTAGGGAGGGTGGGGTATAAATAAAAAAAATATTATTATTATTAAGTTGGGATTTGTTTATGTTTTTGTTCCAGTATATATCACTTTACACTACCCTGATCTCTTCCTTACTGTCAGCTTCCCCACCTCCCAGTTATCACTTCCACCTGTCATTACATGCACAGATCTATTTCTAGCACTTTTTAAAGCCTACTGAGACTGCAATCATACATGCACTTATCAGGAAGTTCCACTAAACTAAATAGGAGTTACTTATCATAGAATCATAGAATTGTAGAGTTGGAAGAGACCCCAGAGGTCATCGAGTCCAACTGCCTGCAGTGCAAATATCTCAACTAAATCATACATGACAGATGGATTTCTGTATAGCATTTCCATTTCTTACCCTTAACACCAAATACAGGCCAGAATATAATTTCCAAACAACAAATTAGGTTCAACAAAAGAATATTAACATTCTAAAAAGTAAAACAAAAACTGTGCATTAAGCCAGTCTTCTTTTGTAATTCAGAAATTAGTAGTTATCAGGAAAGGACAGGGCATTATGGCACTAGTTTGGATGAACAACAAACAGAAAATTATCTTAAAAAAAAACCTAATGAAATTACTTCATTTCAATTTTTTAGAATGTCACAAAGTATACAAACAGCAGGAACCTTTCATTGTGTACATCACTAATAAGTCCACTTCATGGATAAACATATGCGTGGTATCTGACTAAAGCATACCAACAGAACCACTGAAAGCAATAAAGTTACTTGTGACTAACTTAAGTCCACCGATGTCAGTGGGTCCACTCTTGAACATTACTTAGTCAGATACCACCCATGTTAAATTATCTCTGTGCATTTGTTATTCAAAAGGAAGTCTCACTGAATTCAACGGGATGTTTCCCTAGGTAAGCATGCAAGTAATTGCAGCCTTCGGTCACACAGATAAGTGAAATACCGTACTGTTGGTTTATGTGAAGGAACATAATCAATGCTTCTACAGGTTCTATAGCCTGTTCCTGCACCAATCCAGGGGTTGTGGCAAAACACAAAAGAAAATGTGCACTTTATTATGACCTTGACCAGAATTGGAACCTTTGCCCCCCATAAAGAAAGGGGCTCCAAATGTTATTCAAAAACTATAAATGAAACATCACTAATCTCTGTCAATTGAGTATCTTCCATAATATTGGGGTCTTAAACTTTAAGGACAATAATAGTATGGCAAGTAGTATTTCTACTTTCTACAGGCTTTTCTACCTTATTTTGAAATCCTTTATTTGAAAGTTGGTTTGGTCAATTCTAAAAGTGCTAAACATATAATGTTGGATCCTGTCTTTGATACTGCCAGTGGGACCATCTCCTGAGCAGGGTTCTACTCAGGAGATGCTTCCACTGGTAGAAAGGGGGTGGGGAGATGCCTTTTGCTGATTTCACCTTCTTCATGATGACCCCAGTGCCACTTCCCCAACTGTTCCAGATGCCTACCCCCTGCCTTTTGGAGCACATTTTCAGCGAGCAGAAGTGGCCTGCAGTAGGGGGAGAAATCAGTCATGGAATCCCTCTATTGAATCAAAAACCTTTCATGGACAAAATAAAACTTTCCGTTCCTGGGAGGCAAAGTCTGGATTCATCCCACAGACAGTCACATACATTAATTTCATGTAAGTTTTGAATAGTCATTTTCCACTTTTGAATGGAAAATAGTAGTTTGAACTACTAAGTGTTTTATTGCAATATGAAACACAAGCAATATTTTTTATCCTGCACATCATTACTACAAATTCAACTCTAGTTTCTTCGTGTGAAAACAAACAAATGAGAAACAGAAAAGAGAAAAAATGAGATAATTTCAACAAACCATACCTAGTAATAAGGACCGCATTATCATGGTGGGCAATTCCATTTTCTGGAATGGTGTTTCCATCACTTTGGTGAGAGAGAATGGATTTCTGCCACTTACAGAAGCTATCAAGGGACTTGTCTGCATGGTGATTTATCTCCAAGTTTGGCTGCAATACAACATGCATACCAGAAATGTTCCAAACAAATTACTAGGGTCAGTGGTTAAGACTTCTGAAGTCTAAATCTGATCTATAATTAGAAGCAGTGATTTCTAGGAATAATTTCTTCTTGCCAATTTTCATCTGTGTTAAATCTGGCCTACAAATTATTTTGTGCATATAGATCTCATAGATTTAATTTAAACTTCAATAATCGTTTTGTTAAAAGTAAGATTACAGATTAGTTTCAAATGTTACCTTTTCCCCACAGACAGATTAGTTTCATGTGTGAAAATTTATTTAAATATTGAAGGCAGCCCTTACACTTTCAAAATACAAAAACAAAAAAACAAGCTGTGACAACTTTCTAGCATCCAAATATCCCATGTATGTCACACATTTTCATTAAATAAAAGTAAAAATCTTGAAAAACATTGCAAATTAATACCATTTAATTTCTAATTTTAAGATCATAAAATGTTTGCAGATGAGGTTTGATTATCGAACACTGTTTTTCTAAACAGTTATTAGGTACATAATATTATTATACTTTGATTGTGTGATTTATATTTTAGGGGACTGATATTTATATCACAACTCTTTCTTACCTGATCTTCTGTAAGAACAATTAAACGAGTCACAATAATATTCACAACGTTTCCTAGGCTGGAATCACGGTAAAGTTTGGCAACCTGACCTCCAGAAAATAAGAAAAGACATAAAGTCAGACAAAAAAAATCTACAAATGTTTATTATTAACCAGTGCAGATTATTAACAGTACTACCTAAGTGACATCAAGTCTGAAAAGCAAGAGAGAAGGGTATGGAGAATTTTTCCAACTCTTATTCACTACTACCCACCCACATCATAACCATTCCTGTAGCAAGCCCAATTCCATACCCAGTAAAAATGTTCTGCGAATTTGTTAAGTCAATGCTAGCCAAATGCCTGTTATTATAATAGTATATGGGCTCACAAGGGTCAATATATTGCATTCTTCTGTTTCCAAGTGCAATTAATTACTTTTCCTAATAAGAATTAAGGCAACTATTCACTTCTAGAGGAGAATTTGTAAAGGAATACACTTGTGAACACTGTTGATGTGGAAACCTAACCTGCTCCTTGCCCCAAGCCATTCCTTAGACTCTGACCCTGGGTTCTTCTCATTGACATGCTAGTATTCTATTTGCTGTATTTTTTATGTATGTGGAAGTACATTCAGTCCTATGAGTAAACAATAAGCTGAAGTAGTACAGTCCACAGGTTTATCAGCTCAGTGAGAACATGACTGGATTAAAATATGATAGAATGCTGGAAACTAGTTTTTATATGACTGAAAAATTGTAGTACAAAAGCCCTATCTTAAAACTAACAGCAGAATCTTATTACCCACACTGCAGCTTCTGTGGCACACACAGAAGAACTGTAAAAGTTATGCTGGCATCTAACTACATAGACTCCCTGCCCCCCCCATACCATTTCACCCAAATCAGATACACGTGGAATTAGGAATATGAGCATTGCTTCAAATGTTCCTTATATTGTGCACCTGAATACTCAGCCTCCTCCTCAACTTCTGCACAGCGCGCCAATACCCTATTTTGAGCTACCCTAGCTCCAACAAAGGAAAAGCATTAGTTCCCACCGCCTACCCCGAGTGAAACATGGAAGCAGAAGCAGCTTGCATTTTACCACTTGAACTTGCTAGCTTGCAAGTGAATTTACTTGATAGCAAGCACCTGTATGAGCCATTTCTAAGAAAAAGCTTGTTGGGGACACGGTTCCTAATGCAATGTCACTCAACACCTTACTAGAAGCATTGCAAGAGAAGTGAGCAGTACACTTCCCAATCATTAACTTGGAAAACACAGCTGGTACAAACACATTCTTAGGTTTGAAATTAACATCAACAATGCCCTCAATATTAAAATGAGTTGTATCAACATGTAGAGGGATCAAACTTACAATATTCATGACACTCAAAATGTAATGTTCAATATCTTTGCGACCATGGTATCCCACCATCATTTTGTCTGCTACTACCAACGTCTCCACAAAACGTTCAGTGCTTATTGATCTCTTCAGTCGATGGTGACTACTTAATGTGTGATTAATTGGAAGTAAAGTTGGAAAAGCAAGGGTATTGTTCAACCACCAAGGTTTACTGCTTCCTGTGAGGTCTTCTAGGAATCAAAACAATTAGTGACATCAAGTGGATTGCTATATTAACATCTTCATGTACATCTGCTTTATATTTATAGTCTCTTCAAAATTCTTGAAGAGTTTTTGTTGTGAGCACTATCTTTTAATAAACATTATACATCTTAATTTTTCCTTAGAAGATATCAGACAGCCTGCTTCAATATTAAAAGCTGTATTTGCACTAAGCCTTTTCGGATATTCTCTTTTACATTGTCACATATCGCTTCTACTAAAAGCGAGGAAGATTGCATGAACATACAAATTTATTTATCACTCACCAATGTGATAGATGTCCACAATGAATTGCAGGACTTACACATGGTTAAACATGTGTTCACAGTCTGAGCAATCAGTATGGAAGTCCAAATTTTGCAGACCAGAATATGAGATTGACTGAAATTTTGAATATATTTCTAACCAATCACAAAGCAGGATACAAATAGGTTCTTGCTTCAAGGTGAATAAAAAGTAGAGCCATAGTAGAAGAAAAGAAGGAGAAAAATCTAATTTGATCATATAAGTATGCCCAAAGTTTCATATGGGCTCAAATGTTCTGCTATGAATAAGTTTTATACTTCAGCTAAACCATAAGTTTATTATTTCATGCCTCCTCAAATTTGAACCAGAAAGAAAACACAAACGTGAATGCAAAAATTAGTATATATAAAATAGTGCATTTATAATATTAACTTATTTCTAATTTACTTATAATAGGACCTTATCCCCACTGCACCCTGATTATTTTGTGAGAGCATCAGTAGTGAAACAACTTTTATTGTGCTGTATCTGGAGAAACACAAGTAAAAGTTGGGGCGGGGTGACTCCTTGCCCCTCCCAATCTCCCTGAAAAATATCTCTTGATTGGGGAATGCCCAAAATCTGGCAGAACCAGATTTGTGACTGTTCCCCTTTCTACTTGTGTTTCTCTGGATCCAACACACTGAAACGACCAACTGTTTTTACACCAGTTACAAAATGTCTCCAGCATTTATTGTTTATTAAATTGTTTGACTATTATTTACAGTGAAATAGGAATACATTGAATCTTGTTGTGACAAATACTATACTATTGAGGAATTTCCTATACATTTTGATATATTTTAAGTTCTTATGATTAGATGAAAAATATTTGGAAACAATTACACTATCAGTAAAGGCATCAGGAAGTGTTATTTTAAGAACTATATTCTATGGTGTAAAGGCAGTGTAGCATTCAGGTAAGGCACATGGTTTTCATGGACAGCACAATGGGTCACATCTTCCATTTACTCTGTTGCTTGGAGCCAGTTTCATCCCCCATACCACGGCAGCAGCAATCAGTGGCATTATTGCAGCAGAATTAAGAAAAAAGTCCAAGAGAGGCAGCCATATCTCTAAGCATTAGCCAACATTACACAAGAAGCAAATTGTAGGAAGAAATGCTCTAGGAATATTAAGGGGCAGAAGAAGGCTGGGCATCTCCGTAAGATGCCAAATTGGTAGCAGTGGCACATGCAGTACAGCAGGGATCACCAACATGGTGCTCACAGGCATACATGTCCCCAATGAGCCCTTCCACAGCATTTGCAGGGTCCCCTCCCCCACTACAATTAAGCTTGAAAGAAGCATTCTGTAGTAGCTAATTGGCCAGGTTGCAATGTGTGCTTGGTTGTAGGGTATGTGTAGTGCCCAGAACAATATCTTCCGTTTGAAAATGTGCCTGTGAACCCAAAAGTGTTGGCGAGACTTACAGAATAGCCATAACACAAGGGATTATTCTCAGTCTTTGCCTCAAAGACACTGGGTCTCATCCAACACTGCAGCTCCACTGATGCAAGGCACTTCAGGGTGCCCCAAGGAACTTCCTCTTCCTACCCTGTCCCCTCCAGCCCCTACCCTGCACCCTCAAAATCAGCTCGGGGGGTTCGGGTTGGGAGAGGAAACAAAATGCCATTGCACTGGCAGGAGCCCACAGGTGCAGCATTTCATAAAACCCATTATGTTCCAGATCTTAGCCTGGAAAAATAATATAAAATCATAAATGCCAAAGATAGATGGTTCCTTTGAAAGAAAACAAAAATTATCTTGATATTTTATCAAAGAAAGGGAATGAACCCATTACTGTCATTGTAACTTATTTACCTGAGAGACCACAATGAGTATAATCATAGAAGAGTCGATGGTACATTGCAGACTTTTTGTAAATAACATGAGGATGACCACTTTCGTAACTAAAATGATTGGCATTTTCGGATACATTTCTTAGAGGCTCAATAAAATACTCTTCATCTTCTGTAGCAATAACACCGTGCTTAATAGAAGGAAGAAAAAATAATGCATATAAGTTATCTGGCATCAAAAAATACAAGGCCAAAGCCATTTCTGTAGAAAATATTTAATTTGCAGTTCGTGACTGGACTTAACTGTCATGGGTCCTTTACCTTTTAAGGATTAACAAGTCCTATTCCTATGCAGGAATTCAATTATAGCTTGCACAATGTACACTTCAGTCTATCTCTCAATGAATTTGATTCTACTAATTTCAGTCTCTTTCCAAAACACAGTATAAAAAAAACACGATATCCAACTAATTTGTACCCAGAATAGACCACTGAAATCAGTGAACTTCAGCTAATTAACTCCATTTATTTCAGTGGATGTACTGTATGATTAGTTTAGCTGGCTATCATTCATATAATACTGAAGCTACAGGTGTTAATAATATGCACAAATAAGAAAGAGTGCAATTCTACCTCAACTGTTAGTGATGAAGTTAGGATAAAGTGGACATGCCTGTGTGCTGGCCTCCATTTACAGGAGGCTCCTACTGCAGCGTTGGAAAGTGCAGCAGTTGGAACACTACCACCAGTAGTTATCCTACCAATGATAGCCAGCACAGCGTCCCAAAATGACACATTACAGGGTGGATGCACTATGGATGCACCGAGTTGTCTTGAGAGTAGTGTGGTCTTCACAGCTGTACTAGTCTGGTGCTGGCAGAACAGAAGAAAAAAGAATGGCTCCCAACCTCTGCTCCTGCCAGCACAAGCCAGGAGAATTTCAGATGCAATGGTTTGCCTTATTGCTCTCAGCCATGTGTTAAGTTTTTTCTGCATGCTGTGTTTCCTGGATTTGTGAGTAGGCGCAGACTTAGTCATGCTTAGCACAGATCCTCTGAAATGGATGGTAAAGGTAAAGGGACCCCTGACCGTTAGGTCCAGTCGTGGCCAACTCTGGGGTTGCGGCGCTCATCTCGCTTTATTGGCCGAGGGAGCCAGGGTACAGCTTCCGGGTCATGTGGCCAGCATGACTAAGCCGCTTCTGGCAAACCAGAGCAGCGCACGGAAACACCATTTACCTTCCCGCTGGAGCGGTACCTATTTATCTATTTGCACTTTGACGTGCTTTTGAACTGCTAGGTTGGCAGGAGCAGGGTCCAAGCAACGGGAGCTCACCCCGTCGCAGGGATTCGAACCGCCAACCTTTTGATCGGCAAGTCCTAGGCTCTGTGGTTTAACCCACAGCGCAACCCGTGTCCCAAAATTGGTGGTACTTAGTCCTAATTGATTTCAGGGGATCTAGTCTAAGCATGTCTATGTTTGGATCTAACCCTATGTGTATACAATTAAGATTAAGAGTAAACCCTCACATATTTCTCTAAATAATATCCTTACGTGGAGACATGTTGTGCACACCTCCTTGGGAAAACATGCAGGAAATAATAACATTGCTGTTCTCACGTATGTAATTAACATTTAAAGCTGCTCTCAATAAATATATTCATCTAGATTTATATAGGTGTGGTGACAAAGCAAGAAGTCTCAGTGCAAATTATGTAAAATTATAAAAACAAAAAATCATGCTTGAATATAGTTATGCTCATAGCAATTACACCCAAACAAAATTGTTCCAGTCAAACCATTCGGAGCAAAACTTCAACCAATGACACACAGATGTTGTAGTGCCACATATTGTAATACAAATGGTTAATATCACATTATGCACTAAAAAATACATTTTAAATTGCAAGATTGAGTCAAACCAATTATTATTGAAAGCTTCTGTTTTTATCCAGATGCTGAAACCTAACACTACACACGACCTTCATGTAAGCAAAGACCAATAAAATGTATTCATGCTATTTATATTGCTCATAAAAACATTTTAAATACGAGCCACCAACTCTGAGCAGATTAACAGATCATCAAAATGCAGGAAGAACTCCCACACAGTTTCCACCGTAAACTCATAATTAATCTAAACTTGCAATAATACCAAGAGAGACTTGCTATTTTGCAGTAAACAAAGCTGTTTACCTGTAAGCTGTGGTTCTTTGAGTGGATTTTCAACGCAATCAGACATATGGGAATGTACTATCACAGTCTATCACAGTCATGATCTTCTGGAAAAGTCTACAACATCAGTGTTTCTGACTTGCACATGAACAGTAGATTCCCATATATGTGGTAAAGAAGTAGAACCAGTGCCACCCCACTATGTTCTATTCACAGACAGTTGCAGATGGCATAAATAACAGAAAAGTCCCATGATAGGTTCATTACTTCTGCAGCTACTGTAGAAATGTGTGCGACTGCAGATAATACTTTGTGTAACTGCCTACCAGGAAAAATTGCAGGTAACTGGAAGGTCAGTCTGGTGCAATGAAACTTCTTTAGCTAAAGCAATAGTTCCCAAACTCCTCACCCTCCCATGGAACACTTGAAAATAGCCGAGGCTTTTGGTGGACCAGTTAATGATTTTTCTGCTTGTTGTAGAAATTGTAATGTGCTGTGCTACAGGCTGTATGATTTTTTAATCTTATTTTTACAGACACGCCATGGGCCACCTGAATAAAGCTCACATACCAGTCTGGGAACCCCTGAGCTAAAGTAAGGGATAACAACACTGTATTAAAACTATTGAAGGTGGCAGATGGCCAGAAGTTCAAAAGGATTTCCCATCAAGGAAGTAAAAGAGTTGGGCTCCAATAAACAACCCTCATCTGTGAATGAGGGACTATGTTAACTAAACCTCTGAGAATGCTGATTACCGTATCCTAGCTTGTGGTGGAAGGTAAAATGAAGTCCAGAGCTTAAAGGTCTTTCCACCCCCGACTTATTAAAATATCTCAGGTTGTGTCTAGCCTCCCTGCTTAATCTAATACTTCCTGTCTATACACTGACCATTAAAATCAACACTATTAGTAGGGAAAAAAATTATAATATCTAATTTTGCTTCTAGCAAACAAGTATAAAATTCTGAATGGATCATTTGCTTGATCCTACATTCATTTGCTAGCGTAGTAGTCTACAGGAATCAGAACATAATATTATTTGATTCTGGTTTTCCAAATACTTTTCTTCTTTTGAGATCAAAAGTGGCAACAAGCATAGTCATCAAATTTTTCAAGCATTTTAAAAATTAACTGCAATTGTCAAATAATTTACTACAATGTAAAATTTCATTTACCGTATTGGCCCAAATATAAGATGCACCCGCAAATAAGCCATACCTTTAAAATTCAAGGCTTATTTGCGGGTGCGGCCCGCCTCCCGGCACTACCGCCCTGAACAGGGGGCACGGGGGCAGTAGTGCTGGGAGGCAGGCGCACAGCATGCTTGAAACCGAGCACCAGCTTGGGGACACTACCATTCAGGGCAGTAGTGTCAGGAGGCGGGTGTCCAGCGCTCGGTTCCGAATATAAGCCGCACTTTTACTTTCCAGTTGGAATTTGAGGGGAAAGCGTGGCTTATATTCGGGCCAATACAGTATTTCAATAGAACCTACTTCAAAGGACGACAGCTTTGAAAGTTCACCTTTTTCATATGTTTGAATGCTACAAACTTTTAAAATTGTCTTCCATGCCTCTAAATGCAGTTGTGGTATCATCATCATTACTATTACTACTACTACTACTACTATTATTATTATTACTACTACTACTACCTCAGGATGCGAACGGGATCTGTTCCAGAGCCCCGTTCGCATCCCGAACAGAACACGACGTGACAGCGCGTCTGCGCATGACGTCATTTTGACTGTCTGCGAATGCGTGAGCAGCGAAACCCGGAAGTAACGCGCTCCGTATTGCCACGGAGTGCAACCTGAAAGCGCTCAACCTGAGCATATTTATCCCGAGGTATGACTGTACTACTATTGCAAAGGGGAATGGAGAAGAAATGAACTGGCGAGTTCCCACCATCCTGCTCCCAGTGGTGGCACCTCTCCTCCCACTGTCACCACAGGGATGGGTATCTGCAGAACTATTTTGCCCTTCAGAGGAGTGGAGAAGAAGCAATTACAGCTTCTTCTAACAAACAGTTATCTTTATTCCTTATAGATTTAATCAATTATTCCTTATTGATTTAATCAATCTATCAACTGCTTAATATAAAAAGTTTTACAAAGTAAAAAAAACCATAAAATAACAAAGCTAAAATGTAGAAATGTCAATAAAAATCCAGAATCCAAATACTAGAAAAACACTGAGCAGTGCAATGTTGATATTAAAAGTCAAGAAATGCCCAAACATTTTATTGTAACTTTTTTTTAAAAATCAGTGCTTATTTTTGTAACCATCTTACGTAAACTATTTTGGGAAGTCTATTTGATAAGCAGTATACAAATACCTTAAACAAACACCTTAATAAGTGAATGAGGACAAACTCATGAGAGACACCCAGCTCTACACTGCTATTACCTAAAATATCTTCAGTAATAAATAAAATGACATTTTCCATGTCCTACTTGTATTCTTTATAACTTTATCAGCACTGCCATGAATTTTTTTTTTAAAAAAACCACACTATTTGCCTATGCCACCTTATGAGTGGAGAATATACAATTCCTCTCACATTCCAACTGTTCTCTCACTATGGTGAGATGTTATTTAATACAAATACAGGTTTCGGTTCACAGAGTGAAAAAATAAGGTTTAGGTTTACAATCCCATGCACATCTACATAGGAGTTAGTTCTGTGGAAACATATATAGGATTTTACTGTTATTCATCTCACCCTTATGCTAGACATAGGCCTAGCCTAAAACAAAAACAAAAACTTGTACCATTTTTAATAGGCATCTGGAACGACAACTCCCTTTTTCCTATGCACTTCATGTCATGAGAAGGTACTATTATTTGCTAACTACTGACTTTTAAAGATGACTTCATCTGTTACATATATGTACCAATCAATGGCCTCCACATTCTCTTTCCAGACAATTCTCTGACAGCTTCTTGAAGCCTCCATTATGTGTAGTTAATACATTCTAGAACAGCCTACCAATAAAATAAAAAAATTCTAAAGTTGGTCAATCTGTAAATTCTAGTTTCCACAGCATAAACCTGCTTCCACGTGTTGGAGGATGGGGGTGGGTGAGGGGCAAAATGACATTAGCTTAGTCTTCTTTTGGTGAAACATTGTACTTGTCTCATTTGTTAAGAGCCATTATAGATTTTCTCCTTTATACCCTTTCCCCTTTGAAAAGTAAAATAGCCTCTCAATGTTTTAAGTTCCCCACCCCAGCTTTTCAAGTGCTAAAAGTAATTTTAGTAGCAGTGGTGGGAAATTCAGTAAATGAATTCCAAGGATTAATATTATCCTCACAATATGACAGTTAGCAGGTTTAAAATTCTCGCCCATCCCCCCACCTGCCTGAAGCACCCACAGTATACTATACTATATGAAGTATGAAGGACTGGCAGTTATTGCCTCAAAGGCAGCTCTCATGTATTTACATTATGTAGAGTTTGTTTATAGATATATATATAACTAGAGATATATATGGTAGTTCATTTGTTTTTTAACAAAAAGGATGCAGAGAGAGCCCATGTACCCCAGTTCAGGAAGATCTACCTCAAGCTGAATGCTTCTGGTCTTCAGAAGTGGCGATTTTACTTAGCCCCTGCGATAGCTTTGGGTGACAAATGATTGTGTGAGAATACTTTCCCCTTGGGATGCTAATGGATAAAAATGTACTATTTGTTTTTTTGTTTTTCTAGCCACTTGCTCCCTTTTTTCATGCATGCACAGGACACACACTAGTGAGACAGAGGCCAGTTATACTCAATCTCACAGTATTAACCGCTGAAATCAAGCACACCAGGACTGTCTGTGGCTAGGAACAAAACGAAATCTGAAGTAATGTATAAATTTCAGCATCTCACTGTACCAGTTTTACAAAACAATTGTTTTAATTCATCTCTCGTACCTCAGAGACATGACAATATTAATAACCAAAGTCGGGATATTCACAATCAGCCAAAATAAATGAAAGGAATGAGAATCTAAGAGTAACCAGTAGCACTGTTTTAAAATGATAACTGGTTACAGAAAAATGCCTAAGGTCCAAAATGAAGATGTATAGGTAGGAAGAACTGTGAAAGCTTTACTCAGCCCTGTTTTAGTACTCCCCGGGAGGAAGCCCATTGTTCTTCATCCTTGACACCAGTGATCAAGAGAGTAAGGAGCTGAAGCTTCAAGCAGGCTATCAGGGAGGTGCCCTGCCCCTATGACATAGAACAACTCTAGTCAGGCACCTCCTAAAGCAGTGGTGGCCAAACTCGGCCCTCCAGCTGTTTTGGGACTACAACTCCCATAATCCCTAGCTAACAGGACCAGTGGTCAGTGATGATGGGAGTTGTAGTCCCAAAACAGCTGGAGGACCAAGTTTGGCCACCACTGTCCTAAAGGGATGCTACCAGAGCTCGTCCCTCCTGTCAGTAAAGAGCCTCTTTCTGGGGCGTCACCTCAGCTTAAGTCAGTTTCTGAGCTGGCTCCTCCAGCACCAATAATAATAATAATTTATTATTTCTACCCTACCCATCTGGCTGGGTTTACCTAGCCACTCTGGAAGTCTTTCAACAGAACATTAAAAACAGAATAAAACTTCAAACATTAAAAACTTCCCTAAACAGGGCTGCCTTCAGGTGTCTTCTAAAAGTTGGATAGTTGTTTATTTCCTTTACATCTGATGGGAGGGAGTTCCACAGGGCAGGCGCCACTACCGAGAAGGCCCTCTTCCTGAATAATAATTATTTATTAATAATAATAATTTATTAGGCTCCAATTCAGTGGTAAAGATCATGTACTGGGGGAAAGTGGTGGGACAAGCAGAAGTCTGGATGGGCCCTCAGTTCTTCAAAAGAAACAGTGTACCATTTCACTTGCCTAGTACAGTCATACCTCGGGTTACAGACACTTCAGGTTGCGTTTTTTTGGGTTGCAGACTGCCGAAACCCGGAAGTACCGGAATGGGTTACTTCCAGGTTTCAGCGGTCGCGCATGCACAGAAGTGCTAAATCGCAACCTGCACATTTGAAGAAGCCCCGAATCACAACCTGCGCATGCGCAGGCACGACACTGCAGGTTGCGGACGTGCATCCCACACAGATCACGTTCGCAACCCAAGCGTCCACTGTATATGCCTGATGTGTGAGCTCTCTGGAACTGGCAGTCTTTAGACTTGGGCTTACAAGATCAGACTTTTTTTGCTTTCTCCTCTTCCCTTCCAAACCTAACTATAACAGATTATCCAGGTCCTGGTCTTTCCATAGTTCTGTAAGGACGGTAAATAACAGTCCGTTAATCCTGTTGTGAGGAGTTACTACCTGCTTGTGAGTAGTGATAGAGAAAGCTAAAGAAAGCTGTGTCCCTGCTGACTGACCTTGCAGGCAAACAAGAACCAATTCAACAGACACATGCCCATTTCCAACATTGAGGAATTCCAATCACTAATCCTATTTCTAGAAAGTTAATGAGACCTTGTGACACCTAAGTGCAACTGATACCCAGTTATGGCTGGTGTCTCTATGTAGAATAGAGAAGCAATCTCCACATATCATAGATGCTACACTTTAAGATTTACTACAGTAGTGAATAGTGTGTTTGTTTCCAAACATGGTGTGCTCTTTCATAATTTTGTAACCGACTACTCCACAGTTATTTTTAGGCTTGAATTATAGTACAACTGTACATGTCTTTTTCCATATAAGACTTACTGCTAAAACAACCCAGAATCCAATCAACAGCTGGACAGCTTACAAAAGTACTGTGTAGGCTTGGACTGTACACCTTTTGCTATGATTTATCACAATTGATACTGCAATAGTTCTGCTTCCTCCATATTCTTCACATTTGTCAACCAAAAGGATTTTCTCCAACTGGCTAATTAGATGGGCTAACATCAGAAAATTGTACTTTTAAGTACTTAGTGTTTTCTTAAGAGAAGTTTAAACTATCCCACCCACTAATAGATATACTTTTATTCCTGTTAAACTAATTTCACATTATAATCATGACATAATCAAAAAGCCACTACAGTACCTGCACTGGACAGTTGTCTAAATTAGATGTCAGTGCAGATTTCCAAAACTGATTACAATTCCTGTCCACTAATTAGAAGTTATTTTTTGAATGGTATTTTCAACTATAGGTTTTTGTTTGTTTTATTTGCACCATTGTATGCTTTTTGCTCATGCAATGCAGGCATTTCATAGGAACATAGGATGCTTGCCATACACTGAGTCAGTCCATCTAGTTCACTATTTTCTGCACTGATTGGTAGTAGCTTTCCAGGATTACAAACAGGAGTCTCTACCAGGAGATGCTGAGTTTAGAACCCGGGGCCTCCTGTATACAAAACACATACTCTACCACTAAGATATGGCTTTCCCTGGAGTTTGTGTGATTATTGCATTTTCAGAGTATTGAAGCAGCAGCCATCATGTTGTTCTTCCCCCAGAATTGCCAGAAAATCCCTTGCCATCTGTTCTGGGGTTTTCTCCAATGTTCCAGAGCAGATGGGGGGGCATGGGGAGCACTTGGGGAGAGGAGAGAGGGGAAGTTCTGTTGTGCAAGGGGAAGACCTTGTGCAAACGAAACAGCTATGTTGGATACCACTCTGCTTGCCTATTCCCTGTGACACCAGCAAACAATGAAGTGGTGTTACTGAGAAGCGTGGTTTACCTGAAATGCCTCAAAACGATGTGCCTATTTCAGCTTTGCTCTGGGCAATGAGTGCAATGCCAATGCACATAAATCAGAAGAAGCAGAGGTGGTTTAAAGCAGGCTTCCTCAACCTTGGCCCTCCAGATGTTTTTGGCCTACAACTCCCATGATCCCTAGCTAGCAGGCCCAGTGGTCAGGGATGATGGGAATTGTAGTCTCAAAAACATCTGGAGGGCCAAGGTTGAGGAAGGCTGGTTTAAGCCAATCCTCCTTTCATAGCAGCAGTCATGGATGATACTGAACCTTTGCATTATCTGCAACATAACTGCAAGCCTAATTAGTTCCCACAGCCATTGCCATAGCTAATGCAAGCCTATCTCTAAGCCTCCATTTGGCCATTAATTAACAAAAGGGCTTGCTTCAGCGAGCATCTTCCTCCAGAACTGGATTAAATTTCCTAGGAGAAGTTTCCAGCTTTCACCACAGTGAACCCCTCAGTCATCTGGTGTGAGTTCTGATTAGCTATTGACTCTCTGTGACTGTCTTGCAACTATGCAACAAGAAGAATATATTGGAAGGCCTGCTCACAGCTACTACCTGTGTCCTTTGTCATTTAATGACGCACCCAGTCCTGTCCTAATGGGATCACCCTTTGTGTTAGAGCTAACATCCATCAGGAGCCTCTTCCCTATAGACAGCCCTCAAGCCCCCCTGTTCAAACATATGCCCATTATATGGCCATAATCCAAATAATAGTAGTAGTAGTAATGATGATGATAATAATAATAATAATAATAATAATAATAATAATAATAGAGATATTATAGCATGAACGGGGAGATGCTGTAAATTTAAAGATTTAAAGACTCAAGAATACCAACATGCTAGAATACATAACGTGAACTTACCAGACCGTTGCAGTTGCTTAACGCTACTTTAGTTGTACCATGCTGGCCATGTAAATATCCCGTGTAATGACAGTTGTCTAAAAAGTCATGTTTCCACTGAGGCCCGTCTTTCCCCCAGTATTCTACTGTGAAGTGTTTGGAGACCAAATCTGTGTTGAGAGTCAGGTTTAAATGAAAGTGCTTGCCATAGGCAGAAAGTTTAAAAAATAATTTAGATACTGCCAGTTCTTGGTCATAATGTTCAGTACTCCTCTTCTTTCTCCTGGAGGGCTTAGTATTTTTCACAGTAAAGCTGAGGAAGGCTCCATTATGATCAACCCTTATTGGGATTGTTAGTTGGTAGTGTTCAAGGTAAGACAGGAATTCCTCTTTGAAACCGCATGGTAAATCAGTCCAAGAAATGGCCATAAAAGAGAAGAAAATATAACAGGACACAAGAAGGAGTAGTACATTATCCACATTTTGCTATATCCAAGCACCATCAAAATTCATGTTCATGTGAACATATTAATACACAAAATGACTTTACAAAAGAAAATACCCACTTTCTAACAGAAAAAAAATATTAATCTGTTCTTAAAATATACATTCCACTCATCCATATTATGTTAGCTAAATGTCTGGCCTATTTCATGATTTGCCTATTTCATGATGTGCCATTTGAAAAATATAAGTAAATATCTACCTATCTATTAGCAAGAGAAAAAATGATTAGTATGGAAAGAATCATGTTGTAAATGTCAAAGGGTACAGTTCAATACCAGTGAGCTCCACTAATTTTAAAAGAGCACAAGCTGGGTTAGTGCCCTGATTCAACAATCAGATAAGGATGCACAAGCTTCAGTCCATGCACAGCTCCCACTGCCAGAAAGGATTCCTATTTTAACTTGCATTGAAGAAGTAGGCCTATACCAGCTGCTATTTCCATTTTAATTAATGGGAGAACAAAGTGGTACTGAAGATATATATTGCAGTGCACACAGGGCCATAGATTTCAGCATGTAGATTTCACATTTTTAATGAACAGGCAAAAAGCAAGAACTTCAATTTATTTATTTTTTTGTTCTAAATAATTTACTTCAGGTACTTCAACAATATTTTAATTTGGTAATTTCTTTATTATGAAGTAATACATTAAAATACTGACTTTTCAATTTGCTAATTGAGTCTAATGTGTTAACAACTATACACAATGCTTAAATAATAAAATAAAAAATGTATACTCCAATTTTACTCCCACAGAGAATAACTAAAATTTTTACACCATAAATCCTTTGTGGTCTCTCACAATGAATATTAATATAAATGTTAAAGAAAACTAATTAACTGAAATAAGTGACAAAAGACGGTAGCTTAAAAAGTTGGAACCCTACCTTGAGAACTATACGAAAGCCTGTTGTCACCGTGAAATTCTGACAAAACCATAATTAAGCACAAAATCCAGGTCAACATCTTCCACAAAATTTCCATAATTTAGAAGAAGTGGGCTACCTATGTGCTACAGCTTTAACTCCACTCCAGCATTGCACCATAACCAAGATTTATTATATTTCTTCAGGATTAGCTATTTGTGGTTCCACTTCTTGATAGGCATTTTGGAATAATATACTTTTTTCTATGTCTGCAGACATTTTCAGTCCAAAAGTAATTAAAAAATAAGTCCTTCACATGTCAATGAGGAGTTAAAGTGAATAGCAAACAACTGTTGTCCATTTCTTTACCTGGAAAGCATAGATAACATTGAAAATTAGTTTCAGTCAATATTAATTTTTTTAAAAATTGATTAGACAGACAGAATTTTCAACATCCTCAGACATCCAAATGCATCAATCTTCTTTAGTTTTCATTTTGTATGGGTTGTCCAAAGTGAGAGCCCATGAGGGAAGATAGCCAATGACAGGAAAAGGATCTCTTTTTACCCTGTGGAGCTAAAGACCTCGGAGGTTCACTAGGCTATGTTCTAGAGCCGTTGAGGAGGTTAGTGAAGGTTCAGTCAGCAAAGCAGAACCTAACAACCACTATGCCAACCCTTCCCAAACTTCTCAAAGGCCAAGGGATACATCCTGATAAGTCCCTGCTCTTCAGGAAGACTAGTGCATAGCTCCAGTCAAGAGATGCCAGCCACTGGCCAACAGCTCCCCTATCCAGCCATGTCCAAAATTGCTGGGTGCCTGGTGCTTGGGCAGAAGGATTCTTTTCCTTCCCATGGCAAGCAAGGCCAAGGCTGAATGACCCACTCTTGGAAGAAAGTTTCTGAGCATCAAGACTGTCACAGTAAATGTCATGCTCCTTCTAGAGCTTAGTCCTTCCAGGAGATGGAACTTAGGTCAGGGCCTCCTCAGAAGACAGCGAGGCCTAAATCAAGGAGGCTGAACAACTTCTGAGCGACCATGTGCAGCACACACCTAAGTATGAGGAGAAGGAAGGAGAGCAATGCTGAGAACAGTAAATACATATACATCCACTACTGTATCATCATATTAATATCAATGGCCACACTAATTCCACCCTTTCCTGTCAGCATAGTGCTCTGCAAAGCATCCCTGCACCATATTCAAGTTTAGTAAGCTGAACTCCATACCTACTACATTGATTTCGGCTGTGAAGAAGAGAGCATGATGTGTCAATAGTCAAAAGAAAAATCCGGGACAAGCAAAATACCATATCTTCCGGCAAAATAATATATAATTTCTGATCTCATTATTACTGTTTTACAAGATTGTATCCTGCATACTTTATTCATGCAAAATTCTCGTTGACCATTGGTTGCAGAAAAATGAGTTCGGCATTTCAAATTATACAGTTCATAAAAACCCATGAAACCACAAATGTTATAAAAAAAAATACCGCACATGAAAGTTGTTGCATCTGCAGTGACAAGTACACATTTTAAAGTTTTTAGGAAATGGCCACATTATAAATGGTTGGCCCTTACATAGCATAAAAATTGTGATTTTGTTTTGTTTCTCTCAAAATGCTGGTCTCCAAATATTTTGTGCTAATACTTAACAGCTGCCTGAGACTTGAGAATGTGCATCTACTTGTAGTCAAAACAAAACAATGAAAATGTTAAAACAATGTAAGTAAAATTGTACTAAAAATCCTTTCTTAACAGAAAGGTCATGCGTTGCAGTCAACAATGTCAGAAATGAAGATGGGGGGACATATGAAAATGGGCTGGGGTAAACAACGTTTCTGTGCACAGAGCACATTTAGAAGTGCCAGCTGCTTCCCTGCCTTCTTACCGGCACTAGGAGAATGAGGCGCTGTCTCCTCTGATATAAACTTGTCTGTTCCCCTCCAATCAGCCAGGAAAACTATACCTGTTTGGTGGGGATATGAAAGAAAACCTTTTTCATGGCTGTACCCAGGTTGTGAAATGCTCCTTGATGCCTTTCTATTAGCTCCTTAAGACCTTCCATCACCTCACTGATTCTGGCAGGCATTTTTCTAATTAACTCTTGGAGTTTTGATCTGCTGTCCTGTCTGTGTTTAATTCTCTTTTACTGCTTTATGAAGCAGAACTACAGAAGTTCAGATACTGCTCAGAGGGAAGTTAACTAAAGATGAGTGGCAATTTGCATCTGGCGTTCTCTGCCTCTGAATGATAGGTTCAGAGACAATTTATGGAACTGATTGGAATGCCAGGTGCAAAGCCACGAACTCTAGCAGAGGTACAGCACCCCCACACCCCCACTCGACTATGAAGCCTTTCTAAGTTCTAAACTGGCTCTATTGCTTCCCTGGGGCAGGTATAGCTGACCCTCACTAGATTCCTGTTTCCTGTACCTAAGTTAATGACCTAAGATCATTCACAGTTCATTAGTTTGGCTTGTTCTACCATCCTACCACTGGTAAGTGCTCCCAGATCCTGGCCATTTAGCCATATATTTTTTCCCCAAGAGCAACAATATTATTGGTTGAACTTTTGGATGTTGCTGCTATTTCGGGTCGCTGCCAAGAAAAGATGCACTTTCCTATGGGTCATTCACTTCGTTCATCAGGCCATAGGTCTTACAGCAAATGTTTACAGTCAGAATTTCTAGCTTGGCTTCTGTCCATCTCTACTTGCATCAGCAAGTCTCACATCTGGCCCTTCTAATTTGTTGCCCAGGGATATAGACTTGAGCAAGGAAATCCTTATTGCTCTACTCCTTTAGTTTTGTCTCCCCTCCCCACAAAAACTATTCTGCATGCCGTTCCGGAGTGACGGATGAGGTCACAATGATTTACAATACCAAATCAAACAAGTGCCATTGACCTTCCCTTTGTCAAAGCTATCCAGCTGGTCCCCTACCTGTAGCTCTGTGTTGTTCCCACCAGAATACAATGCCTGGCTTGTGGTACTACAAGAAGGGCAGACCACAACAAGATTCTCCAGCCTCCCAAGATTCCCACCACTTACAGCCCTTAACATTCTTCTTCCTGTAATGTGAGCTTGAATGAAGGATTTGGCACAGATATTGGTTAATTTATTTCGATTTCTGTACCAAAGGTGCACTCTTCCATTGTCTCCTGAGACAGATAGATGCCAACCATTTTGATTTTTAATTTAGCCATATATATTTATATGCTCAGTGAAAATAAGTTCCCCTTTCCTTTAGAATTACCTGACAGACAAGCACATTTCACAACCTAGATCAATATGTTTGCGTGTTTCTTATTCCCTGCACACGTTTTCCGTAGTCTCTCCACGAGAACTACAACTCACTGCCCATTTTTCTCACCAAGAGTCACTAATATAAGACCACCTTCCTCAACATTTTACAAGTACCAAAGCTCATTAAAAGTTCAGATTATTTTTTGTTTGTCATAAGGGCTAGTGAGTCACATTATTTTATTTTGTTTGTTGCCTAAAATTTTAAAGCATCCTTTATTATCAGAGCCCCCCTGCTGTCAGTCATAAATGCAGCTGTGTTACCCTTCAGTAACACAAGCTTTCCTTCAGCTCATCAACAAGACTAAACAAATGAAGAACACAGAGCCAAAGGGGCCACGTGTGGGTTGAGAATCACCCTCTATCAACACAGGAAGTACGTGGCAGAAACAGTGATTAAAATGCAATTATGTGTGATAATTAAAGACCATGGCATAATGTTCATTCTCAAGAGAATAGGAATTATAGACCATTACATCATGCATGCATACAAGAGAGTTGACTCAGGATTTTATAAGCAGTCTTAACTCTTGGCATTTCCCAACAATACTACACAGAATGATGATAAGTATCAAAGTTGTGGGCCCTAGGGTGTTATAACATGGGTGCTCCAAATTCCAGGAAAAATATATTGATTCTGCTCTTATTCCTTCTCTGGCCAATCCCTATGCTCTGAGCCTCTGCTGCCCACTTTTTCTTGTGAGGCCCCAGCATGACACAGCTAGTTGCCATCTACCTCATATCAACATTTTAAAGGTACCATTTCTGCATAAATATTTCATTTAAAAGATGTTGGCCTGAGTCAGAGGGTGGCACTGGTGACATGCCTGAGGATTGCTGCCTTGTTACCAGGCATCTTTGCACATGCAGTGTGTTTTAAATAGTGCTGCACCAAACAGTTGTGAGGCTTCATTTTTAGAACAAAAACATTTATGTCTGCCTAAGCATATACTGTACTGGATCTTAATTTATTTTTCTGCTCAGTGATTCCATGTCTGCTGCTTCATTGTATTTTAATGAACTTTTTATGTTTTTGGTATTATGTGGTTTGCTGCCTTGATACCCATTTGAAAAGCACTGCATGCCATTTAAAGTATTTTTTTATTTTAAAAAATTGTTGTGTGCTGTGTAAAGTGAACAAAGGTGTCTTTGGGTACCAATTCCCATTCACATTCTGTCCCAATACATCAACTACACATGATTAGTAGTGCAAGTGAGTGTAGTTCAACAGCATTTGCAAGACATAGCCCTCTTCCTGTGACACACCCTTTCACAAAGGGTAAGGCAAATCACAGAAAAAGGGAACAGGTTTCAAATATGTGTGTTATAGTAAATGTCAAAAACCTGGTTGCAATCACTACTTAGGTATGAAGGTTAAAAGAATTTTGTGAAATCTCAAAAAGAAAAACATCCTTCTCCCGACAAACATCAACAAGGGCAACCAAGGCAGTTTCAGTGCTGTGACTAGGCCTGAAGCTAGACTGAAATTGATTCAGATAATCAGTTTCCTCCAAGCATGCCTTAAGGTGGACTGCTGTCACCTTCTCAAGCACCTTGCCCCAAAAGAGGATATTTACCACTGGGCAATAGTTGTTTCACATTATGGGTCCGGAAAAGTTCTCAAGTCTTTCAAGATAGAGGGTATCTCTCTATTCTCAAATGAAGCAATAATCACTCAATGGTCCCACCCAGTCAATCTCCTTTGGCCAGCTCTAAGAAGCCAAGATGGGCAAGGCTCAAGAGGGCAGCTCGTAGCTGCACTTTTCAAAGCAATCTATGTGTGTTCTCAGGCCAAAGCAGCTGAAACTCATCCAATACAGATGAAACAGTGTTCCAGACACCTCCACTGGACTTGCTATAATTGTGGCATATGGTTTTTCGGGTTCTGATATATAGGGCATATTAGTAGTCAGATTCTAGGACTGAGGTGGCGGAACATCCAGCCCACTAGGCCTCTGAATTTGGTCATGAGGCCATGGGCAAACTATACCCACCTGTCAGTTACTTAACATCATGTGATGTTAGGGGAAAGGATCTGTTACCACCAATCTAAGGACTAAGTTCTTAGATCGGAAGTAAGAGCTTTCTTATAAGAAGGAATGTGTGCAGAGGAGGACAACCAAGATGATCAAGGGTAAGTCTTACAAGTAGCGCTTGAAGGAGCTGGGAATGTTTAGCCTGGAAAAGAGGAGACTGAGAGGAGATATGATAGCCATCCTCAAATATCTTAAGGGCTGTCACATGGAAAAGGGAACATGCTTGTTTTCTCCTGCTTTGGAGGGTAGGAGTCGAACCAATGGCTTCAAGTAACAAGAAAGGAGATTCCAGCTAAACACACGAAAAAACTTTCTAACAGTAAGAGCTGTTCGACAGTGGGACAGACTCCCACAAAAGGTGGTGGACTTTTCTTCCTTGAAGGTTTTTAAGCAGAGGTTGGATGGCCATCTGTCATGGATGCTTTAGCTGAGATTCCTGCATTGCAAGGGGTTGGGTCCCTTCCAACTCTAAGATTCTATAACCAAGTCCAACACTAAACAACACAGCACTAAGACTGGAACACTAATAATCTTAATATCAAAGAGTACAGAATAAAAGGCACTCTAAAAATCTTCATGCACTCAAGGCTTCCCCAAGACAAAGTCCACTTCAGATCAATGAGAAAACCCACCCCCACCCCTGAATCTCAACAGCCTTAAGTTGTGACTTTCTCTGGGTTGAGGCCAAGGTTTCTGGAGCTCAAGGTATACAGCAAACATAGCATCAAATGGCTCTGCAAAACGCATAATCATGTGAATACATTAAAGCTGCACCATATACCACAGTACGCACATGTTCTTAGTCTATATAAAATAAGACTTGTCCACCTGTGAAGCATGGAAACACTGGTGAGTCCAGTATTTTGCAAGCAGGTGGCCTAATTTTGGCTGAGACAATCTTGCAGGTGTTGGGATTAGTTGGGTTTATCAGCATTTTCATTCATATATTTTAATACCAGAAGGGACTATTACATTACTATGTAGTCTGGCTCTCTTCACAAAAGGGCTACAGAATTCTACCCAGTCATTATTACATCAGCAGACCTAATTTACTTTTTACTGAGCAAGTGTTTGTGCATGCACAGTATGTTTATGTGTGGGTACAAATGTGTGTATAAAATGTGTGTATGGCTAACCAACTTTACTGTTAAATATATGTGCCTTATTCCTTGAATCGCCACCCCTTCACACTCTGAAGTCTTTAACTCTGAAGTTTCTCTTTAAATATGTTATTAAACTAAACTAAGCCATATAAAGCATTTCAGAAAGGTTTGCCTAATATCAAATAGTTCTTTTCTGATTCTATTGTAAGTGAAGATACCCATCACAACCGATGTATTCCAAAGTAGTGAATTTCAAATATATAACAGAGTAAGTGGAATGTGAATTGAGCCCAAACCCTATTAAAGCATCTCACATGCATACAAATAAAACACTGCACAAAACGTATTCCACTTGGCATTCTGTAGATCCTTTCATGAGATTTACAACCAAATTCTATCCCTCCAGAGCATTTGACACAAAAGAGTTGGACACTCAGTCCACCTGCCTCTAAAAGGAAAACCATCTCACTGCAACACGGGCTAAACAAAAGCTAGGAGTTGTTGGTCCAGCACATCTCCTGCCTCGCCTGCAGACGTAAAGGAGTAGAAATGTGTGTCATCAGCATATTGCTGACAATGTCCTCCAAAACTCTGGATGACCCCACTCAGCCATTTCATGTACTGTAGATGTTAAATAGTATAGGGGAGAAAATTGAGCCCCGAGGAACTCCACATGGAGGGCTCCATGGGCTGAAAAACACTCCCCAAGCATCTTGGAGCGACCATCCGAGTAGAACCAGAACCACCTCAAAGCAGTGCCACCCACTCCCAACCCAGACAGCTGCTCCAGAAGGAGGCCATGGTTGATGGTATTGAAAGCTGTTGGGAAGTCGAGGAGAATTAACAAGGACATGTTTCCCCTGTCTCTCTCATGACAAAGGTCATCATGCAGGGCTACCAAATCAGTTTCTGTGCCTAAACCCTGTTTTTCTACTTAAGGGGGCGGGGGGGGGGGAGAGAGCAGAAAGTGTTCATCTGGATTAATTTTTAACACATATGTAAATCCAATCGTCATGTGCCTAATGGAAAAAGCCTCTCTGGAATAGTAAAGTCTAGGTGAAGAAAAGCAGCAATAAATAGTGCACAGGGGAACTCTGTGGAGGTGCAGGTGATTGGTTTAGCAGCCTTTCCTGACTAGCACAAACCTGCCTTTCTTCTCCTTCAATATGCTACAATTAAAATGCTATAAATATATTAGCAGTGGCGAGGACATGATATAGTTACACTGACATTCACCTCAGTTTCCTTCTGCAGCGGATAACTATTTTAGAAAGCTTGCAATGATAGAGGCCATGCAAAGGGATCTCTGGTGCTCCTCACCCTTCTCCTTCCTGCACAGGGAAACTTTGCAGGGCTGGCAGCCACTGAACCAATGCTTCATTTCCAGAGAAGTGCTAGAACCAAGCCAGTCCAAGAGACATGCCATCAGAGGGATCCCACCAGCAGACCAGCCTGCTCCAACTGGACTTACTGTACCCAAATTAACCAGGTAGTCTACCAGGCTTCCCAGTCTCAGGGCTATCTACCAAGAAAAATGTTGTGGGTAGGATAGGGACTCAAGGTCTCAGACCTACCCAAGCCCTACTTCCTCAGGTAGTCTGGCTTGCCCCCATGGCTTGTTCTTGTACTTGGACAGGGGCCCCTAATCTCAGACACCTCTGGCCATACCACCCAAGGCTAGGAAACTAAACCAAGCTGGATTACCTTGATGGAAGACCACCAGGGAAGCTCAAGTGCTGCAAGGAAGACCTACAATTTTTCACATAGCTGGCCAGGAGGTGGGATAGAGAAGAGAAATTGCTAGGGTCCAAACAGCTTCTAATCCTGCTCAGAATTTAAAAAGTCCAGATGGCTCCTAGCCTCACTGGGACAAAAAAACACTGAACAGGCTTCCAAGTCCTGCTGGCTATAGGGTAAAAACTGATGCTGAGCTCGCTTTTTCCCTTCTCCCTCCCCATCACTGTGTGCCATCATCATGTATTTTAGAGTATAAGCCTTTTTGACTAAGAACTGGGTCAAAAATAGCTCTCACTCAGTTAAGCTGTCTCTCCTGGAAATAGCTGGAGACAGAACCAGATTTCATATTTTCAGCAAAGGGTGAAGAATTGCTTCATTTTTGCCCCAACACCCAAGGATATGCCCTGCACCCACTGAGCCTAATCCAATTATGTCTGTACGACTACTCTTTCCAGTTAACTCAGCTGGTTAGAGTGTGGTGCTGATAACACCAAGGTCCTGTGTTCAATCCCCTTAAGGGTCACCTGCATATTCCTGCATTGCAGGGGGTTGGACTAGATGATCCTCGTGTTCCTTCCAACTCTACAATTCTATGACTCCTCCTATACTCCATCTCAAGAACTGCAGGCTTAGAAGTAAAACATAATTCTGTGTGTGTTTTTTCCTTACACCCATCTGTTTATTTTGCTCAATAGTTTTCCTGATGAAGGACAACATGAAAGCTTGCTCATGACTTTGTGACATTTACAGTGGTCCTATGAAGCTGTCTCACGCTGGTCCATCTGGCTTAGTGTTGTAGGTACTGACCAACAGAAGCTCACCAAGATTCAGGCATAAGCCTTTCCCAACTGCACCTAGAGAATTCAGGAAGCCCTCTACCAACTGGTAAAGGTAAACGTAAAGGGACCCCTGATCATCAGGTCCAGTCTTGGCCGACTCTGGGGTTGTGGCGCTCATCTCGCTTTATTGGCCGAGGGAGCCAGCGTACAGCTTCCGGGTCATGTGGCTAGCATGACTAAGCCGCTTCTGGTGAACCAGAGTAGCGCACGGAAATGCCATTTACCTTCCCGCCGGAGCAGTACCTATTTATCTACTTGCACTGTGACATGCTTTCGAACTGCTAGGTTGGCACGAGCAGGGACCCAGCAACGGGAGCTCACCCTGTCGCGGGGATTCGAACCAACGACCTTCTGATCAGCAAGCCCTAGACTCTGTGGTTTAACCCACAGCGCCACCTGCATCCTTGCCAACTGAGCTCTACCCATATTTAGGGGAATAAAGGTCCTAATAAAGGCATTATTTATTAAATATTAATATTTATTATTAAAGGTACCACTGTTTTGCCTTTCTACTTCTTAATGGTTAATCCTTAACTTGGGGGGGGGGGGGTTAAGAGAAAACAGCCTGCAGCTGCTCCATGGTGAGAGAAAGACACCCTGCAGATGGGCAGAAACACCTTTTTGATCATTATTTCACATATTTTAAGGTACTTGAGGACAGATTTCTGAACCCTGGCCGACCCTGCCAACCCCTGCAACCTCACTCAAGTCACCTCTTGGTGCAAACAGGTAGCAGCAGCGAGAGCCTGTGCTCGCAGGCTCCTTCCCACCGCCTGCAAACGGCCTCCCTTCCTTCTCCCGCCGGAGACTTGGCAACGGTACAGCGCCTGCAGCTCAGTCAGCCACCACCACCGGCCCTGGGCCTGCCTCCAAAGGCAGCAGCAGCAGCAGCAGCAGCAGCAGCAGCAGCGAAACTGAACCCATCGGCTTTCCGCCGCCGCCGCCGGCACCAACAGCAGCCGCCGCTCTTTTCAATGAGCCTCATTCTCCAGCCGCATCATCTATCTCCCTGGGCAATGTTTGCTCAGACATTACTCGGCTCTGGCGGTAGCACCTGTGGCCCACTAATGGCCTGGCGTTAAGCCGCAAAAAACTCCTGCAAATACATCCGCTCCCCAGGAGAGAGGACGCCGGGGGAGGGGGGTGGAGAGAGGGAGGGAGAGAGCGAGCGCCTGTCTAGATCAGGCGTTGTTGTTGTTAATTGTAGTTCATCATCAACCTTTACTGTATTACGGTCCAGAGACCCAACAAATCGTTACAAAGCAATACACAATTCATACAGCCTACCTCCAGGTTAAACAAGCATTTTGTTCATTTGTATACCGCCCTCCACCCGAAGATCACGGGGCGGCTCACAACATAAAAATGCAAAACGAAAACAGAGCAAAAGTGAAGGTCGCCGCCTCCCCTTGCAAACAAAACCCAGAAGTGTTGCCTGCCAGCCTTGCTTGCTCATCCAAGGGATAAAGAGACCCGTTCCCTCTACTTCTGGGCAATGTCTGCTGCAGCTCCCTCAGAGCGGCCTTCAGGTGAAGCGGCCTTCAGACACACAGGGGCATCTGGCAGCTAAGCATCGGGGCAAGAGGCGCATATATTGCTTGGCGGGAGCTCCCCGTTGCATATTGACAGAGCGCGCGAGGGAGAAAGATGCAGCCGCGGCGCCCATCCCCCACCGCCCGGGCTCCTGGCTGCTCTCATGCAAGTCACAGAGCCTCTCCTGGCAAGGAGTGAGCAGGGGGGGGGGTGGAAAGGGAGAGAGAGACGTCTTGAATGGGCAGGACTCCCGAGAAGCGGCCAGTGATCCCTGGGACGACGAGGGGTTGCTAAGGCAAAGCGACGACAGGCAAGGAGGGGAAGTGGGTGTCCTATCAATCACAGGTATTGGCTTCTTTACGTCGCTTCTCCCACACCAGGTTTTTACAGAGCGGCTGTTGCATAGACACAAAGCACCACACACAAAAAAAAGCCTGATTTGAAGGGCGCACTAGATTTTTAAAAAAGAAACAAACGAAGGTTTTTGGAGTTTAGGGCTTCTTTTCACGGCCTTTAAATAATTAGCTAAGCAACGGAGCCAACACCAAAGGGAAAAGAGGTGTGGGTGTGTGCAGCCTGGCGTATGATTTACTCGGAAGCAAGTTCCATTGAGTTTAATGGCGCTTACTCCCAAGTAAGCACACGCAGGATTGCATCGCGAATAAGCAGCAAGACAGGAATAAAAGCGCTGCTGCTGCTTCCTCTCACTTGCAATGCAACTCGCCAGATCAGCTGCCACCTGGGTGGTGAAGGATGGGGGTGGGGAGGAGGGCAAAAGTCAAGTTATCTGTAAAACTTTGTGCCGCCCTCCTCCTCCTCTTCTCCCCCTCCTTAACTTTCTAAAGGATCGGCTGTCATTTTTTACTGCTGAAAGTCCAGACTACTTAAAAACAATCTTTTAAACCAGACCCCCCCCCGCACACATTCATGCCTTCTGAGTACAAAAGAACATTTTACATCTACCCCCTCGGAGAGAACTCTAAAGAACAAAAGCCCTCTTCCCCCGCCTCGCCTCTCCCCACCCCCCACCCCAGGGAAGAGTCTGTGGCTGTTCTGGTGGAGCTGATCCTAAAGTTAACATTCAGCAGCCCATTTCCAGACAGCAGCGCTAAATCTATTTGGATAAAACGCGTGTGACCCAGACACTTGGCATGAGGCCCAAATGCGTTGCAAAGGCAGTCCAAATAAAAACAAGAGTCTGAGATTGACTCTCGCGCTCTCTTTTTCTCTCCTCTTGTACAACAATGAAAGAAATTAGCAAAGACAAGAGAGTGGACACACATTAGCCGGGAGCACGGTCCCAGTTAGTCCCCCACCCACCCTCCGGCCACACACCTTTGCCTCCCCTTCCCCAAAAACCCCTTTGAAAAGACACACACACACACAGCGATTCAATCGTCTCGGCAAGCGTTGCGAGTCTAGCAACTCCCTCCGCGTCTAGGGCTAAATCAAAGCTACACTCTCCCATCTCTCCCATTAGCCTCTTAAGAGCTTAATGTCTCTCTCCTTCAGGCGAGCATCCGGGCTCCAGCTATTACATCAATGCGACCCTTTGAGTCGCATGCACACACGAAAATATGCACTTGTCTCCCCCATTTATATAGGCACTGACGTGACACAACCAAATGATGGGCTTTAGAATAGCAGAAGCAAAGTCAATGAGTTTAAAGGAACCGACAAACAAAAAGGGCTCGCATTATTTTGCCAACCATTGTTTTTCTTGCTTCCGAAACAGAAAAGTTTTCACTGCTCAAGAGCACACTTAAACCAAGCTTCTTTGCCTCAGAAGATCCTCGCGCGCACCCCCATTCTCCCCCCTCCGCGTCCACTTTTTTAATCCCCAGAGCTCAAAGGTTCCTCTGAAATTATTCAAAATCCACTTCGCCTAGTGCATTATAAACCACCCCAGCTCCACATCTGAACGCACCATTATGCGGGAGACAAAAATAAAAATAAATAAATCATAAGGCAAAGAGTCCGGTGAATTCTTTCCTTACCGTTTTCATCTTCAATTTCTCTGCTATAAAGTGAGTTTCAAACAATAGGAAATAGCACTGGAGGGTTCCCGTATTCCTTCTCTCTGATTTCCCCTCTTGGCAAGCCAACGCCAGAATTATATTCTAGAGCAGAATGAAATCCTGTATAGACTTTTTTTTTTCTAAAAAGGGGAAGCTGAGAGAACGGACTGACTAGGCAAGAGAAGGGATGCCATCAATTCATCCAGCCTTATCTAAGCACCCTGCATATTTTTGTCTTTTACAACCAAAAAGTGGGGGCGGGGGGGGAGGAAGAGAGAGAAGGGAAAGGGGTAGAAAGGAAGTGGGGAGAGGAGGGGGGAAAAGACTGAATTTGGGATGGGGGTTTTTCTTCTTGGCCACCCCTTCCAATGCAGAGCTATTATGTGAATACCATCAGGAGGAGAGAGGGAAGGAAAGGGGGAGAGAGGGAGCAGGAAAGACTGGAGAGAAAGTTTTGTTGAAGTAGCTCGAGATCTCTTCTCACTACCGGCCTTCAGCCAAGTTTGGAGCTGCAGCAGCAGCGGACTATTTTGGCCTGAGAGGTTGTGCACACTGACGTCAGTCTGCAAATGTGCCTCCGGCGCCCCTGGCGCTGCTGCGCATGTCGGGCCCATCACGTGGAGGGGGAGGGGGACGCGGAGGTACAATCAGGGTAACAGGCGAGGGGGCGAAAGGAAAGCCGCAGGGGGCTCGAGGCAATGTAAACTTCCTCGCCGCCCCCCCGCCCCGCTCGCACTCCTCAAAGTGCTTCATAACGAATGGGGGGGGGGGGGGAGTCTCGCGTCTCTCCCGCGCGCCTCGTGCTTCTCCTCTCCTTCCTTCAGAGCTGTTTTAAAGCAGCTCTGCTGAGATGGAGGAAAAGGAGACTTGGCTCCGGATGGGCTCGTGTCACTGGGAAAAACCTCCGCAACCCGGGGAACGTTAAAGGATCTCTGGAGGGAGCGGGGAAGGGAAGGAGCAAAGCAAAGGGCAAGCGGGCGACCCCAGCCTGGGGTTTATTCCCGCAGGCCCGACCTGGGTGCAAACTTGGATGGGCTTGACAGTGTGCATGGAAAAAATGGCACGGTGGTAATTTTAAGACTAACAACGTAGTAGCATGGTCGTTCCAACGTTACGTAGCAGCAAACCCGGGTTGACAACTGAATGTGTGAACGGCTCCGATGCATTGAAAAGCAAGGGGTGAAATGTGATTTCTGGTTGTTGTTTGCTACGTCTCGTTTACACAAGGGAGTTAAAACGACCCCTTTTAGGCGTTCAAAGCACACAAGAGAGCCATAAAGGCTAGCCCCACCACAAATTACCGAGCCCCCCACCCTCAGTTCACTAATCAGGGTCTGTGCGCTAGTTATGTAGCCCCTGTATGACGCACTTGTATCCAGACACGTGTTTGTTTTATTCACACAATACATTTAAATGTACTGTACACCTAAAAAGTAATGTGTGAAGCAGTCCTCAGTGATCCTGAGTTTTGCAAATTGTACATTTTGGCAACTTTATCCCCGTGATCCCACGATGCTGGGTTGCACGATAAGATCTTTTATCGGAAGATCTGAGCACGGCATTGACTGCTGCTTCTCCCGCCCCCTTTTCTGCGCACTGAACTGACCCTGTGCTCTAGGAGAGCCCCCCCCCCCCGCCCGAAGTACATTATTTCCAGATGGGGATAAGAAACTGGCTGGCTTTTGAATTGGTAGCCGGTATGGTTGTTACAGCTTGATTTTGTCCCACGACTCCCACCCCCTTCTCAAAAGTTCACTGGCTGGAGAATATCAGTGACTGCAGCAGCAGAGACCACTTTGGGGTTGCTGCGTGTAGGAATTTACGCAGTATCGGCAATAGGACATAGTAGTTTAAAAAAAACTGTATCGATAATTCATGCGTTCAGCCTTCATCCTTTCAAGCGTCTCACAAACAAGACACTTTCGCTTTCATTTATGGTGACCCAAAACCTATGGGCGGGGGGAGCGGGGAGAGAATAGTCCAACTCCAGAAACAGAAAGCCAGAAACACACACATACTTGCAAGAGGGGGTCGAAAATACAAATATACATTTAAGGCAGGCAGAACCAATGTTGCACCCCACCCCCATAGAGAAGCCTTTGCGACACTGGAAAATGGGGATTTTGGAGGCAGAATTGGCGTCTCGAAACCTTACCCCACTTACAAAACTGCCAAGTCCGTTTCCTATGGGTCAAAAAACGGAGTGGGAAGAAGCCACCTGCCTAAAGCTCGGCCACTCTAAGGTTTCAAGCTTCTCTGTGAACATTATACTCCATTGCCTATCATCATCATCATCATCATTTTCATCCTACACCGGAGGTTCGTAGGTGTGACCGTTCTGGTCAGCCCATGAACCCTTGGCTGGGAGTAACGCAGGATTCAGAATGGAATGGTCCAAAGGGAGCGGTTCCGAAAAGGACCAGATCATCACGCAGAGGCGAGAGTCCCCATCGTGACCTCAGGTTGGAATTGGTCCCATCCTGCCCGCTGAAATGGAGAAACGGGGCTTGCCATTGGGGAGAAGAAACATATTGGGTTTGGGCAGGTCAGAGTCTTAACAGAAACGCACCCACCCCCACGTAGTCCTGCATTTGGACTCGACGAGATCAGAAATTGGAAGTCGTATCGCATCCGTCGATATTTTATGTGCTTGTGTACCCAGTGACTTCAGAAGCCTCTGTAACACCCGACGAGAGCAAGGAGTGAAACTGTACTGTGCAGATGTGTCCATTTAAAAGTAGCATGGATCCAGCTGCAGAAGTATTTCGTTACACAGGCTGTTTTCCCGGCTGAAATTGCTCAAAGGGCGCCATCCTGCGGCCGGCGGCGGTCCAAAGGAAAAGGGAGCGAATGCAAGATATTCAATATGCATTCTGTCTGCCCCTAGAATGTGGCCGATCTCTCTGAGGGCCCCTTAGATGGAAATGTGCAAATGTTCTGCCTGAGTTCATTGTGGGTCACGAATCATTCGCTGCGCTTTTGCTTTATACAGCTCCGTGAAGGGTTAATGTTAATCACCCATTGTCTAAAGTAATATGGGGACAAAAAAAGATATGGCAGTTGCACCCTTAGAACCAGGAATTGAATGCACTTTTGTAAAATATTTTGAAGAATAGGCATTGTTGGACAAGTTATGAAAGTTCAGAAAGACCTCATTAAAATATGTGGTATGGTTTCAGTTGCTATTTGTCTTATTGTTTTGGTATTGTGCAAACAAATGCCTTGGTAGGTGGAAGGTCTAATCTACACCACCTAAATGTAAGAAAGGTGAACAGTGCTGGATATACATATTAAGCTAAACAAGCTATAGCTTAGGGCCCCATTCTCTTGGGGCCCCCAAAAAATTTAAAGGGGAAAAACAACTGGATGTACATTTCCAAAATATAAGATAAAAAACAAATAAAAGAAAACCGACGTACAGCAACAGTGTTTTGTGTTGTGTAGGCTCCTATTTGTTATGTGCAAATGGCTTTAGATACCTATTAGGTCCATAAATTGCCATATAGCACATATACAACACAAAAAACAGCGGCAATTTGTTGACAAAGGACAGCTGGACATATAAAGGGCCCCATTACCTTCAGTAGCTTAGGGCCTCATCAAACCTAAATCTGGCCCTGAAGGTGAAACATAAAATGTTCTATAAAAAAAAACAAAAAAACAGCTGTTGAATTCTGGGTCTGTATTTTCCTGCTAGGTAGTGGGAGCAAGGAGACAACTTTACTTGGAAATAAATCATTTCAGTCAAGATTACCAAGTGTACATAGGATCTTACCTTTAGAAAGTTAAATGTATAAACTCTTAACATTGTGGGCATTGAAATATAAACTGGATTCAGCTGCTGCTGTTCCTGCTATAGCCATTAAGCGATTAAATATGTCAATAGACACGTTACTGAAGTGAAAGGGCAGAGATCAAATTCAACAGTTTCTTTTCACAACATTATGAAAAGTTCATGTTGTGGTTCCAATTGACTTGCACAGTATCTGCTAGCAGCTCAGTATTTTAATATAAAAGAGCTGAAAGACAGCATGAAATACTGCTTTTCAAGGTGCCAGATGACTGGTTGGGGTGCAGAAGGGAGACTTTCTAGGTAGCTGGGCTAAGCTCTGTACTTTATTTTACATTTGTTAGAAGTATTCTAGAAGGACTACAAACACTTTTTTCCCTGACAAAAATATTTTTTTCTTCTCATGAAATAATCTTGCTTCTTTTTGTAAGATACATGCTTCACTTTGTGCCAGAAATGATGCTAGCCATAACTATGGTTGCGTTGTTTTAAGGTTGTATTGAAGATCTCATTGGTACTTTTGACAAAGCTTGTGGAGAGAGAAGGTATGATTAGATTTGTAGAAAGTACTAGAATTGGACAGACAGATGAAAGTAGTTCTTCACACAGCACATAGTTAAAATGACGGAATTCATTCCCACAAGAGGCAGTGGTCAACTTAAGCAGTTACCTAGTGATTAAACTAGCTCTGCCCATTAAACAAATCTCCGGTGAGAAAACACTTAGAATACTGGATACAGTTCTGGTCCTCTCACCCCCCAAAAATGATATTGCAGATTTGGAAAAGGTTCAGAAAAGGCAACCAACATGATGAAAGGGTTGGGGCAACTCTGTTTTGTGGAAAGGTTACATTTGGGGCCTCTTAGTTCAGAGAAAAGACAAGGAGAGCCATGATGTAATCAATTTTATTGATAGTTTTCAACATAGAAAACAATAAAAACCAAACTAATCTAAATAATAAAAAACAGAGAGAAAAGATAGAAAAAGGGAGAAAATATGGCCCCTTTTGGACAGAAATGTCTGCTTTACTCTAAGCTCTGATAACTTCCAGAAAACAACTTGAAGACAACTCAGAAACTTCAGTTGGCCCAAAATGCAGCAGCCAGACTACTGGCTGGGGTTTCTTTGACATCACATACCACCCCAGTTTTAAAACAGTTGCTTTGGTTGCCAGTTTGTTTTCAGGCCCAATTCAAAG